GCGGGATATACAGAAACCATGTTACCATAGGTTGCCAGAAGGCAAAAAAAGGCAAATCACCCGACTGGAGGCAAGCGGCTACCCAGAACCCCTGCGGGTAGCTGTGGCAGAAAATGAAATACAACACTCAGTGGCAATACGAAAACCAAAGAAAAGTACGCGGGTAAAAAACCAAAGGCAATGATACCATACATACACAAATTTTCAGACAGGCTAAAAAAAACGGATTTATCCGAATCTTTTTGTAGCCTGTGCTTAAAATTTGGATTTATCTGTCAAACTCCGAATTTTGATGCGCCAACCCCCCCCCCCCCCCCAACCCCCTTCCCGCTTTCCACCCCAAAAATTAATAAAATAAAAAATAGAGTATTTTACAATTCCATTTGATTAGCGCGCATGGTCAATGGTCCTGGGAAAATTCCACCACAGTTATCTTTCAGACCTTGGACCACTTATTCGTGAGCGCTATCGTTGCATGATTGATGTTTCGGGGTTTTACAGCGTCCCGCTTATCGCTCCAGCCTTGATTTGTGAGCTTTGAATTTCGGTTAAGCATTCCTGTAAGGCCGAGACTGACAAGATAGATGCCCTTCAAGCGGCAGTTGCCTCATTGCAAACAACCACATGGGAACAGAATGACGAACTAACAGATTTCGAAGATAGAAGTCCTCGCTCAAATTTGGTTGTTTTCGGCCTTCCTGATTCACCTATTAAAACGGAGGTCCAATTAAAACACAAGTGATTCGACGATTTATTTCTGTTGAACCTTGGTGTGCCTCGCTTGTATGCGGCTATAGAATGCATCGGTTTGGAAAAAAAAATAAAGGAAAACGCCCGTGATATTGCTTTTCGAGACTACATCGAAAAAGCTAATGTACTTCGTAATGCTAAAAAACTAAAGGGATCACCCTTATTATTCAAAATGATTATTCGCAAGCCACGCTCTTGATACGAAAGATGCTATGGAATAGTTCTGCAGGTGATAAAGCAAAGGGCCTAAGAGCGTTCTGCGATCATGGTAAGCTACGCGTTGGCGTTAATCTTTATGCATTGGATGATGTCAAGAATGTTCGCGTGTTGCTATCGACTACAAATCCTGATCAGGCACCAACCGTTGTATTCCTACACCCAAGGTTATCGAATGACACGCCTGCATCATGACGTGTTGACATCTTATTGAGGCTATTAGCATAAATGTAATTAAATGCAAGAAATCATGTTATTAAGCTAAACAACTTATAACAGGTATTACTTGAGCATGACCCAGACTTTGAGGCAATAACGGAAACGTGGCTGCATACTCCAGTAACAGACAGCGAATTTTTACCTCCGGTTTATAATATTGTAGCCTGGATTGTAAGTCGCGGCGAGGAGGCGTTGGACTCGTAATAAAAAAAACAGCTTCAGCTTTCAAGAGATTAAAAATTACTACAGGTCGAATCTCTTTTTGTTATGCATAAACCACTTAACCCTCCACTGATTATTGGCGTCATCTACCACGCACCTAATGCCCCTAGATCCGTCCTAGAGTATCTTAGAGTGTATGTTCTTCAACTTGCTCTAAAATACAAATGGTTTATTTTAACTGGTAAATTGAGTAATTCACTATGTACATTGGGAAATGCTTGTTCCAACTTAGACCTTTTAATTGATATAGCATTCAAAGCAAACCTTATTCAAACTGCGCATAACTACTCTCAAACACATGGGAATCCTAACTCCTTAATGAATCTTGTATTTCTTTCTGGTTTCCTTACAAAATAAGCATATGATCTTCGTATTGAAGAAGGTATCTCGGATCATCCGCTCGGTGTTTATGACTTCACAAGCCATTCCCATCTCACACCACCTGACGAAAGCAAAAGCTATGTTCATAACTTCTCAAAAGCGGACACAGTGCAACCCTTAGATTAATGTCGACACACTGCTCCTTCAGAGGAAAATTAGGCGGCTCAAAAAAAAATAAAGGCTGCTTTGGTTTGTCGGAGTTACGGGATCAACTTTCTCAAATAACAAGAAAAGCGACAGCAAATTTCCTAAACGTATAACGTTACACATTTTTTTTAAACTAATCTGTCGAATTTTTGGAGATTCATTGCTCCAGTTAAGAATTCCAATCAATCCCTCGTTGTTTTAATATCGTTGTAGACAATGGCCACGCTATCGCTAATCATTTCAACGACAATATTACGTCCGTGTTCTCGGTTGATAATGGTTCTACTTCGGATGTCATCACTAGTATCAGCGTGCCTATAACTGCTATTATCTTATCTCGTGAAATAATTTTCTAATGTTTACTTGACTTGCGTGTGAACAAATCCCCTGGTGCAGACAATATTCCAGACACTTTTTGATAACGTATGCTGAGTGATGCTCCCATTGTATACTTTTGCTGTTTGACAATATTTTTTTTTAACTGAAGTGTTTTTTGAGACGGTAATTTGGCAGGTCGTTCCTGTCCTTAAGTCGGGATTTGACAAATCTGTTTCAAACTTCCACCCCATTTTATTGTTAAGTTACTGCTCGAAAATCTTAGAGCATATTACCTTTAAATATATTTGAGAGCTCATAGAGAATCGATCTGTTTTAGCCAGAATCACCACGGTTTTTGGCGGGAATTTCGGATAACAACGCAATGTGTTGAAACCATCCATAACTTTTCACGATAATTAATAATAGATATCATGTAGACGTTTTATTTTATGATTTCGCGAAATCGCTTGTCAAAGTTCCTCACTATAAGCTTCTAGAAAAGCTATCTTCAGCTTTGCTAAAATAAAATAAATGATATCGCTTGCAGAATACCTCAGCAACAGGTGTCAATATTGTGAAGTAAATGGCTGCAGATCATCGCAGTCCTATATATACTGAGGAGTTCCCCAAAAATCGGTGCTCGGTCCTTGACTTTCGCCCATTTTTATCAACGACATTGCGCATAATATACCTGTGGCTACACGCCTTTTTGCTGAGGATATTACCATGTACACCGAAGTAAGACCAATCACCGATAAAGAGGAACTCACTGCTGATTTAAAGAAAGTGAATAAGTGCTGCGAGGTGTTGCAAATGTTCTTAAACTTCAATGAAGGTGTATATATATATAAAGCTAAAGAAAACTTCCCTTTTTAAGTGAAATGTGCGGTATCACCCGCCTTCAATGGTTGCTCATAAAAATACCTTGGAGCCATTATCACCAACGTTCTACGATTGAAATCTAGTATCACGCATCTCACACGCCTTACATTAAATAAGCTTTGGTACTTAAGAAGGAACCTGGAATCTGTATCATCCGCCATTAAATTAATACGTAAAAAACATTGTAAGATCATTTCTTGAGTGCGCTGATATAGTAGAGACCCCTTTACAGCATTTAACGCTAATTTAATTTAAAAAGTTCAAAGAAAAAGTTTACACCTTATTGACAATAGGTACTCTCGTACCGACTCCGAAACAGAACTCAATGCCACCGCTGGACCTCAACCCTTGGAACGCCGGCGTAAAATAAACAAGCTGAAAATTTGTTTAATTTATATCATGACTGCTTTAAACTGAAAAAAGAATAGCTACACTGGCCGACTCCATCCTCCACGATAGCCCTCTATGATGCAGAACATTAGGGCCTTGTTAAATATACTTGAAAATTAGACACGTTTAAATTTTTCTTTTTTCTCATGACAATACATGACTGGGATTTTCTACCTATTATTGTATTTATACAAGCCAAATAGGCCTCATTTGTGTTCGAGCTTTGTCGTTTATTTTTCTAAAATGTTGTTGCTTTTTGCTCAGTGGACACTGTTGTGTAAACCTGATATCAATCATGACGTTGAATTTCCCTTTCTATGTACACCCAAACGTATTGACATTTGGAGTGCTGTGATATGCATAGCGCTGACCCTGCTGATTTTTTTCTCTGTGTACTGTACGTGATGAATATTTACCGCCCACCCCTACAAACTCTCGAATAGGATACGTTGTATCACTAAATAAATAAGTAAATATACAAATAAATAAAAAAATTCATAATTTGGGATTTTATGGGTCATGTTGGAATTGCAGTGCTCGCTGTTATTACTTTTAGAGGCGAGACAAATTTAAAAAGTTTCCGATCAGGTCTTTGTTTGAGAGATATAAATCGATACATTTAACCATTTCTTTGGCCTCATTTAAAAATTGCGCTTAAAAAAGTTTGTCGCCATCCCTACCCGCAATAAGGCTTAAAAAAGTCACTTCGTCGTTTCAATGATGTCGCCACTATTTCGGCAGCGTTTTTTATGTGGGCGCACCGACTACACAAGTGACGACGTCACATGAAAGGTTGTCACTTCTCCAAGCATCATTATGGGCAGGTCTTGATGTGCTCTTTTTCGCGCTATTTTTAAAACGGGCAAAAACAGGAGAATAATATGCCGAATGATACAATAGCATCTCGAAACCCATTACCACTTTATAAATTCTTAAAAATTAGTTGCCGCAAATACTGCATTTAGTAATGCCAATAATTAAAAAAAAAAGATAATTATGAGTTTTATGTGGATAAGTCAAGATACTGCGATAACTATTTCTTCATATAATGCACGCCGAGCTAGGTAAACAGTGGAGAATACAGTTCTCATTTAACACTCACCAGCTATCTTTTTAAATATATCTTCGAATTAAAAGCAAACACACTGTAGAGTCTGCAAAATACTGATTGTAATCAGTTTATTTGAAACTAAAGTGATTACAGATTAGAGATCACTGACCATTCAGTAATCTTCGTTGTTTCGTATGACTTAGGAGCCACTAGCTGAATATGAACAATTAAACTAAGCAAATGAATGAATGAATGCATGATTAAAATAGATGAATGGATGAATCAATGAATAACAAAAAATTTCAATAAATGAATAAACAAATAAATGAATAAAAGAATGAACGAATGGACGAAGTAATAGATGAATGTATGAATGATTGAACAAATAAACTAACGAATGAATGAATGGAATGGTGCAATTTACCTTGACCTCTCCTGGATAACGGCCGATAAGAACTCCCTCGTAATTCCAAGTTCCCTTCGGTTTTGCGGGTTTTTTAGCTAGCAGGTCCCAGACAGTCATCTCGTAACCCTTTACCTCGAGTTGGAGGAACACCGGGTTTGTGTTGTCTGATTTGAGGGACGAGAAAAAAAAATATGCGTTTTATTACACTAAGTGCTAGCGGTGCTAACGCTAAACACCTAAAGAGCTAGCCCAGCGGCGTCCAAACTGCATAGTCACAGAGGTCGTCTTCTTTGAGCCTTCGCTACACACTTAAGAACTTTTACACTCTTCGAGGGTGTAAAAAGCGCGATCCAGAGACTGACACCTGTGGCTACAACCTTTCAAGGCCTTTCTTTCGATTAATACATGCCTTTTAATCTCAAAATAACTTGGCGTTGCATGGACACATTTCATTCTTAAAGGGCGTAAAACAGGTGCAGAAAGGCGCGGTAGGGAAAGGGGAAACACACTTCAGTTATAATTACATTTACTGCACTTACACCCGCTCAGACAGATTGTTCTAATGACTAACCTTAATTGATTATTGCCTTTGGGGACACATTGATTGGACATAGGCATTATATGCTATACGTGAAACAATGATGTCAACAAAACAACTCACGTGTCGTCCTTAGCGATTGAGAAGGCGGTTACCTGGGAATGATACTTTAAATTTCCGACTACGAGTGTGGATATGAGAACTGAGCGTGGTACTTGCCGCTTGTAAACTTGTTTGTCGTCAAATAATAGTCCTAGGTGGTCAGCCCTGGGACAGCACTCTGTTTTTTTTTTGTTGTCTTTTTGTCTACTAGCGTCGTGAAGGTGATGCTGAACAGTGTAATGCTGACAGCCTTGGTATAAACAATTTGTACACTTAAAGTTGTGAAACGTATTAGTGTGTATTGCCGGTTAAACCAGTCGCATTCAGTGAATGTGTGCGACTGGTGCGCGCTGTCGCACCAAAGAGTGCGAACGCGCGTTTGCGCGAGGTGCGAATGGCTTCGCCTTGGCGTGCTGTGGTCTCCGACCGTGGTCAACACAGTTGGAAATGCACTTGGCTCACATTCTTAAGATGGTGAGTTTAAATCCTGCCGGGAGATCGAAATGTGTTTTTATGCTTCTCTAGGGGCGTAACGCTTTTCGGTGTCCTTACAGTCGGCTATTACTGCCGACCGCTGCACCCGGCTTGCTCAGCCAAATGTTAGAGAACTACATAGAAATCGGCTGATTTGAACATATTCCGTGTTAATAAAAATAAATGCTTTTTAAATATAGGTAAATCTTAATTGAACACCTTCATATTGCAGTTTGTCTTTTGTGTGACTTGAAAGACACCCGTCTCTCTTCTTCTAGACCAAAATATTTGGCCTTATAATATCTTTCGCACGAGCAAATATGGTCTTGGGATTTATAGCTAGGGTGTGTATTTTCCGGTTTTAACCGAAAAACACCGATAAACATCCGTCGGTGGCAAGAATACAAAATCGGTTAAAACCGAAAAACACCGGTGGTTGGATATTTTCGCCCCGGTTAAAACCGAAAAACACCGGTCGCTGCACGTTTCCGACCTAGCGAAACCCTTTCCCCGTAGAGATTCGTCAAACGTGTTATCTCGTGGATCCAGCATTCTTCCAGTGTCTATACATGGCTTGCACGTGGCGTCAGTCCGCCCTCCTTTCTGGGGGTGAAAAGCGTCTAGTTAACACAGTGAAAGCTAAGCTCTCACACGCCTTTCCCCCATTGTGTCGCCCATGGCCCCCTTTTGTGGAAAAATTAACGCAGCGTAGGGTACGCTCTCACGTGCCTTTTCCCCATTGTGTCTGGCCAAGTAATGTCGGTGCAAGCCATGTATTCAGAGGTTGCCGTGGTTCCTGGAAGACACTACCAACATCCGTGTCGTAAAGGGCTACCGACCTTTCAGAACGGAGATGCGTTCCTTGTTATCTGCTTAGTTTCCATGGGCTTTTGGGGAAACGGAAAGAGGGTTTTGTTGGCGGGGGAGTTTTTCGGCTGTATATAAAAGACCCGTCCTGTAAGAAAATTTGTAGACGTGTTTGAGAAGGCGCGTCCGTCCCGCGTCTGCGGGTTTTCTCAACCTGAGACTTGCTTCCCTTCGTCGTCACGCGGAGTAGAAGGCCACCAGGATGGGAAGTAAGCGGAAAGCTCAGAATGACTACGCTACAGATTTTATGGATGAATCGTCGTTCTGGTTCCGCTTGCCCATTGTTAATTCGTGCATAAGCGTGGAGGCTGGAGCTGCCAGAAAGATTTGTGCCTTATGAAAGTATCTATCGGCTGGTCCTCCGAGACGAGAGCCAGCTGAGTGACCCAGAATCAGAGTTTCTTTGTTACCGCCGGGTCTAGGAGAACTCGTCACAAGCCAACTCGTCGAGGCCAACTCGTCCTAGGTAAACTCGTCAAATAGGGCAAGTCCTCATAGGGCATCTCGTATACGGGGAAGTCGTAACAGAGGGCAACTGGGCACTTGTCCATTTCGTCACAATTTACCTTTTTCGCCGATCTTGCGTTTGCAATTCGGCTTCGATAACTGACGAAAAATAGTAATTTACAACTAAAGAATAAAAGCACGACATGGTCTTGTACAGATTTTTCTCAAAAGGAGCTTCTGCTGCCATCTCGAAGAGTTTGTGCGTATGGCGCGTGCTTTGTTCGCTTTCTGAAGCAAGAAACACGCGCGTGCTGGGCTGTAAATATCGCACGCTGGGCCGTACCTGAGAATGGTATATCGTCGGGGACAAGTAAAGAACGCGTACGTTAGCTTCCGCCGTGCTTTGGTTGGGCGTGTGCGCTCGTGCTATCAAGGGAAGCAAACTCATTGGCCCATGACCTACTCTAACAGCCACTCTGGAACATGAAAATATTGGGTCTAGGAGAACTGATCACAAGCGAACTCGTCATAAGTAAACACATCAAGTAGGGCAAGTCGTCGTGGTGCATCTGAGGGTGATGGCTTTGGCCTTTGCAATGCTTTCTATCTCTACAGACCCAGTACACAGCGTCGGGGTCTTTTCGGCTAAGCGTATAAAAGTACCCTTCGCACAGCATGGGAGCGTCACGCTGGGTTTTAATTCGGTTCATCATACGAAAGGTCCGCACATTTCGCCCCTATATATATACGTATTCGAAGCCACTTCGAACGAAAAACCCCTTTGGAGTAGATATAGAAAAAAAAAAAAAGAAGACGCCCCCAAAGACGAAACCTAACTGCTACACTTAGTAGCATCTTGGTGCGGAGATCTGCATACCACACCCCTGTTTTGTCATTGAACAATAATTTCCGACCTAGCAAAGCTTCCGAAAAGGGTTTAACAACAAAGGGACGTCGTAAGTAAAGATAACACCGAAAAGCCGACCACAACCGTCCCCTGCAAACAAGCAAAAGGAGAAGCCAAGTTCGGAACTGCGACAAGTTTGATGCAACCACTTTCCAAAATAAACCCCCTCTCCCGCCCCTTTCCCCCCTCCCCCCCCCCCCCCCCTATCAAAAAAGTCTGTGACGAACTTTCCAAGAACGAGAAGGTCACTGCGACCACTTCCCCTACTACAAGTTCACCTAGAACGAGATGCCCTCTTTGACCAGTTCACCTATGACCAGTTTCCCTGTGACGACTTGGCTGTGACGAGTGGGCCTGTTCCCGTTACCGCCAGTATGCTGTGACTAGCACCGTTGATCCAGTGTTATTTTGGAAACTTCATTTACCTGACTGGCCACTACTGTCCCAAGCCTGACTGGACATTTTGGGATTTCCTGTGTCCAGCGAAAATGTGGAGCGTGTGTTTTCAAAATTGCGGGTTGTGAACCGCAAGGAACGTGCTGCCATGACGGGTGCAACCCTCTCGAAGTATGCTTGCAACCACTATAATAACCAAGTGTGAGAAATATATGCTTTCTCGAGAAGTGTATGAAATATGTGAATAAAATTAGAACTCTCTGTCTGTGATCAATCGCATTTTTTCACCGATAATCACCGATTTTAGCCTCGTCGTGAGACGTTCCACCGAAATACACCGGTGTTTTGAAAATAAATAAACACCGAAAAACATCCGCCGATTTTTCTCACAAATAAACACCGGAAAGTACACACCCTATTTATAGCCAAGAAAGGTCAAACCATCCTTTTTTTTTTTTTTTTTTTCTTTTAACCCTACGCTTTTGAGGAATGTGTTATACTTACTTTCGTAGTTGTACCAGAACGTGATGGCACAAAGAAAGTTTGTGTTTCGAATGACAGGGGATGATGCAACTGCTGTTTCTGTAGTGTACTTCGATTCTTCTTGAACCAGAATCATGTAGTGACCTGCAAGCGTTTGTTAACAAAAGTTAGTCAGAAAAATAACATTACACTACTTTGATCGCGTTAACAAATACCAGGAAGCACAGCATGTGTTGTGAAAAAGATGGGCACATTATAGGTCTGTGTGTGACGTCACGTACGTGTCACTAGGTCACATGCTTGTAACGTCACATGACGTCATGGTGTCTCATAACGCCACGGTGTCACACGATAAATTGACGTCAAGTGGCGTTGCAGAGTCACGTAACCTCACGGCATCACGATCACACGTGGCCTTATCATTGCAAGTGATGCCATGATGTCACGTGGCGGCACGATGTCAGATTATTGCGGCTTTAGAGGGTCATGTGACGTCACGCTCTCTTGCTTCATAATGGTGTTACACGACGCCATGATGTCACGTGGCGCCACAATTCTGTGTAAGAATTGTCACGTGATGTCATAGCGTCAAGTGACACCCTGGCACCATGACGTCCCTATGAGCCCTGAAAGCTTATATGCAGCGCATATAAGGTTCTGTAAAATTAACGCTGGAATATAACGCTGGAAAGTAACGGCTTTTTTCATGGTGTAAAGTCTATAAACCCATCTTTTGTTAAGAATTACTGCACATAATATCACAAGCCATAGCATGTGCAGCGTGTTTCGAGTTCCTTTGGGTCTTCATTCATTTGTTTTTTTTTAGTTTGGGAGTTATGCTTCATTGCGCTAAACTTAGCGAAGTTGCCTGCCGCTGAATGTTATCATGAAATGTTTTCTCGCTTACTTTATCGAGGAAATTGAATTTGTGTTTAACTCCACAACGATTCAGTTTTTTTTTGGTAAATTTAGGGTGTTTTCATTCCTTTCTGGTATATTCAGTCAGCTAAATATAGCGTGTTATACGTTTACGTTGCACTTCCGCGGTATAAGTACATGTTATTCTTCAGTGTAGCGCTTTTGGGGGACTTATTTATGAAACCTTCGCTCTATGCACATTTTGTGCAAAAACAAACCTGAAATTTATGAAAGCACTTTCGTGTCAAACAATCACGTTGAAAAGAGGTTTGTATAACAGTTTTGCAATTGTGAAGATTTTAAGATTGTAAACCGTTCATTGCAATTAGAACATGCTAATGCACACTATTAGGCTTAAACATTTTGACTTCAAATAAAACAATATTTTTCTTTTTGTATATAGTGTATTTGAGCATAAAAGAAATAGTAGAAAATAATTTTTTATGAGGGTATATTAAAGAAAACTTAATTTTAAAGAGACGGGAGTATGATCTGTTGTGTTTGTGACACTTCGCTTGCCGAAGACTTGATCGCAGAATCCAATTAAATAGTTCTAAAGCAAGGAATGGTCATGGTGACAAAAGAAATGTCAAAACGACCAAAGTGCTAATACAGCCAGCTTTGTCGAAAATTTGGTTCATACATTTCAGCTAAGGCGCCTCGTTTTGAAATAGGTCTTTACAAATAAAACAGTTGGTTCTACAAAGATACTTGGGTTGACGAAATTTCCGGAGCCGCGAAAACTTGGAACGCACACGAGTTATAAATATGCACTTTCAAGCATATTAAAAAAAAAATTCCTCAAATCAATATATAAGCCCATAACGGCTCCAACTTCTACTTCTATATTAGTCTGACTGCGTATTCAATAAGCAAAGTATAAAAATCGGCTTCAAAACTACGTGATTTCAAGAACAAGTGAGTTACAATAAATTTGTTGGGCTGTCATTTAAAGTTACTAAAGACGACATATACCTACATTAGAAGAAAGGTATGAAGCATATTAAATAATCTTTTCTTGAGATCGCACGGTACAGATTGGTTGATAGAATAGTTGGTCGATTGATTGATTGATCGAGTGACTGATTGAAAGTTGAGGAGTGGTGATCCTGGCCAGATGTTAAGCATTAAACTTGGCTGTAGGCGAAAACTGATAGAGGTCCGTGAAACAATACACCAGACGATACAGGCGCTGATTGCTTAATTGATTAATTGATTGAGTGATTCTTCATTGGTAGAATAATTGATTGATCGCTGGACTGATTAAAAGTAGAAGGGTGGTTAGGTTGGCTAGTTAGTAAGCATTAAACATGGTTACAATCAATGAAAAAACAAAAGGGAAACTGGAGCAGAACACAAGAGGCGGGATAGGACAGCCTTTGCCCTGCCTAAAGTAATCTTCAGCAGTTTCCTACCTCTTTTCTTTGATTTTAACTATGTTTGATTGAAAGTGTTCATATTTTGTAGATTTTTAGCTCATAGATATGAATTGCTAGGGATTGATCAGCTTCCAAATGTCTCACCCATAGCGTCCGCGTAAAGTTCGGAAATGAAACTTGGCCATAGTTACCATTAGCTTAAAGAACACAGGATGATGTTTGCTCATTTAACGCGTTGACATTAGTGCCTTGGTACATGCTTGACACTGGGCTGGATAAAGGAGATGTATTCAAAGTTCCCAACGCGGCCACCGGATGGTGCCACAGCCCCACTGGCTATGGTAACTGGCTATGAAACACATTCCGCAAGCGCCTACAAATGGCGGCGAGGTGCATATTTCGAGAGGCTAGGACGCGTAGCAACGGAGTCAGCACGTGATTGGCCGTTTATGAAGAGCAGCACCGTGACGTTATTTCTATTTGGTCCTTTGTCGCTCTTCTGCCTTCTTGCCGGCGAATCGATTCCGCCATCGCAATGGCTGAGTAGAGATAATGTGACAACGCTAGCGAATGACCACGTCGTGCATTTTACAAGCTGGCAGTCTTTGGTTCCGGTGTTTCTTACCGTCCGTGGTTTCATTTGAATTGAGCTTGGGGCTTCTCTCGAGGTCTCCGACGCGAGTCCTCTGCCAGCGCATCGATTTCCTGCTCCCGGGATCTCCTAGGTTCCAGCCGCAAGTCGTTTTAGCGAAGTCACAGTTTCCGCAGTCCACCTCGTCGGCTCCGTTCGAGCAGTCGAAGACAAAATCGCAGACTCTGTCTGGTGGGATTGAAGATTCGGGGACGGTGCCACAGACGAAATTGTCCGCCACTGGCCTGCCTGCAAGTTCGTGGATGTTCTGTGAACTTCCCCGTGGACCTCAAGACATAGACAGTGCTTGGTTACGGGGAACGGAGCGGGCCAACGCAAGGCAAGCTCAGAGGACTAAGCAAAATCTCGCGCTGCAGAACCCACTGATCCTGCGTTCAATCCTCACTCCTGCCTGCTTCGATTAGAATGAGTATCCTACAGGGGTGCGGTCGTGCGTTACTATTGGGTGACGCACGTTAAAGACTCCACGCTAGCAGTGGTACTGAACTGGCTGCATATCTTATCGACAGCGAAAACACTACGCACAGGCCCATTGGGGCTCACGAAATGCCCGCCGCCGAAACATACACATAACACAAGCACCTATCACAGCGCATTGCTCTATGGGGAGTGTTCACGGGCCACCGTGTTATTGGCCGTGGTTCGCAGCGTATGCACAAAACTATGGACAGTGCAGGGCTGTAGTAACTGCTACTGGTGACGAGATGTTTTGGTGGAGTCACCCTGCGCGGGTGCTCCACTGTGACGTAGAGGTTGCGATTCAAGCAGACGATGGGCTAAGAAATCGCAGGGTGGCTATGCTATTTCATATGTAGGCCGATTGATAAGAGTTGCTTTATCACAACAAACTGAATTACGTTCTTATGAGTTTCTCCTAATTAATTACACTCTTCACATGAACAATAGTCACTCTTCACATAAACTATATATGGAACATTCAAAAACAAAACTGAACCTTGACATGGAACATATTGCCAGGTCTGACGTTACACCTGTTAGGACTATATCGCTCACTTAATTAGGAAAAAGAATTAGATTATCTTTCTACTACAGGGTAAACGCATATGATCGTCATTTTATGGGAGGTTGAAGAAAAAGAAGCCGATTTTCACGAATGTGTCAAAAAGGCGTAGAAAAAAAAGTGCAAATATAGATTGAGTTGTGAGTCAGCTAAGTGAGAGTGTTTTTTCTGCTGTGATTGTGTTACTATGCGCAATTGTTTTTGTGCTCAGTTTTGACGTGTTTGGGTGTAACTCCATACTTGCGCTGTTATTTTGAGACATTGACATGGCAGCTTGCGCAGCGTGCGTTGCGACCTCTTTGATTCGTCTTCTTTAATATAAGTAGTGGCTTCTGTAGAAAAATATTTGTTTCTCGGTCACAAGAGTATAGGACGTGCTGTAATCTTAGCTGTGTACGTGCGCGCTGTTGTTTCTCGTGGCGCCGCTCGCTTGTTTTTGTTAACGAAATTTGCCACTATCGACGCTACCACCCAGGTGCGACTGGGCAGTTGCTGCCTACTATTCATACGGTACCATGCGGATCACGTCTAAAGCGCCGTTCACACTCTTGCGACTGAGTAAGACCGAGAGAGACCAGACCGGATTTTAAGCCTTTTGCGACTACTTAGGACCGGATGCGCGGCAGCGGAGCTGGTCCTAACAGATCGCAAGAGGCTTAAAAAGCGGTCTGGTCCCTCTCGGTCGTACTGGGTTGCAAGAGTGTGAATGGGCCTTAAGTGAAATAAGGTAATCTTGCACGCTAGTTGGTTTCCCATCATAAGGATCTATAGCTCAAAACCCCAAGGAAGGAAGGACAAGAGAGACAGGAGGAGCGCGAAATATAGCGCTGTACCTACTTCTCTCGTTTTTGATTCCTTGTTGTTTTACCCTATATATCCTTATGAATGTATAAGTGAGTCGTGTCTTTTTCCAGCGGCTTTTTTACTCTCTAGCATCGAATGTTGGCCAAAGGAGCTTGCCACATTACGACTTCTGCTCGAAGGGAGAAGCCGCCATGTAACATTTCTAATGTAACTAGTTCTAACCTCAATAAGAAAGTCGAAGGGGGAAGCTTTAATTCCAGAAATTTGATAAATTGCGGGTCTTCGTCCGACAAACTAAGGCGGTTAGTTAATTTGTATTTTTTTCATTTTTAGAAAATATTTATTATAATGAAATACAAATATCTTGCCTAATCTCCCACAAATTTTTCCAATCATTTTAGCATGCAAAATACAAATGCGCAAACACCCTCGAATCCCAAAACAAGTGTACACCTCTTCTTCAAGAGGTGTCATTAATTTTCTAGATATCACAGGTTCCCATGGAACATGTTACTCGTCGATCGTGCGATTGAGAATTCTTTGGCCAGCCACCGCCTTTTTCAGCCAGTTGTTTCGGAGAAACGTTTGCGTAATGATTCGCAAAATTCAAAAAGGGATATTCTCGAAAGTAACAAAAAAACCAGCACTCTAAAACACAATGGAACCAATACTAAGAGCCAAGAAGTCGTTTCTAGTCAAGTGTTTACTTCACGCGCGAGAGGTGCTTAAGTTTGAATTGCCCATATTTAATTTTACGAGCCATTCCTTCCCCAGTTTCCTCTCGTTCAGATAATAAAAATTACATCCTATGCGTAGGGGTAGGTCTTGTATTGGGTTAAAGCGCTGGATATATTTTCATTATCCAGCGCTTCAGTAGCGGCGTAGAAAATAGTTGGCCACCATCCCGGCTCTTCATTACTGCAGCAAAGTAAGTGTTTCCTGAGAACACCTACACGTGCCACATCTTCAGGTTGCGATAGAAGCTCATAGTACCTCAAATATCACTCAACAGATTAAAAACAACGCATGCAACAACTTTTACGGCGATACCCATGCAACGCATGGACCGGGCAGACTACTGATCTCCAATCGGGGGTTGGATAGCGCTTTAAGAAAACAGGTATAAACCCACCGGGGAAAAAAAACGTTTTTTTTCGGATGCGAGCGCTTTACAGGCTTTGCAAATCGTCCGAGTGCTGCTTCGAAAAGCGTCAAGGGAGCTTGATTTATGTTTCTCATCTCAAGAGAGCCTGCTTGTGGCGCAGTAACAGCGCATGCAGACCCGAGAAGTATCCTGAGAAGCCATTCGATGTAAACAATTTAAGATTCTAGTTGCTCCAGTGTGCATATGTGTTCAAACGACTTATTTGCATAATTTAATACAAAATTGCATTATTAACAGAAAACCAAAGCCACAAGAATGCATAAACCAAAGCATCGACTGAACGCACTAGGAATTCCAGCAGACGCCCTTTCTTCTAGACAAACATGAAACTTGCGGTGACCTAACTTGCACTCGGAATCAGAGAGCAGCTATGCGTAATCGAGCACTTGATTGTAGACTTCAGTGGCGCCGAAGAACGACACGCGCCGAGGATTCTGCTCCGACCGTTCGGCGCTTCTTACCCGCTACGACGCAAACGATGATGATGATTGTTTGAACAGCACCCCTCCCCCCACCCCCCCCCCCCCCCCCCCCCATAGTTCTGACTCGCCGCCAACAGCTTAAGAAACAAAGGGTGAGTCTTATTAGTCTAATCTTTTCTCGCGCCATTCGGCGTTCTAATCGGCTAACTTCACCTTCCAATTGCCTGCTGAGGCAGAGCGCTGACGCATCCCACACGAGTGCTGCGTCGCGCAGAGCACTGACGCAGCACTCGTGTGGAATGCGTTTCGATCCGAATACTCCCCGAATGCTGACGAAGCGCTCGGGTCCAATGCATGCTCGTAGTGCATGACCAACTAATGGCGGCCGCACATATTCTCAGCGTCATCCAAAAACTTGTAAAAGGGTCGTTTTGAATAAGCTCGTTCTTCCTTAAACTAGATAGGTGCTGGGACATACTGCACCTTTTAATAGCATTTACTGAAAAACGCACTCGCCATCGAGTGAATCCCACGTGCTCACTATCCTCAATCCGGCTGATTGAGCATATATGAATTTAATACTTGTGTTGCAAGAATAAAATCCAGTACGATGAAAAACAATGAGGAGGGAAGAAGAGGAAGCAATGTACCGGCTCAAGCCAGTCAAACGAGAACATTCCAAGTATAGCCTGGAAATCAAGGTCGAGGTCAATGGGAGCGTGCCCAAAAGTGCCCAAGGGCCTCCTTTCCATCTAATGGCGTCTTTTTTATTTATTTATTTTTTGTTTCTGGCCATTTTTGGGGGAAGGACGCTTCAAGCGGGAAGTCTCTCCCTGCTTCACCCCTGGTGGCCGAATCCAGAAGCTTCCTACCGCCATGGTAGAAAGCAACTAAAACAGCCTAAGATAATGTTAGTTTCATGGAAATATTATTAGATCTTCACATAGTACATTGTTTATGCCCGAAACTACCGGTTCCTTGCCGTGTTCTGCTAATGAACTGCGAGGACGATGCACACTGCCACACACGATCGCACTCCCGTGTTAAAGCTAGCGGACCTACGTTCCACTGAATTGAACAAACAATGTTCATGCGACACGGGGGCGTCCCGCTACACAATGATATTGTGCGACGCTGAATCCCCCGAAAGTTAGAAGATACGCTTTTTGTTATATTCTTGCGGAAACATTTTTTTGGGGGTAAATTTTTCTAAAAATTGGCAACGTCATTTGAGACACATCAGGGGACGCTGTGACATTGTCACGAAACAACGTGATTACCAGCTTTATTTAGCGCAGAAACTGTCCCGCTAAATTTTAGCCAATGCATTGTCTTTGTTACAGCAATGTTTCCCTCTAAATCGACTTTAGAAAGATTTACGCTAAAAGTGGCCGAACAATTGGGACGTTATGCAAGATGAGGTCACGTGAGGCTACGACGGCACCGCGCAACAACGTGATTCTCCCCTTAATTTAAGAAAGAAAATTTCCAGCTAAATTCAGCGGGCCACGAAGCACACAAAAGAGTACACGGGAGTTGCAGACAACTATCAAACATGGCCGCGAAACAAATATTTAAAAACAAAAAACAAACACAGCCACTTTTCTACTAGCCTAAAGCATAGCTCGCAACGTGAATCTGCCACGTTTTTTGTAATTTAATATATTATGTGCATATTATTATGTTTTTATTTATTAGTGGCGCGGGAGTGTAATATTAACTAATTGAATAGTTGCGAGACCTTCTACAACCCGAAACGGGGGTTCACAAAGAGGGACAAAAAAAAAAGTCTATTTGAATAGCTGTGGTCGGCTTAGCCTTGTTCACGAACTGCCTGATATCTTGGATGAAATGTAATTGTGTTATGTTTGCTTAGATAGCCGGAAGTAAGCCACCCACAATCGTCGTCCGGTGCATTCAATGCAGATGAGAAATTCAGCCGCCGCAGTACCAGACTCTATGCCGGTACGATGCGCATCCAGATCAAAACGCACAGGGGTGAGGTTTAAATAACTTCAACAATATTAACTCGCAGCTGTGAAAAGAAAAGTTATATCTGCAATCGTCACCACTCTAGTCTAGGAAGTCTGGGTTCGATGCTCGGCAGTGAAGAATGAATCTATAGTACAATTTGGAGTGTGGTTATATGTACAAATGCTCTCACAAAGCGTAGACGGCTTTAGCTTTTTTTATATATATAGGAAATATAGAATAACTCACCTATTTCGCTGCACTGGAGTTTGGATACCTGCATATCATCGATTGCCACAAAAGCGGAGGTGTCCTCTCCAGAGTTGGCTCGGATCGTTACCTATTTGCAGTAGAATATTTAAAACAATGTTTGAGGAACACAGTAAATTGGCATGCTTATATGTTTGCCACAAATACCAATGACAAGAAATTCAAATGTTTCGCCAAACACGGATTCGCTGTTTGGTGGTGTCCAGTTTTGGTGTCAGACCAAAATCGGCGTTTATCGGGGTTTATGTTGAAGCAAATGATACACGGACTCAGGATTCCCCAAGTTCCAGGCCGTTATCCGAATACTTGGAAAACGTTCCACAAAAGTTTTTTTTTTTTTTGTTTAAATGAAGTACAGCTGCGATTTGGAGATATTGGTTTTCCCTCAATTTCGATTAGACGGGGTGGGGATTTACCTTTTCGGGGTTTATCGTAATTCACCGAAGAAACAAAACCATATTTACAACCTAAAATCACCAGATTACAAACTGCTAATCTCCTCAATCCTTATGTAACGTCAACCGCTTCTCTTTCAAGTCCTAAGATCTTAAGTTTTGGTCACACCTTAGCTTTGACGTCGTCTAGATTTGCTTACCTTCTAGGCACTAGACTATGCAGCTCCTTCGAGCCGGATTTTTTTTTTTTTTCAAACAAAGGAGGCGAATCGACTGCCTCATTGGTTCATAAAAAACACGCTGATGCTAGGTTAGATTAACAGTCATACTTCGTACTGTAAGACTTTTGCGGAAGACTTGAACTTCACGATCGAGATAAAACTTCACGAATGAGATATCTAAACTACAATTATTCTATGTATACGCACTGAAGGCTTCAAAAGAGCAGGTCATGACTAGGTGCGAGAACCTTATTGTCGCGTCACGTCCAGCAAGGTTACTGTATTATAGCCTATTAAAAAGGGCAAAGGCCAAAATCACGAAGCAAGAAGCATGAAGATAATGAGCGAAGCCTTACGTTTGTTCCCAGAGACTATACGAAAATTATCGGCTTCAAGTAGGCTTTTACCCTTTGGCGCATCACAATCAGTAATAGCTTAAAGAAAAAAAAAAAAACACGCAGGAGGTGGCTTCTGCTTGCGCCTCTGGCTTCGTGATTCGATCTTCAGTTACTGTTCCCGATCGTCCTATCCACACGGTTTTACGCACCCCGTCCTCTGAATACCGGTCGATGTCGAAAACTGATCGCTTCCAACGCCTGGTCGCCTTGTCGAGAAGTTGGCCGGGCACTTGGATGCTGCAGCCGCGAGTACTGTTGGACACGTAGTACCAGATGGAGGCGCAGGAGAAGCGATGCTCCCGTAGCGTGAGGACGGCCGAGTCTCTGGTGTTGCCCGTTCCTCGGAACAGCAAGTAGTAGCCTGGTGGGCAGAGAAATTTGCTTTTTAAAGGCATGCCGATGTACCGCAATCTTGGAAGAAAAGATCCATTTTTTTTTCGATACCGCGTAAACGAACTAACTTTACGCAACGCGGGAGGCTGAAACTCCGTAAGAATATGACACCGCGGGGGAGATAGAAAGCGAAAGTTAAACCGTTACCTGGATCAAAAAATTCAAAAGGAAAACAAAAATATGTCCATGAGCTGGCGTCCACCTAAGCCCACAATTCATTGAATAAAAAATAACATTTTGGGTGCCTGTAAATTTTGTTTCAGCAAAAACCATGTGTCAGCAAGAAGGAAAGCAAAAAAGAATAAAGGAACAACCATTGCTGAATCCTTACGGACTGCGTTAGCATAACCCTTAGGTAACGCAACACACCTCTCCTTTTCCTCTTTGAGAAACGCTAATGCTGACCCCTTCATTTTTTTGTCTCTTTCTTTTAGGTTTTTTTTTTTCTTTTGCTTCCTTTTTTTTGGCTTGGTTTCAGAATCAGTGTTAACGTTTCCCAAAGGCGGCGTCTGGGGTGTTTTCCAAGGGTCGTGCTATGTTCCATCAATCTATGTTCCTTAATTTTTTTCCCGGCGAAGCGCCCACGCTTCCCTTCAAGTCTCTGTTGCACGCAAACCCGCGTCGGCTTGCCGCTTCTTGCGCCCTATTTCGGGCAGCCGAGCTAGGCGCTGCTTCCGCTCCTCTGTCTCATTCGCCCGCCTTGCAAGCTTAGCAGCGGCATCCGCTGCCTGACGCTGCTTTCGCTGTTCACCAGCTTCCCGCGCGCGCATTGGCTTCCGCCCCCTGACGTCGCCTCCCTCTCCCCTTTTTCCTTCCATACTCTCCTCCTCTCTACGTGGCGTGCTTCCCTTTCCACTGTTTTGTGCGTAGACGAACGGCGCCAGCTTTTCTCCGAAATAACTGCTGCAGGCGCCCACGATGTGGCTTTGAGGTTTGACGTATATTTTTATTCATTTTATTTATGAAAACCCATCACTCCTAACAGAGGTTGTGACAGGTGTGGAGTAAAGTTCCTTCTTTTGCCTTTATATAGCTGCTCATTGGTCGCCGAGCCATCATAAGAGGACGATGACACGTCAATCCCTCCGTTTCATAAAGATACACTAAACTTCCCAAGCCTTTTTTTTTTTTTTTTTTCAAGTGCCTGTAGGGGACACTTTCGCGACAAAAGAAGGGGACACTTTCATGACAAAGGCCACATTGCTGCTTATTCTGGCTTCGAGTTAAGGGGTTGAATGATGCTTACATTTCTTAAAATTTTTATGCGACAGCCATTCCACACAAAGAAAAACTAAGGCAAGTTTACTCAGTTTTTAACATTAGGGAGTGATTCTAAGTAGCTTGAACATAGTTACAGTGGCGCACAAAAGGACAGGGACAGAGAAGAGGAACACGTAGACGACAGACAAGCGCTTGCCTGTCGTCTACGTGTTCCTCTTCTCCGTCCCTGTCCTTTTGTGCTCAACTGTAGCTATGTTCAATCTATACCAAGTCACCCAACTGTCTACATTACTGCACTCTAAGTAGTATTTAGCGAAAGTTGAAAAATCGTTTCATGGCCCCTTTAACTGCTCGACGAAGTCCGCAAAGGAATTTTTTCGAACACCACTCGAGCCAGGAATAGACCGCTCTGATATCCGCGAGAGACAGGAACCGCGCCACGCGGCGCGGGCAACAAACATGGACGGCACCGTCTTTTTTTCCGGTGAGTAAATTCCATGGAGAATAGAAAGGTAGGAGAGGGCATGACGTCAGCCTCGTAGCCTCCACAAGCCATGCTCCCTTGACGCCTCGCCTCTTTCTCATTTTCTTCCTTACTCTCACCCCATCACGTGACCGTAGCTAGCCTTCGTCTGGCCTTCGATCTGATAAAACCTACCGGACGGAGCGCGCGCAAGCCTGCAAGGAATCCTCCTACAATCAACCATCCATCTCGCACGTGACATGTCACGCGCACCAATCGCCAGACAGATCTGCGGTCGCACTGGGCACAAAATCGTTTAAACTTTTTAAGACTAGGCTTCACCAATATTGCAACGTGCCCCCTCCTAGTACTTCTAACCTCCTTGGTAAATTCGGTCGGCAGCCAGAGAGTTTTCGGCAAGTGTGAATGAGCCACAAAGTGGTACTGTTCCTGCCAAAACAGTACTCTGGTAACCCTACCTTTACCTGCACTTATTTGTGTAGTTCAGTACTTTGAGGGCTACTGAAGAATTTTTCTTTCTCGTTTTAAAACGTAGCAGAGTTATTTGTGTATTTTATTGATAAAATACATAAGGAGAAAAAAACAACAACAACGCAAGGTGTTTTTTGTTTGTTCATGATTTACAATTTCTTCATTTGTGTCATTTTAGGTCGATGGCGCAATCGCGTTCACTGTGGAGCCATTATCCACGAAGACTCTCTAAACCCGCCATGCTCACTGTTTCAAAAGCTGTCAGTAACTAAAGCCAGTACTTTGATATCAATTTTGAGAATTTTAACTGACTATTTTGCGTGAGGCATGCATCAAAAATAGTTCTTTATTTACGTGATTTGTTTTTAGACAAGTTGTGCATCATCCTGCTGCCCCAAATAAGAAAAACATTTCAGAAGTATAATTTTTCTTTTGCTTCCGGATTTTTTAAAATATACTTCAAGGACAGCAGCCAGCACCACCTAAATCTTAAGGCAACACAGGTCATGTTCCACGGCGTTTTTTTTTTTTTTTTTTTTTTTGGGGGGGGGGAGGGGGGGTAATTATTCAATATCATTGGTTGGGGACTTATCATAACATGATCAGTTTTCGCCATACCGGGCTTTCTTCAAGCTGTCTACGATATATAGGGCGTCCCAAGCGGATCGTCTGCTGTAAAACAAACGAGCCGGAAATATTGACTCCAGCATATTGAAAGCTAAACATTTAATTGGATATGCACTGAAAAGCTCAGTCTTACCGTGTGAAATATCAAAACACAATTATCTTCCCATAAAAAAAACAAGATAAAAAAAAAGCCTTTATGATAATCATGTGCACGTTCGCAGACGACCGAGTTAGCGACGTTAGTTACTTGTGGCGCTGTCTCCCGATAGGCGCAGCTGGCAGACAACAGAGACCTTCGTCTGCTTGCAACGCCTTTTGGGAGATGGTGCCACAAGTATGTAGCGTCGCTAATTTGGTCGCCCTCAAACGCGCCCAACGTAGGCTTTGGCAAGTGTTTTGCTTTAATTTTTTAGAGAAACAAAACTACGCCTTGAAATTTTGCACCATGAGACTGACCTGATCAATGCATATAGGGCGAAAGTTTGAGCGTTCTGTATTCAGGTGGCGATTTTTTCGGCTTGTTTTACGGCGGAAGGTCGACCAGCTTGGGACATTCTATAGAATATGCACTGTTGGCTAGATCGAATGCAAGCACAGATTGTACACGACGCCCGAGTCAGCATTCCCGAAGTCGACAAACGCACCAATTATTCAAAAACAAGGTGCACTCGAATGCCGACGCTGAACTCGCGGTTCATCCGTGCTGGAAAATCCATCAATGTAAGTGATATAGAAAAATTTAGTTAGTCGGTTTAACTTGGTGGCGATTGCTGCGACGCTAAAGATTTCTTCTGGTCAGGTATCATTCGTAAACTTTGAAGACAAGGAATGGGGGCGAAGGTACGTCATATGGATTAATCCTGATACATGAACTATAAAAATGAGTGTGTCTATGGTTTTCCGCATGGTACGCAGGACAGCAAAATGCTGTAATCTAAAGAGTTCAATAAGAACATTTTCGACAAAAATCTGTCTGGTTGAGAAAATATTAGGCTTAGACGGAAAAGAACTAGCCAAAAACTAAAAAAAAATGGTTGAGCCCAACGTTTCAAAACCTGCTCGGTGTCTTCATCAGGGGTGACTAAATCGCCAGGAGCAGCTGCAGGTTTCATCTTCTTACTTGTTTTCGACTCAAATTTTCTTCTTCTATTATACACGTGGTTTCTTCTTTGTTGTCGTCGTCAGGTGGCACAATCCATGAACATACACCGTTGGCAAAGCACCCAGGCACCTGTTTATGTTTCCCGGTGTGTGTTGTTTGCGCCAAAACTCCAGGAAAACTCTCTGTTTCGAAATGGTGGCTTAGTTTCAGTTTTACGATCCTGAAAAAGACTTCCTCGAGGATAAAAAGATCGTGATTCTACCGGCAGCAAAAGAAAAGTCCGCCGTCGTCCTTGACCGGAAGGTGTACGAGCGCAAGGTAATAGATATTCTCGACAGCCCTTCTTATGAAAAGCTCAAGAAGGTCCCAACATTGCGAATTCAGACGAGCTTGAATAAGAAGCTGGCGGAGAGTTTCAAGAAATACCCGTAGGTGAAGATCCTCTATTTGTGGCTCATTTGGAAAAATGGCTCTACACCACGCTTCTGGGGGTTCCCCAAAATCCACAATCCTAACGTTCCCTTATTTCCTATTGTAGACTTCTCGACCTCGCCACGTTTTCCGCTTTCCAATTACTTACGCCGGATTTTGGCCCCTCTCGTAGGAAATACGTCAACCTATGTGAAAAACACCCTCCACTTCGTAGAGAATGTTTCGCAAGTAAGACTCAACGACGATGACTGAATTGTATCCTTTGACGCTGCTTCACTTTTTACAAGCGTTTCCTATTGTATTTCCTATTGTAGAGTTCTCGACCTCGCCACGTTTTCCGCTTTCCAATTACTTACGCCGGATTTTGGCCCCTCTCGTAGGAAATACGTCAACCTATGTGAAAAACACCCTCCACTTCGTAGAGAATGTTTCGCAAGTAAGACTCAACGACGATGACTGAATTGTATCCTTTGACGCTGCTTCACTTTTTACAAGCGTTTCCTATTGTATTTCCTATTGTAGACTTCTCGACCACGCCACGTTTTCCGCTTTCCAATTACTTACGCCGGATTTTGGCCCCTCTCGTAGGAAATACGTCAACCTATGTGAAAAACACCCTCCACTTCGTAGAGAATGTTTCGCAAGTAAGACTCAACGACGATGACTGAATTGTATCCTTTGACGCTGCTTCACTTTTTACAAGCGTTTCCTATTGTATTTCCTATTGTAGACTTCTCGACCTCGCCACGTTTTCCGCTTTCCAATTACTTACGCCGGATTTTGGCCCCTCTCGTAGGAAATACGTCAACCTATGTGAAAAACACCCTCCACTTCGTAGAGAATGTTTCGCAAGTAAGACTCAACGACGATGACTGAATTGTATCCTTTGACGCTGCTTCACTTTTTACAAGCGTTTCCTATTGTATTTCCTATTGTAGACTTCTCGACCTCGCCACGTTTTCCGCTTTCCAATTACTTACGCCGGATTTTGGCCCCTCTCGTAGGAAATACGTCAACCTATGTGAAAAACACCCTCCACTTCGTAGAGAATGTTTCGCAAGTAAGACTCAACGACGATGACTGAATTGTATCCTTTGACGCCGCTTCACTTTTTACAAGCGTCCCAGTTCCGTTGGCAGTCACCGCAGCCAGAGATGTACCCGAGAAAGAAGAAAACTTGGGCTCAAGAACCAGCCTCAAGGTGGATGAACTGTGTTGCCTACTAGAATTCTGTCTGGGCAGCACATATTTTAGTTTCCAAGGTGAACTGTTTAAGCAAGTCAGCGGAACTGCGATGGGTGCCTCCATCCGTCTCAAGACGGTAAATATTACAAGGGAGACAATCGAGCGAGAGCGCTACGATCTTCCACCAGCAGGCCCAATGTGTTCTTGCTTTATGGGGATGACTGTTTCTGTATTTTAAAGAAACCAGAAGTCAACCATTTCTTGGCCCACCTCAGTTCCATTCAGCCTGCCATTTAATTCACTGTCGAAAGCGAAAAGGATAACACACTACCCTTTCTAGATGCATCGGTAAAAAGCAAGGGGAAGATTTGTAGTTCGTTGTGTATAGGGAACCTACCCATACCGGGCGCTATACCTTCAGTTCAACTCAAACCATCCTAAGAGTCACAAGACGTCAATGGTCTCCTCACTTCTATTCTGAGCAATGGCTATCTGCTCACCAGAGACCAACAGAAGAAAATAAAAGCAGACCATCCTTGCTGATCTGAAGAACAATGGCTACAGCAACAGCTTTGTTGAGCGCATCAACTGTCGCAATGGTCGCACGCGCCAAAACAAAAGCCATCACAACACACACAGCCTCGGCCCATCGCGCGCATCAGCGTCCGCTATGCAAGCGGGACCAGCGAAGCGCTGGCGCGTGTGCTGAGGAAAGAAGGGATCTAAGTGTCCCACAAGCCTGTGTCACCACTGGAACGATTCGTGGCGCGACCCAAAAATCGCGCCCCAAAAAGTAGAGCAAATGGAGTGATCTACAAGATCCCATGCGGAAAGTGCCCCGCTACTTACATCGGCGAGACGAAAACCGTTTCTCAGCTCATCACACAGCATAAGAACGACGTACCCATGTTCGACCACGAGCGCAGCACTGTCGTGGAACATTGCAATGTTTACGACCATCCAATCGACTTCCCGATCGCGCAAGTTATTGAAACTGAGCCACAATTCGAAAAAGACTTTTCCCGGAGTCTTAGCACATCCAAAACACACCGGGAAACATAAGCAGGTCCCTGGGTGCTTTTCCAACAATGAATGTTCATGGATTGCTCCACCTGACGACGGCACCAAACAAAAAGCCATCTGCATTTATACAGATGGATTCTTGTTTGAAGAAGAAGAAAATTCGAATCGAAAACAACTAAGAGGATGAAAAATGCTGCCCTCCTCGCGATTTAGTCACCCCTGTTGAAGAAACCGAGCAGGTTTTGGAACTTCGGGCCGAACCTTTCTTGGTTTGTGGTTGGAGCCCTTTCGTCTACACCAAATCTTAGGAGGTACCTCAGCAAATGATGTGACTGAAAATGTGTTAGGTACTAAAATAAAAAAAACACCGCGCTGCAACAGGGTGCATGATGTTTTTCCATGCTCAGTTCCCAGTGCAGACTGGATTCTTTAGGTTCTTTACGTCTAAATATATTATCCGCCTTGTCATTCGGCGAAGTTCCTCCGTAGATAGCTACGATCGGCTGCTCCAAGTGTTCTGCGGGAGAGCAGACGCCTCCTCCTTTCTTAGAGTGGAGACGCACTAAACACAATGGTATTTGGTGTCTGCTTGAGGGGTTTTGGTTTAGAACGTATTTGTAACTCACCGTCTTCTGAACCCAATGTGTGATCTCTGGGTAGCTCGTTGAAGCTCCCAGCTCGCTGGAGTTGCCATCCTTTGACGCTTTCGGCAACATATGCTGATGAGTAAAAATAAAAACATTCTGTGTTTTAAGTAAAAACTGCACATTAGTATGCAGCATGCGCACAATGTTGTAATTAATACGCTATTTAAAAAAAAAACTAAAAAAAACTCAGTTTTACTTTCTCTTGCTACCTCAAAGACATAACACGACCGAAGCAAAACTAATACAAGAAATAAATATGTAAAAATAGCGTATAGTCACTGAAGAAGCTAAATCGTTTATCGCATAGTTTTTTAATTGAAATACAGATAAGGTAAAATGCAGGATTGATTCCCCCGGAATGAACGTCATAAACGTCAATTGTTCTTGCAAATCCGAGTTTCTTACCGCTGCGTTTTAAGTGCCATGCTTTTGCAGAAACACTCCAAGTGTTTATGAGTAACTAGCAGTTACTCATAAACACCTCTACGTCTGAATCGCTTCTCTTCGTGGGCAAATGCTATCGGATGAAAAGTTTTTGCTTTCTGCACGTCCCTGCAGAGTGTATTTTTTTAGCTTTGTCATCATTTGAATCGCTTCTGTTCGCTCAATTTTTTTACGCAACTTGAGCTTGTGGAATTCCCTTTCTTTCCTAGTTCTATTTTGAGGAAATGGGCGGGCTAGATTATGATTGCTTGCGTGTTTTGGAAGCCTTCCCGGGGAAAAAATTATCGTTCATTATAGAACATACTTTTTACGTGCATTTTTATTTTAATTTTCCGTGAGTTCGATATCGACAATAATTCGCTGTACCTGGGTTCGTTCTAAACAGGTTTCACTGTAGTCTGAGCGGTCATTGTAGCCGCTACCGCGGTAATGCGCAGTCTGGACATAAAATGAGAACAAAAATGATTTATAATATTCGAAGATTCACTCGAAAGAGCGATATACTCAACTTACGCGTCACGTCCACCCATGGTATGCAGAGGTCCTCTTCGAACGTGCAGAGGTCTAAAGAAACAAATTTTGGTAAAACTTTTATTTCCTGCGTACTTTGATTTACTTTTTAAGACAACGGCGGGATACACACTTTTCAAAAGAGCGCGCCGTGTAGTAGCTGCTGCGCCGATGATATCCGAGTCCGCCATTACTTGGTCACGTTCTCTAGACATCTATTCGACACGATGACTAACTCATTTTTCGGCGTGAACTAGGGTCATCTCGTACCCAGAACCAGCGCTGTGTCAACGTTCGGCGAGGAGGCAGATTCATTCTCAAACTTCGCGCCGAAAAAAATGGCGACCGCCAATGTTGCTGGATGGGCTTCCAAAAATGCTTTTGGTGTCAGATGACGAATTTGAAAAAGTTTTACTTCATGACTCTTAGCTGAATTTCTACTTCTTTCGGAGGGTACAAAATAAGACACTTAAATCAAGTACAATTAGTTCACATTGAGGTGAGGTGAGCAATCGGTTGTTTTTACTAAATCGTAATGAACGATGAATAAGTTTTATGAATTCGCTCAAACGTTCCAATGGAACACAAAAAGAGCAGTGAAGCTTTTGAATAACTTTTTTTTTAACAAATTTGTGTGAAAAAAAAAATACTTTCACCCAAAGCTATTGTTTTTGTTCTTGTCTTTACATCAAAACTGGGTTTGGGTATGACATTCGCATGCGCAAGCTTAGAACTCCGAAAAGGTAGCAACCCTGACGTTCATTATTGGCTTCGTTGAATTTACCTGCACATCCTGCTCCGGTGCAGAAAGGTGTATGGCAGTGTACTTCCTGTGTGTATTGAAATAAGACCGGAAGTACAACTCCCAACACTTTTCTGCATCGCTGCAGGAGTGCTGGTAAGTCAAACGAAGCTAAAAAAAATCTGAAATGGGGGAGGTGATACATTATCAGTGTGGCCAATTTAGCATTTTTTTTCATTAAATACTGCGGAATCTTCAATCCCTTAGCGTTAGAAATGTCCGTTTGGGAGGCGGCGGCTTTTTCAGCGATTTTCACATCACGTTAGCTTTATTTTCCTCGCGGTAGAAATTCCCTAGAGATTCCATCTATGATTGTTTAATAATTTTACTTTTGTGGGGTAAGTTCGAGTCGTGGGGTCGTCCTCACTGCTCACTTTCAGCAAAATGGCTGTCAGTAAGTGTGACGTTACAACGCTACGTTGAAACGTTACATGGACAAACCTCGAATCCTGCTTTCAACTGAATGGTATGTGAATGTATGCATTCGACTTCCAAGTCGGCAATAGCAACTGGGTCCAGTTAATTATGCAAAAACTTTAAGAAAACTTTGGGGGCTATATGGAACGTGCAACACCCTCCGCTTTGCCTCTGCAGCATACTGGAGGCGCCACCAACAGCTAGCGTCCGTAATGGAGTCCATAGAGTCGTGGCCACATCTGCGCCTTCCTGCGACTGTGTTTCTGAATCTCGGTCTGGAGTAAGGGCCTGACACGTTAAAATTGGAGAACGTTTTTATTCCTATCGCTGCTCAGTACGTTCTCACGTCATTCGACCGCAGGAGTATCTTGGAGCTCGGGCTGGAGCGTGTTCTCAGTGTTTTAAGCGACAACAAATGGATCTACGAAATGCTTGCTTGTTTGACGGTGAAATGCTGAAAAACATTCACAAAAGCCAGTAGCTTATAAAATCTCCGCGAGAAGTATTTTTTTGCTCCTTTTATTATCAGATTGCTATTGCTCGATGGCGGATTGAGTACAGTTACCAGAAATGAGATGATTGCGGCTGTTTTCCCCAGCACATAGAGGCGAGCTGTCTTATCAACTTCTAAATCTTGTGTAAAAAAATAAAAAAAGTTAATGCTGATTGAAACTCTCAATGCTTCGTCTAATAATGTACTCAGGTGTCCTGACATTGATTACTAACTAATGTCGGCAGCTACATGATGGCCAGCTGAAATGCTTCTCCTAAAAGCCACACCGTAGCGCCGCTGTCTTGTCGCACGCTTCCGATAGGCTTCTAAGCTTTGGAGACCGGTTACTGAAAATTCCAAGCGACATTAAACCAGGTAAATGACCTGGAGCAAATAACTTTTCTTGCGAAGCATAAGAAAGTTAGTTTTAAGCGCTAACAGATACCTACAATAACGATAACGATAGCGATGACTACTAACAGATATTGCCTTAAATGTCGGAACGATGGAGGCAGGTATGAACGTCAACACATCTTGTACTTCTTAAAGTAAAGCGCCTTAGGACAGTGACAGAACAAAATAGATGCTAACAGATGCTATATGCTAGATGATAACTTCTGCCCCTGTATTAGGCGTTTTACTTCAAGAATGCACAACCAACCAGTCAAACTTGCCGTCCTAATACATTTGATAGCTCCTGACAACATTAAGATAATAAAATGGGAATCGTTCCTTGGATCAAACCATTTCCGTTTAAGAAATTAGCTCCCGTCTTAGCTTTTTTTTTTTAATTTATCGTACTGTGTTTAGAATTATTAGAGGAGCAGGCATTTTGTGCGCCTGAATTTTCAAAGGTTTTCATCCGTTTTTCGAGAATCCTACCACGGGACCTTGACTTTTTAGTTGGTAGCATTAGACAGCTTATGGGAAATTTAATATTCAAGCCAATATGTGACATACCTACAGGGTGCGGCCGCAAGGACAAATACATCAGTTACGCCTTTCAATATTCGAATTTTAAACGTACGAGTTTAAAATTGGGCAAGTTAGCGTTGGTTTGGAAGAAGTTTCGTGTCCACTTTTTTCAGAGCTGAACTCGTAGGCTGTGAATTATAATAAAGCCAAATCGGGGACCACGTATTTCTATGTCTGATGCCAGCCTGTTTACACTGGTTTGTGAGCTTGCTCCCAGGTGGTTATTGTTTATATATTCCGTTAGAAATATTAATTATCGCCATTATCTCACTCATCGCCGGCCTATATACGATTTGTTCTTAGTGTTTTTGCTTTGAGGAAGGCATCCAGGAGCAACCTCATCAAACAATCTGGACACAACAAACGGGCTGCTATTGGACAAAGGAAATGCGCGATCTCCGATCTTGGTTAACTTTTGATTTTTGACTACCTTCGGATTAAGCTCTAAAGAATACACATAAAACATCGGGAAAAACTACGTACGCGTGCCCAAGTTAAGGTATCCACGTTTGGTAATCGAATTTTGCAAGGCATGCCAAATGTATTTGTCCTTACGGCCGCCCCCTGTATATTGTCACAAAAAAAAAAAAAAAAACTATATTCTCTGACAGCTTAACGAAACGCCGGGCGTTGAGAGTTCCGACAATCTCATGGACTCTTTTCGAAAGTCCGCACCAATGCCTGTCCGCCGTTGCTTGCTCACACACCCAGAGCATGCATTGCGCAACGAGGTCTGCGTAGGCGTCCGGCGTAAACTTCGCTCAGCTCGTATTGGACACGTGCGTGACGTCAGCGCTCGTCGAGGACTCGAATCAAATCGGGAGCTTCGCGCCCAAACAATGGCGACTGCCATTGTTGCTTGATGGACTTTAGGAAATGGTTTATTATTATCCCTTCCTAGCCAACGAAACTGCGCCATAAGCCACTATAATGATGTCAAAAAACGATCCACAAAACAAAAAAAGTTGGAATATGATAAGCCGTACTCTGATTTGCTTAAGTGTTCGGCATCTATCATACATATCCGTCTGTTTAATGCTAGTACAGTTTCAAACGTTACGTAGCTCGACGTCGGCGTCCCTTACCATCGCGCGGACAGTTTCCATCGGTGAACTCGACATCGTCCAGCATCACACCTGAAGCTTCGAGGATATTGGGGTATGAGACCGCTTCGAAAACCAGCTGCGGAAAGCGAAATATACGTGTGAAAACCGCCTGAGCAGTTGATGTCTAGACTCAACGCATAAAAACAATTCTGAGACTACTTTTTTATTTTTTATTTTACCGCACTCAGCGTAATATGAAGTGAAACATTTTCTGCATGGAACGGGTATTCGAGTTCGTGTGTTCGGGAGAGGTCCACGCCATTTTGTGAAAAACAAAACTTTAACACAATGGCAAATGTATCTGCAAACGTTGATATAGTACAATCCCTTTATTGGGATCACCAACAGGTACATTACAGCGAAGGCAACCCCTCCCTCCCCCCCCCCCTTTACTGCATCGTCCCGACCCTGACTAGGAAAGAAAACTTGAGTGATGGATTTTTAACATCAAATTGAACACGAATGTCTAGTAAGCATACGGCTGACATTCGTGGCCATTCAGTGAGAACACCACTCCCAGTGGAATGCTTACTCAGCACTCCTCTCCCTTCTCTGCTCCGCGCTGGGCTCCTCACGCTGACGTACAATATTTACTCACTGCTGCCTCATTGACGTGGATTTGCTCGGCAACGCTGAGTGGGGACCTTCGCATTGGCACAGTGCAAGTTACAGGTTCGTTGCAGCTATCTCTCTCTCTAAAGAGAATAACGCTCTTTGGTCATGGTGTTTGGAAGGCATCTCCGACAGGTACGTTTACCGCGTCGTAAAAAGTGGTCCGTAAATATACGCCCGATGATGTCATCAAAGTGTTCATGCCATTACTAGCCGCGGCTCCTGGCGGTATTACATCGGCGGGGTTAACGTGACAGACACTTCTGCTGCACTTCACTCACAAAGGAGGAGACGAGACGTCAAAGCGCCGATCTTTGATTTGAATGATTAGTGATTGGAACGCGTCCGAGCTGTGAGTATACGATATCTAGCCTGCGTTACACGGTCACTCCAGGACTTTTCACCTCGAATAGTCAAGGACAAGATGAAAACCGCAAAGAAGAGCTTCAGTTATCCTGCCTTTAGAGCGAACTTCCTACCTTCCGCAAGGCGTTGACGTCCATCCGTTTTCACTTTGTCGGTGACCCCACAAACCCTCAAAACCAGAGCACGACGCTCTCATCTTCTACGGTCCCTCAGTTTTCATCCGTTTGACTGGACAGTCGACGGAAGCCTCGGCCGAGTTGGGATGCCACGGCGATAGCGACAGTCGCCTTCAGTCTTACGTTAATTGCTGGGACGTCCAGTACCACCAAACACGCTCGACGCATCCGACGATGGGACGCGTCGGCTTCGGTGACGCCATTAGTTACCGCTTCGGAACCAGTTTTCGATGTACGGGCGGGTTCGGACACTAAACACACCAGTCGAAGACGCGTTCCAGGAGCCGCACTTCAGGTGAACCACTACAGACTACACCATTGTTGGAAGCGTACCTGCCACTGCGTCCTCGACGAAATTGTGACGGTGCGCGGGTTCCACCGGCCTGGTGTGGGATCCGTATACAGCGAAAGGACAGGGTCCCGCAGTAACGTTCCTTCGTTGTGCCTGCAACGTTGTTGAAGAACAAGCATTTCATCAAAATAATGCCTCAGATATAGATTTTGAAATTATTTAGTGTATCATATCGCACTATCGTATAGTTGCGGGAAATCGGCTTTAAGTGCACAGTAAGGACAGACGACACAAAACAAAACAACATTAGGAGTTTTGTGCCGTCCGTTTCCTTTTTTTATTTGCTGCTAGATAGCTCTGTCTGCCAGCTCGCCCGTTCTGTCACTTTAGTATAAATGCATGTTTATTTATGAAATATTCTCCAACCTTTTATTTTAAGCAAAAAGTAGGGACAACAACCAAAAGTGTAATAAACAGTAACCCGACGTTTCAAGACCAGTTCGGTCTCTTGATGACGGGTGAGTGATGGAAAGAACATGCGTCACTTAAATGTATATACAGGTGTATGGGGCTTTGCTTACTTCACGCCGTCCCCAGACCTAGCTTCATATTGGACAGGGGATACGAGACTATTAATAGTTTAATTGAACACTTATATTCATATATTGAATATTATTTTTACCACCAATCATTGAATAGAATGGTGTGTACATTGACCCCGTAGGTGTTACTCGACTCCGCAGAATAAACCGTTGCTAGGGGCGTTGCTATGAACGAATACATGCCACTGAATTTCGCTCCGAAAAAACCATCCTTCAAAATATTGGACATGGAATTTGAACGTCTAAGATGTCTAGATATAGGAAGCCTAGATTTCACAATTGCTACGACAGACGTTTGCCGGCTATCGGCTGCTTCTGAAATATTTGCGACAGTAACTTCCGGTCTTTGAGACGTCTGGATGCCTGCTGTAGACAACGAACGCACACAGAAGCAGGGGCTCCGGAACCGGGGGGGCGGGGGGGGGGGGGGGGGGCAGGGGGGGCGTCTGCTTCCTTCATGTTTTTTTCGTCGGGGTCATGTCCCCCCGACGCTGAAGGCTGACACACAACCCTCCCTTAATGTAGTCAGAGCAACATGCTACAGCGCCTTCCAAGCTTGAAGCGGAATAAGAAAGGACAGCGACGTTTTGTCGGGAAGAGAATTTGTAGTAAAGCTGATACCCCCGTTAAGTGCTGGGGTAAACGTTTCTTCTGAGCCAGCCTTGAGGCGCGCGTATTGGTCACATCTTAATCACTGGCAGCAGGACGGGTACAGCTTAGGAAAGGCACCTTTCAACCATTCCTTGTCATCGGAAAGGATGCAAGGCGGGGAGGAGGCCTCCCTCCGGCTCTGGATAAGCCTCCCCAAACGCAAAACCTCTTGCCGCGGGAAATTGGTCTCTGGCAGAGCGCTTCGACGAACAGCAGTCCGGAGCATATGTCCTTGGAGGGACTGCACACTCTCTTTGACGAGTTTTGCTTGGGATCGGCTCTTTCAAGCTCGGCCATGCCAATAGCGTGCCAATTGAGCGCACTGATCCCACAATGGCCGGAGAGGGTTCAGGGCTGGCCTAGCATGGGAGGCGCCCCTTGAAGTTTCTGCACGACGCCTAGACGCGAAAAGCATTTCTGCCATCCGTCAATCATTTTCGTACTTTTGTTCGGTGTGACAGAAGAGGTCACGGGAACGCTCTTGCGTGCTAGAGATTTTGGAGATCTCTTTTTGTTACTCAGAAAAGATTTCGGCTAAACAAAGGTCGCTTCCTCCATTTCGGTTTTTCCGCGCGTACGATCTTCAAAGTTGGGGGGGGGGGGGGGAATTTGCACTGCAAGAATGTGAGCCTTGACCCCCGCCCCCGCCCCCCCTTCCCGATCAGAATTCACTTCCGGAGCCCCTGCACAGAAGACAGGGTATGCCATCTGCAACAGTTTGAACCGTTCGCATAATGATATGATTTTGATGTTGTATTTATTGGGAAAATGGCTGGCCTAAGAAAACTCATCGGGTTAATAAAAAAAGTGAAAGCCGTTTACAACTCCCTGTAACACCGAATTAGAGCGCAGCTCTTGAGGAGGAGGAGGGAAGGGTACTGGGGGGGGGGGGGGTCACGTGACCTTGGGGGGTCACGTGACGATGCCAATGTCATCAGTGACGTCACTGATGACGTCATCAGTGACGATGACGATGCGGACTCCGATGACGTCATCAGCGATGATGACGATGACGATACGGATGTCGGTGACGTCATCAGTGACGTCACTGATGACGTCATCTGTGATGATGACGATGACGATGCGGATGCCCCCCGAAGTCACGTGACACCCCCAGGTCACGTGACCACCCCCAAGGTCACGTGACCTTCCCGATGACGTCATCGTCACTGATGACGTCACCGGCATCCGCATCGTCATCATCACTGATGACCTCACCGGCATCCGCATCGTCATCGTCATCATCACTGATGACGTCATCAGTGACGTCACTGATGACATCACCGGCATCCGCATCGTCATCGTCATCATCACTGATGACGTCATCAGTGACGTCACTGATGACCTCACCGGCATCCGCATCGTCATCGTCATCATCACTGATGACGTCATCAGTGATGATGACGATGACGATGCGGATGCCGGTGACGTCATCAGTGACGATGACGTCATCGGGGAGGTCACGTGACCTCGGCGGGGGTCACGTGACCCTGGGGGTGGTCACGTGACCTGGGGGTGTCACGTGACTTCGGGGGGGGGGGGGTCACGTGACCTCGGGGGTCACGTGACTTTGGGTGGGGGAGGGGTCACGTGATCTTGGGGTGACCTTGGGGGCCACGTGACCTTGGGGTGACCTTGGGATGACCTTGGGGGCCACGTGACCTTGAGATGACCTTGGTTACGCCGACGCCGACGGCGACGCCGACGCCGCTCAAGCCGGGAACGGGCCCCTAAGAGCTGCGCTCTAAAACGAATTGTATTTGCGTGCGATAGGGGATAATCTCTGTCCAAAATATTAACACGCACAGAGATCTGCAAGAAATGGAGTGAAAGAAAGCGTCGGTTTATTATATGATAACAAAGCTGCGTGAAACCCTTTTTTTATTTTGCAGTACAGCTATTTTAAATGTAGCGTATCGGTTCAAGACGCCAAACTTCGTTTTTCAAGCTCGCAATATGTGTGTGTAGTTTGTAGCTGCTTGCTAAGGGAAGAGCCCTGCTGATTCTTTCGTTTTCAACAATACTGGACACAGGAAAAGAGCGGGATAAAAACACCAAGTAAGTTATCGGGCGCGTTGCTCGCTTTCGTTAATAAAAACTTCTGATGATAAGACTGATAACGCTTCGAATATTGTTTCTAGCTGAGGCTTTTTTCGGAAAATGCCTTGGGAGCATTTCGCCTGTTTTGTATATACTAATAAATTGCGCAATCGTTAATTTGACGACGTGTTTTGACCGCGGTTGCACAGTCGGCGGTTATCGACGATAGTCCTCTCCGTGCTGAACAGATGAAAAGGGAAATGCAGGGTATGAACATAACTTTAATGTGTGGTTCCACATTCCGAACATGTACATCACTCACGCAAAACATAAACCCAATTAATGTTTTTCTCTTTTTTTTTTTTTTTTTTGTAGCTAGGTTTGGGGGGGGGGGGGGAAGGGAGTGTACGCGACTATATGACGTCGGATTACGCTCGCTTCGGTCGACAAGGCCTTGATCTCCACGCGCGGCCTCTTCCCATGTGTATTCGAACACATTTTATACAAAGTTCCTAAACAAGCGCAGAGCAAACGTACGGCAGTCGGCTTCAGAGGAGGAAGCGGAAACTGCACAGGAGCAGCTGAAGAGGGGCGACTTTCTGTCGTTCAATAGACACTCCGATAACTCAAACTCGAGTAAGTCCGTTCGAAGCTGAGGCAGCCATTACCGAACGGGCCCATACATATTTTAGGGAAAGTTTGTTAGATCACACACGCGTAAACTGAGGCAACTTCTGTGCCGTCAGAACTCTTGAGGCGTGTGCTTGATTGGACTTCGACGTCCATACGCTTCACGTCGTCGTTGTACATGATCCGGCTTCACCCTGTTTTTACCGTTCTTAAATATTGCTGAAGCCTTCACTGACTGGCGATCATGCGATCGCGCACCTCCAGCGTCCATCAGAGCTGTGCACCGGAATTCTTAGCTTTCAAAATCCCAGCGAAAGTTGACTTCGAAAATCGAAGTTTCATCGATCGTCACAAACGTAACTCAACGATCGGCGAACTCCTGCAAATGGAACCGCTGGACCCGCAAGGCTATCGTGCCGTCTGCTAGCGAAGTAAAAACGGTTGTGAGACTTTACTGCTGCTCTCATCAATTATTTATAGCACTGATATAATAAAAAAGTATTCATGATCAGAGAACTCGAGAAACCACGATGCTTACAAAATATTTTCACTTTTATATGACAAATTCTTCCTTCACGTCGAGCCTTCGTCTATTTGACTATAGCAATGGCTCTAGCAAATGTTTGTTTGGGACACGCCGCCATCTTGTGACGTCATCAATTACGGGGACAATTGGCTTCTTGGTTTACACTTTTTCAATCACAATTTTCAAAAGGCGAGTTAATACTAACCTTGCGCGCTTCAGCTAAATTATTTTCGATTTCATTTGACTAAAAATACAATACCATTTTATTGACTTTTCTGTTGAATTCATTTTTAACCCGGGGCACTAATATATTAGGGTTGGCAAGTTTTGGCATCAATCAGCACTGCAGTTATTCTCTTGAGAACCAGTTTTTTTAATGAGAGTCGGCAGTAATGAAGTCCCTTTTATCCCGAGGAGTCGTTTTGAATGTTTAAAAACTCCATATATGGTGGTATCTTGCGATTTGTTACAAGTACTATGACAAAAACATACTTACGCATAGTGATTGAAATCACGTTGCACGTTTGCTGTATCTCATCATTCTTAATTACGCCACTTTGGTCCAGTGGGACGTTCTAAATGCTGCTAATGTTACCGATTGTCGTAATTAAACGTTGTATCTCCTCTTATACAAGGCCTGACATGTTCCATGGCAAGCGTATACTTACACATATACGTTGAGGTCGCTGCGATATCCGAAGCCTTTCCACCAGAAGGTGACGCAGGTTGCCGGGGTGGGCTTACGCGTAGAGAAGTACACCCTCGATTCTGGATGGGCGGGGTCAATCTTGCTAGTGTTCAGGAACAAAAAATATCCTGCAAACGTCCGCAATGACAAACAAAAATCAAATTTATGATCCCCGCGTCGTCTAAGGCTACATTTATCCGGGAATAGGCCTTTTACAACAGTGCACGCCATCTCGTAGCCACTGCACAAATTGTCCGAGTCTCGCCGCTGTCTTCGCACGTATTCCGAACATGTAGATACACTACACGAAGGCTGCATCCGGGTTGGTGGTAAACTCAGATCCACCCACACGTTTCGTGCCTTACAAATGGTGACAGCCAATGTTGCTCTTCTCGGTTTACAAAATGCAAATTTATGTGGCAGAAAAGATGTCATATAATGCTATTAACTCGTCTAGCTTAAAACAATTACTTTCGTTAAATAACAGTGCGTTTTTGTACTTTTTACTAGTCACACAGATAATTGCTTTCCTAGCTTGGAGATCTCATCAAATGCAATAGAATTGCAATATTACTCGATCAGGTCTTTGACAAATCAACAGTTTCTCTCCGAATAAAGCGGAGAACAGTTTTCCACTAAATTTAGCACAGAAAATTGCGACGTCACGTCACACGAGGCTGTTCGTCACGCAGCACCACGACGCCACGTGATGCCGTGACGTAACACGACGCCGGGAGGTTTCGTTACACCGTGATTTCGCAAATGTCAGTGTGACGTCACGAGGCAGGACGACGTCGCGTGGAAGCGTTTGATATCACGTGAAGCCATGACGCTACGTGACATTCTGACGTCGAACGGTTAGACCATCACGAGCAAGAAAGGTCCATGGCGTTTCTTATGTATACCCAGACTCAAATCTCTGAAGTCACGGTGCCATGGTGGCGCTGCTGTCGTCGACGCCACGCGTGAGCAGACGAGTAATCTCACGCAAATCAAGTATCTGCGCACTGACAACCCCCCCCGGTGTGGTCACATACTAATTTGTTCGTAAACAGGGCTTTGGTATTCAAAAGATATTGCCTTGAAACGAACAAATCACTTGTTCCCGGCTATTGGATTCGAGAAGATACTACCTAAACCTTCAAATAGTACACGAACGTTTCGTAATTTTAAATGAAAATTTTTAGAAACATTTCTGCGATACATCTGAATGCCAACCGGAGTTCCATAGAACTGAGGTTGCGGCATGATTCAAAGCAAGCGCAACTGGAGTGTGAAATGCGCGAGGCCTTCATGATATTGGCCCATGCTCCTAATGTTTTTATTAGCGCACCCTTTATCGCCCTTTCTGATAAAGCACAGGCCTTTATCAGTAAAGCTTCAGACACTCACCAGTGACCTCCTGCGTCTGTTTTTTTTAAATCTTAGTTTATCCTTTGTGCGCATCTGCGATTTGAATCTTTTTATGTGTGGGCTCTATTTAATGTCTGTTCCAAGTCGAGCCCTGTCCTGTGTGTCACTCTTCTTTGCCCCCGTTTCTATGGCGTATTTCCTTCCCATCTTGTAGATACCACGGTTGTCATTCGATATCGTTTATTGTTGCACACACGGCAGGTGCTCGGCTCCCCTCCAAATATAGCGGATAACCTGGATTGGTTCATAGGACACGTGACGTAAATTTTTATGCTAAAGTTAGCGGAAACTAAATCCATAAATTTTCCGGTAATTTTAGGGGGAAACTGAATAGGTTCAAAGGTCACGTGACGTGGATTTTGCGATAAATTTAGCGGGTAAACTGTATTGGTGGATAGGACGCGGGACGTCAAGCGTCCGCTAAATTTAGCGGGGAACCTCGGTTGGTGCATAGGTCACGTGAAGTAAATTTTTCTGCTAAATTTATGGGGAAACAACGCCCCCCCCCCCCTTGCCATTACAGTCGACATACATAAGCGGATATCTGTGATGAGTAGCTTAATATTACTGTCGTTTTAAAAATATTTATATTGTCGTATACAGCAAATTTACACGTAGACGTTTACTGATCAGTCACAGCAAAACGTATTCTGTTGTATATATAAAATAACTCTAAAATAATATAAGCTTGAATGCAATTAAATATTAGTTCATGAAATAATGCTTATAAAAAAAACGCGGTGTTACCAATTTGGTTATACTTCGTTTCATTACATTTGATTTGTTTATTTTCTATGCTCATGAACGCCGAGCAGCCTACGTAAGGATGCACATAGTCAAGATGAGCACACACAAGAAATCTACGGCAAGTGCAACAGTTAATATCTATTATGCGGGAACCAGAAATGGGTAACAGTTAAATGTCAGCCATTGACCGCCTAGACGCTAATATGAAATTAAAAAGAAAAACACAGAATAGATTAAGAACAGAGGCACAAACAATTAACGTATTTTTAACTTACAACAGATACACGTTTGAATGCCTCTGAATTTCTTTGGTATTGATTTATGTGAAATAACAGGAGCAGGTGTGGGTACGCTGCAGTAAAACACGACGTATTTTCAATAAAGTAACTGGCACCCTATTGCAAAGAGAGAAATGTTATTTACGGTTTGTCCAATAAATTCACGAGAACTAACACAAACTTTATCAGCTCCATATAAATTGTACTGATTTTATACTTTTGAATTCTGTATTTGACTCAATAACATATTTTATTACTCAAGATAAAATCCTATTATACAAATAAGTAGCGAGCCAGCAGACACCCGAAAACGGAAATAAGAAGACAAACACTGTTATTAAACAAACGTCACCCGACTTGCTGAAATGAATGTACAGTTAAGTTTTAGACGCAAGTGAAATAGAACCAAAATTAGATGCCGAATTCGAGTATATAGCACGGAGGCATTATGACCTAAGAGAGCATTGAGTCTGAACCGTTTTTGTTATTTTTTATTGCGATAGCATTCGGAGGACAACCGAACCGTGAGAGTGTGCGCACTCGATCGTAACGGCTAAAAACCAAAACTTAGCGGGGAATATACCGGATAAATGTCGTGGGAAGCCTTTGGAGGTTGAACTCAGCGGTAAAAAATCAATTGCAGTACAACTGACGCAGTGTTACTTCACGCGACCCTCGATCACATCACGACTGCTTATATATGGTATGGTTTGTAAATCTAGTAATATAGAACACGCCAAATCGTTCCTGTGAAAAGTACGCATCGCGCAGAAAAAGGGCTGGTGCAATATTGGTTCTTGCCGAAAAGCAAATTTGGGGGAAAATGAGGGTGTGACACAATTGTGCTCATAATTACTTTTAGTAATTCACTTTGCAATTAGTACATTTAAAGGAATCATTTCAATTAGATAGGAGGTGAGCATAATTGAAAACTATGAAATCCAACCACATTATGGATATTAGGCATGCCCAGATTCTTACGGCTCTAACTAAAAACACTAAATTTGGACGCAAGGAAGCAAATATAACGCTTAACTAGGAACACCGTAGCTTTTTACACACTACGATAGACCAGTGCCGATGCACGGCCTTCGTCGCTTCTAGAAAAGGTCTGTTCGAAGCCGGCGTCGAATGGCAAAGCCAGTTTCACGGAGACGAGCTAGCTCAGCTTGAGTAAAGGTTTGTTTTCGTTTTTCTCTCAATAAGGTCATATAGTACTCAATGTTTTGAAATGACAAGTTAGTTCAAGTCCCTGTAAACTGTTGAGGAGAGTTAAAAAATAAAAAGTAGAGCTTTCTTGTAAATACTGACGTGCCATTTTGTTATATTTATAAAGGTTAACTGCGCTTTTGCATTATAACAAAATTACAATAACAGTTAAGCAGACTTCTTATATGATTGTTGAATGCTTTAAACGATTGTTATTTCGATATATTTTGCCTCGTTTTTATATGAAGTAGTTACTTGGTAAATAGTATGTGAATATGGCGATAAAACGTGTTTATTAGACGTGTTCTGTAGTATCTTATGCATTAAAATTGTTATTGTTTTTGTAATACCTTGTGTAGATATTGGAAACATTAAAAATATTGTTATGCGCATCATCGGTGCGAATGTGACGGCTGTGCAAAATACCATAGCGAAACGTTGGCAATATGCACGCTAGAGCTTCGACATTTCATATCTCCGTAAGAAAACTAGCTAAGGCGTTCGCATATAGCACAATGTTCCTGACAAAAAGAAGGATTTCACGTAAGTTGCTTAAAAAAATTTAAAATAATTGCCTGAACTATTTTTTTACAATCTGATATGGAACCATCATATTGCATTTTATTTTTCGCAGCAGCCAGAGAGAAGGCCTCCATTTCCTGTACGTACCCTTATTGTCTTGGAGCGTATGGTCGGGAACCTTCAGGGATCTGCTGCTGCTGATGACCCATCTTCTCAACGTGCTAGGTTGAAGGTATAGGGGACATGGGCTGCCGATCTCAAATGTACACTTATCTAAACAAAAAAGAAATATACCCATATTTAGCCGGATGTTCTGCATTCAAACCTTGAGATTCACAAAAAGAACTGAGATAGGGAGCGTTGTAAAAGTAGTCCTTAAGGATTCAACCTGCTTGGAAATGTCATATTAAGATAAAAAAAAAAAACATTGCCAAAACTCTGAGACATTTGGTCTAGATCCCTGCAACGGCTGTTTTCCGCAAAACTTGATTTCAACCAAACATCTGCGTAAGCCAATATCTCCAGAAGAAGTAAACATGGAAATTAGAATTATTAGGGCTCTCGTTTGTCTTTCAGTGATCGTTCCTCTAGTTTATTTTTGTCTTTTTTTGCGTTGCTGCTGTTATTAATCACAAACTCACCAAGCTTCCAGCAAAAAATACTTAATACTGCTTGAGACTATGAAACCTGTAGTTTTTATTCCTAGTCATGACAAAAGATTTTTGCATTGGGTTGTGTGAACCACCATTGCATGTTTTATTTATTACAGATGAGTTATCGCTTCTGCTTTTATTTTGATACGAACACATTCCAAACCCTTCGATTTAGGCACAAGTATTCTGGGGGTTGAGAAATGCAATTCCCATATCCTGTCTTCTTAAATTTAATCCACGATAAACACTGTTTTGTTTTGTCAGACACAAAAAATTCGTTCCGAAAAACACTGATTCTGTGGGGAGAATACACTCCCAAAACACACCCAAACGCGATGAACAATAAATTCGGATATTAAAGGGGCACTGACACATCAAAATAATTTTTTTTTAATTATCTGAAATGATTGAAAACGATGCCGGGACATTACCCTCAAAATTCGAAACTTGGAAATTCAGTATTTCTGAAGTAAAAAAACTATTTCCAAATGCCGAATTTGAAGTTCCCGCGCAATCTGCGCCAGTGCGTTGATGTCATATTGCGGAGTCCTGAGAGTCGACTTTCTTTCGCGCCTCTGCTCCAAACCACCGAGACCCCAAGCGAGGAGCTGAGGAGCGGGAGAGAAGGGCGCCGGCGGTCCGGGAGAAACCAGTTTCTTCGTCCGATTTCCATACTCACCAATCATCCTCTGCTATGTGCGTTGAGCGCCGCTAAGCTTTCCGAGGGAGGATACAAATCCAGGAGGGAACATCACACCGGACCCTGATTTTTGGTATTTCAAAAAGAAGGGCCGTGGTGCGTTTGCAAATGCGTTAAAAGAAATGTTTTACGATTGCCGTTATTAAATGTTATAGCAATGTCGGCTACAAAGCTTCTACATTTCATGATTTTTGATGTCACCAATCAAAAAAAAAGCGATGAGGTGAGGAGCGGGAGAGAAAAACGCCATAAATAAAAAGACGTGCGTGCGCGGAAATTTTTTTTTTTTTGTGATGCGTTGCTTTTTTTTGCGTCTATGACTACAATTTGCATAGTTTTAGACAATAAAAAGAAATACGACCTTTGGGGTGTCAGCGCCCTTTTAAGGAATCACACTAGAGATTTCCCTTAAGGTCGGTGTTCTTACTGTGTACGGCGGGTATGGCGGGGTAGTTTCAGAGCTTACCTCTTTGTGGACACGACCCAGGTGTAATCTGCAGGTCATCGATGGCAATCAAGCCGAAGAAAAGGTAGGCTTCCAAGTAGAGCTGCGTTTTCACAATAAATTACATGATAAGATTGTCTTAAGATTCGACGATTATCACATGAACAATGAAAACCTTGACGCAAGGTAGAAACATTGATGTCCCTGCCTTAAGTTCCGATGCAAAAAAAAACACAGCGTTATAATTTTTTTAAGAGGTCTGATATTGGAATGTTCTTCCTCGTAGGTTTACAGTCATATTGCTGCCTGTGCCTTTCCCTTTTTTTTTTTTTGCAAGCGCTTTAGACGCATTTAGTAGACACGACTAATTAATTATGATCTCTATTTATATACTTTTAAAATGGAATGTGTGCATTTCGTATTGTTTTTGTGCACAAATTGCTTGTTGTTGTGTGCTTCTCCATACCTTGGTGTTCCTTGAATAAATGAATGCATACTAATTAAAAATATAAAATACAAACTGAACTGCATTTTTATACGAAAATCAAGTGTTGCTTTCATGTGTATTACTCTACGTTGATTATATTGTTCGTGTCTTTATTCTTACGAATTGTTTTTATAAGGCACCTCTCCTTCATAACGTTTTGGCCCTGAGAGAAAAATAACTAAATAAATAAATGGAACTCTTAACCTGTACTTAATTTACATACAAACCATCTGTGGGCACGTATACAGGGTGATTTTTTTAACTTAACATATCTTTATAAATATAGCCGTGAAAGCTACACTTGTGCTTTTTTGCAACTCAGTTATACGGCCAGAGGGACATGGTATAGGGGGATAATCGTAACGACCAGTCGGCTAAATAGGTAACATTTTTCATTTTCTTTTTTAATCAGTTAAAATGTACACATGGCTCAAGATACAAACGTTCTGAACTTCATCGGAACCAGCTAAGTTAACTTTTTTTTTTTAAGTATATTAGGCAGGGGCATAATTTTATTGTGTTCCGTCAACACGCTCATTTTGGGCACTTTTCTAGGTTTCCGTTTCTTATCAGAGCTCATTTCTGCGCCCGCTGTCCTGCTTCCCAGTGACTGAGATGCGCAACATACGTACTCCATGCTTCCGTACATCCTACGAGGCAGGCGCGACGGTGGGTCCGCCCCACGACCACCAGGGCGTAGAAGCGCGGGTGCAAATATGCTCTCCTATAAGAAACCAAAACCTAGAAACGCGCCCAGCTCAACGTTTATTCAGAACGCCCTAAAATGCCGCCCCTGGCTTATATAGTTATAAAAGGAGTTGATTTAGGTGTTTTTGATAATGCTGAACAAGTTTCTAATTCGAAGAATATGTAAATATTCGCAATTTCAAAAAAGGTTCAATAAAACTTACTTTGTTAAACGAATGGTAATTTCGAGTAGCACCCTACACACTCTAAGAAAAAGGGGTGTAGTGGGTACACCCACAGGGGGTGTAAGTGCTGCCACATATACTACACCCATAAAGGTGTACATGTACACCTCAAAACAAGGTGCATATATACACCCTCCCTAGGGGTGCATATGTGCACCCTTTTATACACCTTCAGCATTCGGGGGTGCACAGATACACCCCATACTGGGGTGTGTCTCTACTCCTTTCTTACACACTCACTGTCGTTTCGGTGTGCAGGTACACCCCAATTTAAGGTGTACAAGTATTCTCTTCTCTACACCCACCAACAGGGTTTGCTATTACACCGTTGTTTACACCCACGCCGCTCATAGGGAACAGAGATACACCCGCCAACAGGGTTTACTATTACACCGTTTTTTACACTCACCCACTCATATGGAACATATATACACCTCATTCAATAATGTACCATTACACCTCTTTGTGAACCCACCTCAAGGAAACCTGTAAAAAATGTACGCGCCCAGGTGGTTGCAAAAAGGCAGGTAAACAGACACAACGGATTGTTTTCAAATCTCCTATAAGTTTATTAGACAGTCTATTCCGTAAACAAGTACAAACGTGCCAGCAATCTGTGATATGTGAAGATGTGCAACGAAGCTGTTACACAACTCAGGACATTAATGAGCGAACAAGAACCGGGGTGACTCTTAGGTAGTGTCTATTTTCTCAGCAGCCGGTAGAATTATTTGCCCGAAATCGTGCCGGCAGTCGTCACTCATTGGCGATATAATCACTACATCGAACGACGATTCATCGACAGCTCAGGCTAGCTTTCCTCTAAAGCATCTCTTCTCTCTTTTTTTTTTCTTGTAATGAGCCGCTCCAGACTATATGCGCGAGGTGATATATACGGGTATCACAGGTAGGGTAAACATTTTTTTAATGAGCCACCGCATACTGTCGCCACGAAGCGACGTGAACGGGTGGGCTGGGTCGGTGAGCACGCGCCTCAGAGACACAGACACGACGAAATGTCCCTAGAGCGTGTATTTCACGTAACGAGTCACGGTGAAACGTTAATGTCGACGAAACGTGTCTAGAAAACGTGTATCAACGAAAAGGTGTCCATGAAACGCGTGTTCACAAAACGCCGGGCGAATAAGAAAGTCACCTGCAGTTATCACACGATTGTAGACAGTTAATGGCAGGCGACTGCCGATAGAATTTGGGGGAAATTAATCTCCCGGCTGCTAGGAAATAGACACTGCCTAAGTTTAGACGTAATCCGGAACGGAACGGTCAATTGCTGCAAAGGAGTAGGTTGCAGCGCACTTACGATGAAAATACCGGACCTGAAATATGCAATCCGAGATAGATGTTGACACGGGCACTGCAGAACTACACAAACACAAACACGGAAAGAAAGGGGTCTGTGAAGATTCAACACGATGTGGCAGAATAAGTAATTTGCCAAACCGAACTTTTTTGAAGAAATCGCTTGTTGCCGATGTACTTTGGACTTTTCAAACACTGGAAGCCTTGGTAGACTCGAATACGTTGTCACGGACGAAATCTCTGGCAGCCCCGCTGGTCGCAGCACAGCACACAAGAAACTAGGCCGGGAATCAGACATTCCCGGATCGGAAAGAGCTACTACGCCACCCGTGAAGCCTTTGCCACATGATCACGCTCCTGCCATTACCCGCACCCAGACAGCGGACTCAAGGGATAAAAAAAGCCTCCGGTCCATTGGTCCGACGTCTACGTAGCCTCTCCCACGCTTTCAGCTTAGGGAGAGAAAGAAAGGAGAGGAGTATACGAAAATAGCAGCTCCTTCAAGGCCAAAAGTGGCTGCCCTCGCGAAGGCTTATCTTCAGGGCTATCCCAACAATGAACGCAGCTAGAGGATTTGTCCCCTATATCCTCTTGAAAGTTCGACCCAAAGTTAATAGTGCAGTGGATGCTACCCGTGGCCTTGGCCTTCAGGCAGGTGCCGTGCTCTGCCTTATCTCTAGCTTGGAGACTGTAGTCACGTGATCCTAGCCGGAGCCCCGATTGGCCTAAAACAAGCATAGCGTCTACTCTACTGTCAATACTAAGCCAACAAAAGAGTTCCATACTTCCTAAGAAACTGCCCAACCCAGAAGTGACCCCCAAGAAGGCATCCAAGCACCCGCTGGTCGGGGCGCGTGGCTAGCGTGGCGGTGCACTGATACACCTAGAGGTTTTTAAGGGAGAGGAGGATGCTCATTGTCGGTGCACAAATACACTGGCTGGGCAACGGAGGGTGCATCTTTCAGGAAAGGGGTGCATGTGCTGCTGATACACCCGACTACACCCGTTTTTTCTTAGAGTGCATTAGGTGCCCCTGGCCGGAGAACTCATTTGCACAAGCCGGATAAATGTAGTTTTCACAGCTCTTATTAAACAAATCTGTTCAGCTTAAACAAAACACCCTGAAGGGGAGGTGCTCAAAAAAACAAAAGTGGACCGGAGCCGCCCGTGGCCCCGTGTCTATAACAGCAACTCTTGAAACACATAGGGTAACTAAGTTGCAAAATCACATGGTTACTCAAGGCTAGAGCATAGGTCAGCTTTACACGCTCTGGTGTAACACAAACGCTCCTCAAGCGGACTACATTCATTCGTCTGGTGAGGCAACCTTCTCCGATGGACCAATATGTTTAGTTGAGAACTGTACATATACTTTGCACATATATATTTCATATACGGCGGTCACCATCTTGAGTCGGGAAACTTCCGGTATGCGAGAAATCATCGCTTCACTCTCAATCACGTCACTGCAAGGTGCTTGTATGCTTTAAGCACAGCTGGTAGTTATCGTTTTTTAACGTGAAACGTTCTTTGGCTTCTTGCTCCGAATTTCGTAAAGACGCATTTTGTGCATCCGTGTCCTGTCACGTCCCATAACGCAACGCTCGCAGTGTTGCATTATGGGACGTCTCAAACCTACGCACCAATTACGTTTCTAAGCTAAATTTAGCGAGAAAATTAACGATGCGTAACTTGCACACCGATTCAGTTTCCCCGTTAAATTTAGCGCGGAAATTGACTTCACTTGACCAGATGCTACGTGAGGCTAGAACGCTTCACGAATACAACACAATTGGCAAGCGATTTTTTTCTTTGTTTCTCCTAATGTTTTAATTGTGTTGTGTTATAATTGAAAAAGGAGACGACGGATGAAGAAGGGGACGAACGTAAAATGTTTTAAACGCAGCTACTAAACTTTATTGAACGAACGTTTATATAAAATATCTTATACACACACGTCTCCCGGAATTCGCACACGCCTTTGTGACCTTCGACAGGTGTAGAGACCTCCTCTCGTAGAGAATAATGTTACAGGCAACATTTCAAAAGCTGCCGCCCGTTACAAAGGGTAAAGCAATCAGCATGCATCCATCCATTCATCGACCCAAAAACGCACCCTCATGCATCATTTCACAGATGCATGAGGGAGCCACCTGGCAATGCGAACAACAAACCCATCACCAAAATAAAAATAATAAAAAAAAATATATTACAATAACAAAAACGTTTGGGTTGCTCCATCTAGTGTTATCGACGGTTGACTGACACACTTTACAACAGACGGAAGTATGATTGTTTCCTTCAAGACGTTTTTGCTTAATCATTTTTTTATTAGCACCAGAGTTTTTCCCCAATCAGGCATACAATTATTGCATTCCTGCACATGCTTAGCGATGTGAGAAGTCGGAGATCTGCTCTTTACCACCCTCATGTGCTCAAAAAGTTGGTGATTTAGACACCATTTCGTATGTCGCACGTACGAAGACCACAGCCCATTGGGATATCCTACACTACTCCAACCTGGCAATCAGTGGCGGCTTCCCTGTGTCGAGGTTGACAGCCCTTGTGCTCCACAGATAATCGGCGTAAGCCTGTTCAACTAGGAAGAAAAGATCATCCCAACCCCGAACCTCCCGGCCACAGCCTACAGGTTGTGTGAAAAAGTATTAAAAAAAAAAAAATGGAATCTCACGACCCTGTCTGGTTTCTCCCTTTCTTTCCTCACCATTCCTTTGAATCTCTTCAAGCACTGTCTGGCGACCCCCTCCACAATGTTACTTTATGCCCCGCCTCCTTTAAGCGTACCGATTGCCTCCTAAAAGCTTCCTGTACCTTGTGCCGGCAAGGCTTTCTAAGAGCGTTGTCAAGCATAGACGTCACTGCCATTCGTTGGACCAATTTCGAATGACAACGTTTGCATGGTAACAAAGGCTTTGCCTCGATCTTGCCATATTCCCAGCAAAACTTGTCTAGCGCGCTCAACCTCAGACCCAAATAATGCAACACACTTTATCAGGCTCCTCGTTGCTAAAGGTGAACTCCGGCGTCGCCTGCATCCTGTGACCTGTACCCCGTGACCTCTTTGATCGTCTGTAATGCCTCTGTTACAACCGAATTTATAAAAATGTCATGAACGTATACAATACTCAAAACCGACCTCTCTGGGAACAATTGTACCGCTTGCCCCAAGTCCACGTGCAACGAAGCCAAACGTACCTCGGACAACGCCGGCGCCAGGGACGAACCTGTGCAGACTCTTTTGTTTAAGCGAATTCGCGCCCCCTCAACTTCGACCGCTGTGGATTTCAGACAAAGTTCTGTTAGGTACAAAAAGCTTCATACATTGTGTAGCGAGGGACATGTTCCTTTGAACTGAGGTCACTACGCAGTGTACCTTGGTGGAAGATCACAAAGGCGTGTGCCAATTCCGTGAGATGTGTGAGTGTGTGAGATAGTGTATAAACGGTTTTGTCGATAAAGTTCAGTAGCTGCGTTTGAGACGTTTTGTGTTTGCCCCCTTCTTCGTCCGTCGTCTCCGGTTTCTTTTTTTTTTTTTTTTTCAAATATATGTAACATCAACAAACTCGCCTGTTTACTCACAATTTCTTCAATGTTATAATGCTGCGCTATTCTTTTCGACCAGCATACCGGATATGTGAACTGCGTCGGCTGGTGGTAAAGCGTAAAATGTCTGCTTACTCGCCGTATCCTTTAAAATCATTGGCTGCGACGGCCGAGGCGCACACACAATTTCCCGCTTATTTGCTGCGGAGGAATTGACGTCACGCGCCGTCAGGTGATGTCACGTAGCACTTAGACATCACGTGACACTGTGGCGGCACGTGACACGCCGACGTAACGAGGCCTTCTGACGTCACGTGACCTGGTAGGTCGCATAATATAATGGCGCGTGACACTATATGGCGTCATGGAACACGACGGCGTCACTGTAACATCACGTGAAACCTCGACATTGCGTGACGTGGTCGGCCGTGTGATTTCACGTCGGGAGACAATATAACGTCACGTGCAACAACAACCTTACACAGAACACGCTCTGCAATTCGCTGCCAAACCTCACCATGACTGATGTCAACATAAAAAAGGAGAATCGGCACTATAAGCATCTTCTTAGGTACCTACACGAAGCGGATATACTGTATTTTACAGCATGTATACACCAACGCTCGGGTCCTAGTTTTGTAGGTCCGGAAAAATCGGTTTCTGTGTGTATCGCACTTGGATTCACTACAGAGGTGAGGCTTGGTGGTGCACGCGTGGTGTTAAAATATCATTGGATAAACTTACAACGTTCAAGAAAGAAAAAAGTACTATTTTTTTCCCGCAATGTGCGAAGAAACGAAAACGAAAGCGAAAAATCGAAAGCGTAAAAAGCGCACGGCTGCGCAATGTGACTGGACTGGCGCCGTGACGTACATGATGAGGGAGGGGCTGCGTGGCTAATACTCATAACCGTCGTGGTTGGCGTTGTGGAGGCCACTGACGACTGCCACCAGTGCTCGGTGATCCGTGAAGTAAATGCGTAAGCGCGGTGGAGGTTTGTAAACCATCCAGCATTACGCGTAGCAACTGGATACTGCCAAAATGGGATTTCGCTTAACGCGGGTAATGTTTAAAAAAGCATTTGAGGCAGACGATACATAGATTTTCTCTTCATCGCGCCATTTTTGGACGTACGCCAGGCCGACGGGAAGTCCTGACTTCCTATCCTCGTGGCGCGGCAAGAGGGGAAAGAAGAAATGTTTTCCATTCTTCGCGGGCTTGGCAACGACAACCTACGAGAACGAAATCACTGCAAACTGTCACGCTGAAAAGTGCAGCAAGTTCTTCTTTTAAAGCAATGACTTTAAAAAAAGTGAAAGCCGTTTACAACTCCCTGTAACGCCGAATTGGAGCGCAGCTCTTGAGGAGGAGGAGGGAAGGGTATTGAGGGGAGAATAGACCCCTCCTCCTCCTCCTCCTCCTTCCCTCATTCTTGAATATGCTCCGGGGGGTTCACGTGACCTCGAGGGGAAGGGGTCACGTGACCTCGGGGGGGGGGGGGGTGTCACGTGACTTCGGGGGGGGGGTCACGTGACTTGGAGAGTCAAGTGACCTCTGGGTGTAACGTGACCTCTGGGGTCACGTGACCTTGGGGTCACGTGATTTCTGGGGGTCGCGTTACCTCTGGGGGTCACGTGACCTCTGGGGGTCACGTGACCTTGGGGTGACCTTGGTGGGTCACGTAACCTTGGGGGGTCACGTGACCTTGGGGTCACCTTGGGGGGTCACGTGACCTTGGGGTGACCTTGGGGGGTCACGTGACCTCGCGGTTACGCCGACGGCGACGGCAACGCCGACGCCGATGCCTCTCAAGCCGGAAACGGCCGCCTAAGAGCTGCGCTCTAAAATAACCTCTTTCGAGCAGTCTCCAGCGCCTTTTCCCGGACGACGCAGACGGTTCTCGTTGACTTGGAGACGCTGCCGACAGATGGCGTGTGCATTGAAGGCGCAGGCGCGCGGGGCGTGCCCATTCGAATTCCGCTAGCAGAAGATCTAGCGAAAGTTTTTTGATGCACACGCCATCTGCTGGTAGCGTCTTGATATCAACAAACACCATCTGCGTCACCCTTGAAATGGCGCCGTAGATTGCCGGAAGAATTCTTTTTTAAAGCGATGGCTTTATGGATGCCACTTAGCAGAGATTTCGTCCTCGTAGTTCGTCGTTGCCGCGCGCGCTAAGAATGGAAAAGAAAAACCTTTTATTTCCGCTCTTGCCGTGAGGAGAGGAAAGTGAAGACTTTCCGTCGGCCGTGCCCCGCGAAGAGAGGGGGCCGCCCTGGCGTCCCGCCAAGAATGGCGCCGTAATGGGAGAACCTATCTGTCGTCTGCTTCAAAGACTTGTTTTCAACCAATACTCGCGTTATGCGAAGTCCCACTTCGGCAGCATCCATTCGCTGCGCGTTATGTTGGATGGTTTGAAAAACCTCCACCGCGCTTACCCACTTACTTCAGGGATCATCGAGCACAGGTGGCAGTCGTCAGTGGCATCCACGACGCCTCCACAACGCCAACACCGACGGCTGTGAGAAAAAGACATGCCATTCCTCCGTCATTGCCACGGTGCCATTCCTCCGTCATTGCGCGACAGCCCTACAGCTATCGCTTCCGTTTCTTCACACATTCGAGACAAAAAAAAAAAAAAAAAAAAAAAAAGAAACGACTTTTTTGTTTCTGGATCGAAGTAAGTTTACCTTTATATATTTCCAATTTATGCGTGCGCCGCCTTTCGGCCCCTATGGAGTAAATACCAGCCCGATACGTTGAACGCCGATTTTTGCGGTCTGTCTAAAACGGGATCACAGCGTTTGTGCACATGCTGTATAACTCTTCACCTATATATGCCGTGTGAAGAAATCTACGAATAAGAAAAGGAGGTCGTTATACTATACAACGGGAAGAATACGTACCCGGTCGGCTGATTTTGGCAAATTCAGTGTAGTGATTTCATGAGCCCAGAAATGAACCGTGTTTGAGCTGTCTCTCCATAGCTTGAGTGAGTTTGGCCGGGAGATGTTCAACGCAATGCTGAAAAAAGAGGACACACGTGGTCAGTGATGCCAGTTTCTCAAGACAAGTCAAATTACTTTTGTTGTGGCGCAAGAGCGCAACCCTATCGTTCAGTATGTGATTAATAATGCATATAGTGATTATGGTACCGTTTAGGAAGACACAATTACACATAAAATGACCTAATATTTATAAAAATATATGGCCTACATTTTATAATAAAGTTGATATTTTATATTAAAAATGAGTTTATAAAATATAATATTTTGTTTTATTTTTTAGTAAGTTATTTTTTTAATTGTTTAACTTTCGTGTTCATGAGGAGCCTGAAACCTTTGGAGTAATGCACGGTAGGTAGATAGAGATTAATAAGGAACAGTCTAAAGCAAGACTGAAATGAAAGGAAAAAATGAAAGGGCATAAATGGGACACGTTTTTAAGATGAAAAACCCACAAACATAGAATTATTTAAGCCGTTAAATGCAGTTTAGTTGAAGATAGCCCTTCGTTTGCCCCCCCCCCCCCCCCTTTCCCTTAACAAAACGTTCCCAGTTAGCTAAGCACCGCTCTCCGGTTCTCACTGGTCGGAAGATGATTGACGTGCGAAATGTTAGTTGTAAATTAGTTTCTCCGTGCCGTAATGTTGCTTTTACCGGCAATACCTTTATGTTTGAGAAAAAAATAATATAGATATAGTATTTATTGCTGTCAAAAATATTCCGTGATTGCTTTTGCCGTTTTGATATCAAACATTACCAAACGCGGCGGTCGGTGTTTGCAAGTGCTAAACAAGCGTAGGTCGATGAGCTCGTATATTTATATTAGTAGGAGTTATTTTTCATTGACTGAGGTGGTTAGATGAAGCTCTCTTCAACCCTCCTAGTTTGCAGCAAACAGTCGCAAGTACGCGCCTTCAAAAGCGCTGTGCGGACGATTGTTTTCGTAGCGGGACTGGTCGAAGCTTAGCGCTCAACGTCAAATATTTTGCTAGATGTGGCTTTGTTTGTTCGTTTGCGCGTGTTGATGCCGTCGCCGCGCCATTCTGTGAATCGCGTAACCGTCGTGATTGCGACCGTGGTTTCAATATCGAGAAGATAAACACATGTAATAATTTGGGAGCCATTTGGCTTGATGCAGTCGAGCGTTCGGTTCGCATCAAATTTGTCCACGTGTGTGTTTCTGTTATTCCGCTTCGAAAGGCAAGCAGCTTTAAAGTTTTGAAGCGCATCTGGCCTGGCAAAAATAATATTTCTAGATCGTGTTTTAATTGCGCGTTCTCACGTTCACCCATCTTGCTCAAGTATGACACACTGGAAAAAATAAACTACAAGAACATAACAGCTGAAAGAACAGCGTGTCCGATTCCCTCAGTCCTTTTCGTTAGTTTTGACCGCACATCAAGAGACGCTGATAAGTGCTTGCATTGGATTGTGACGACGAAACGCTAGAAAACCGCTTTGATGGTCGCGTCTTGTGAGCGTTGCAGACGTTTTTAGACTGTGGTGCAATAGCAGACGGACTCAGGCGACGGCGGACGACGACGCGTTGTTTTCATGACGGCGTCTTTGGCGTTGTAGAGGACGGCAGACGGTGTTGGAATTGTAGACGACTCCCAAGGCTGCAGCGCGTCTTCTCGCACGACTTGCAGACGGTGTCAGACGCCAGACTAGACGCAGCGGACGTTGCAACAGGGAGTCACTAGTCTTGGGAACATGTCCGGATGCGTAGTCAAGCCAATATAACAGTAATAGAAGGGGACACTAATATGGGGGCGGAGCCTAGTGCGGGCCTTGACCATGACGTAAATTGCGTCCAACGGTGTAAGTAATGCGCTAAATACTTTTTTTCGTGGCAAATGATAATATATATATATATATATATATATATAGATTAATTGAGTGATTTTAGATTAGGCGTATCAAAACACTAGGCTGCGGAAGAGTTCCTTTCAGTCTGCGGATGGCCCTGATCTTTCCAGTCACTCCCGGGCTGCGGCCCACTGCTACAAATGCAAAAAGTAAACCCTAATATAAAAAGAAAGCGGCTCCGCGACGCGTTTTAAAAAGCGCAAGCAAAGATGTTATGAATAATAAGAGAAAATCTGCCTAGAAACGCGGGATCTCTCGCGATGGTATTTGTTGTACATTTTCATCCACATCATTACTATTCGCTGTACCTTGTTTTATGTACGTTTAGCTATAACCTGTGTCATAACCCTTGCATGTTATCATCACCAGATCTAGCGTTCTCCTTAGTATTCTGCCATACGTTTATATGCCTAAGCTAATATGCGCCTTGATTTATGCAGATAGAGTTCTGTGACTCATAATTATTTTATAATGACATAAATAACAGTACATTAGATTTAAAAATAAAGTATATGTATTCATCCTCTATATGTCTTTTTCATTTTTCATCCAGATGAAAGTTTTGTATTGAAAAAATTATTTAGGCTTATTAATCTCGTAGTTTTTATTTTAAATAATCTTGTCTATTTAGTGGCCCCTAGACTGACAGATGCCCAATCCAGCATCTTACTCAAAAATGTTTGAAGAGGCTTGGTTTAAATTTAAATGGTACAATATTTGAGTAAACAAACGTCAATACCCGCTGTCTCAAGGGTGTTATAAAGACACATTTGAGTGGCCTAATAAACTAATTTGACATGCCCGATTAATTTCTTTTTCGATATAGAACAATAACGATTTGTTGAGAAATGTACTTACAATCCCTTTGTGTTTGGTGGAGAGGCGTGCCAAAAAGAGATGCAGACTTCACGGCCAAAATCAGGGGGAAATTGGGGGCTCCTGAGCGTGGCATTCTTCATTTTGCCATCAGGATTTTCGACAAAAATAAAGCGACCTGAAATGAGTCCCGATTTTTGAATGAGCACTTGTATTCCAAGTAATTATTTTTATTATACTTTGGTCGACTTGCTGCTTCATAGAGGCATCGTCCAGTTGAATATCTTGGAATAGTTTGTCTGGATTGACTTGAAGGAAACTGAGTTCAAAAATGATATGCGAAATTAATCAAACCTATAATACTCTATATTAATAATTCGGTTGTCTTATATTTCTAGTTGTTATAATAAAACCAAAATATGTAGCTTTGTTTTTTTCAGACGATATTTTGGCACGACTTTGCTCAAATCGTTCTATAGGGGCACCGACAGTTGAAGCAAGTACATGATATAAACGTAGCAGTATTCTTTTATTGATTTTAATTGCTTAAGTTAGTGTACTTTGCTATGTAATAAAGGATGTAACGCTTCCCTGGTAATTTAGTTTAGAAAAAAATTTAAATAAACCTTTGAAATTGTAGTTCATCTGATATTATTATTAGATCGCATGTCCTATGTGGATCGCATTATGTCGTCATTGAGAAAATATTAGTTGGCGTTTAGAAACCATTACGACCATTGAAAAGTACTAGGAGACTTATAAGTGTGTAGGGCATTTAGGAATTAGTAGGACGTTTACAAATAGAAATAAATTAAATATATTTCAATTAATGGCAATATGATAATAACTAATATTTGTTCAAAATACCGAACATAAAATTAAAGTGAAGTGTAACTTTTTTTCATCTGTAAATATATAACTAAATATACACGTTTGCAAGTCCGGTCCCAGGGTGCCGCCATCTTGCCCTGTGGGGTGCGCTTGGGAGCGGCCATAATCCGATTATGACGCCTTAGCAAGGCTTCGTAATCGGATTAGGACGTGTCCAAGCGCACCCCAGCAAGCAAGATGGCAGCGCCCTGAAGCCGGACTTGCAAACGTGTATAGAAGTAAATTGTCTTAAAGGTATCCCCAGAAAAGCAAGAAACAACGGATTCCTGCTGCAAACAGGTTAAATGTGTTTACAAAGTTAATATTGATAGGTTTTCACCAAGTCAAAAAGCACACATAATAAAACCGACAGGTTATTTACTCCTACCCATTTCGCTCCATCTCTCAGGGAGGAAAATGGATGTGAAGAACAGTACAACGCAATTCGTGTCCATTTGTTTGTCTTCAATATACCCCTATGTAATAATTTTAATGATATTGTTTAACGACTTTGAAGATGTCCCCCGTTATACATGCCAGTGTCGTGAGAAACAACGGCATGCAGAATCGATGTGTCACAAATAATCTAAATAATTTGGTGAATGTTGGAAATAATGGGAAAACGTCCACCCCACGTACATTTTTAAGAGCGTAGTGCGTAATAAGACTGAGGCTCGAGTTTTATAATTTGTCACTTTTTTACTTGAATGACATTTATATTACTTATATCTGCATACACAAAAAAAGTTCTGCACTTAAAAGACATGTGCAAAAGGGAAAAGATGGAACAGTGAATGAAAAAAAGTCAAAATAAATCTACACCACAAAAAAAAAAATGTTTAGCTATATTTACGATTTGGACAGTGTTCTAAGTGGCGCCCGCGCGTGCCAATTGAAAAGTGGCAACTAGCGTTCACGTAACCGGCCAGTTGTCAGGTGGTGCTTGGGCTCGTTCGGGGGCTTTCCATGAGTGCTAAAAGTTACTTATATATTTCGTTTAGTCGTTGCACTTATTTTGTTAACAAAATGTTTCGATGTTTTAGAGACAACGAGTACAAGAAAATCGTCACTTCGATCTTGACTCATAGGATAGTAAACGAAAGCGTCGCCAATTTTTATTCGAAGGGGCGCGGTGTCACCTGTTGTATTTTTCAACATGCCGGTTCCCCGAAAACGACCACACTGCTCGACGATCACAAGGACTGCAGCCCTTCGTCTAGCAGCGACGTCGCTTTGGAAAAACCAACATGCTAGAAGAAAGAACATGCTACACCGCGCCCTTTCGAACTGAAAAGGAAAAGATTTCGTTTGTTATCGTACGAGTCAAAACTGGCAGTGACGACTTTCTTATATTTTTCTCATTCAAACATCGGAACACAATGTCGGAAAGAGAAGTGCAACCAATAACAAAGATTCATAGGCAATCTTGTAGAGCACATAGGAAGCTCCCGAAAAAGCGCAAGCACGACGTGACTAGTGGCCATTCACGGGAGTGCTAGCTGCCACTTTTCCGCGGGCTCCGGGGGGCGCCAACTACAAATTCGTTTCGCGCAGAAAATAAAGCTCTACATTTCTTTTTCGTTGTAAGTTTATTTTATGTCATCTTTTTTTCATTCTGGTTGTTAATTTTTGTTTTTCATCTGTCTTCCCAAATGACCATTTTCTAAAAACAGTTAATAGTGCAGCGTACGTGGCGGAGTTGGAAACGTACGCGGCTAATGGAAGGTTCAGCGGGGATCGAACCCCGCTGGACCCCGTTCTTTCTTCTATAGTTTTGTGCTCTCCTGGAACGTTCCAGCTCACTCTCGGTTGTCATTGTGTGTTGTGATTCTGATTCGCGCATATAAAGGTAGCGGTAACGGGCTGCGTCGGAACAGTCGCCCTTCCGTAACCAACGGAGGACGGGTGGTACTTTTTTTAGCGTTTTGTTGCACAAGTTCGCCTTATCAAACGAATATTTTCAATTCGGAATCTTTCAGCCTTTCTCTATTTGTGAGAATATTTCCTAGGAACTTACGATTGTGCTTCGTATCAAATATTTTTTTTGTTTTGTTTTCAACACTCGGAAAAGTTTTAGACAGATTCAGATTTCCCTTATCAGTACACATATACTCAATTGTTCTTAACGCTGCCTTCAAATAGAAACAAGAGGCAGTATTCTCAATAGGATGTTCATAGTGAAGCATGTAAAAATAGAACGACCTGTAGCGCGTCCGTAAGACCTACGAACCTTTGTACGCCTTGAGAGTGTGGTCAGAACTGGGAGAGGGTGGAACGTGCTTTGCAGGGTCGTTTAGCTTGAATTGCATCTCGCCCGTGCTTGGTTCCCAACCGCAAAATGTGCCTTTCTCGAAGTCGCAGGACAGGGCTGAAACACGACATACCAAAGAAAACGGTCAATATTAGTGAGCCTAGATTGCATAGCATTTCCAACTACTCCATCGGTTCCACAGGCTCTATGGGCCGTGTTTGAATCACGAGAACCGACGAGGAGGAGTAGGAGATAGCGTCAGTCGTCTGCAAAGGTCTCCAAGCTTGGCTCGGCCTCTCTCTTTCTTAAACTTGTCGCGACCCGAGAACTCACACATGTGCACATGCGTCAAATCCGCAAAGGAGGTTTCCGCAAGTGAATTGCAAACGCACTTCATTGTTCAGGTTGCTCTTTCTTTTCTAGTTAGGCTCTCTAGTCGATATGCCTCACGTCATGGAGGTAGGAGGAAGAGGAGGGGACACATTCTGGATCAAGCCAGCTAAAGGAGAGAATCTTAAGTGAAGCCGGAAGAAGAAGTCGCGGTCGGTTGGAACGCCCCCCAGCGTGAACAAAAAGAGCTGTTGGCGGCAAATCACTGTCATTTCCCTCCAATAGCAGTTTTTTTTGTTTTCGCTTTGTTAGTTTTTGGTTATTGTTGGGTGTGTGTCGCTCCGAACCGAAAGTCTTCCCGGCTTCACCACTGACGGCGTCATGTCGCCTCGAGAAGCTTCCCATCTCCATGACTCACGTAGATCGTATCTCGGGAGGCTTGTTACGAAAATTAATATTAGACTCATAAAAGAATCTAGTGTTTGGTACAGTTTGTATAACAATTCAATGCCGTATGTGGGCATGTAGTGCGGAACAAGGGTACGAAGTCTGCGGGGTATAGAATTTGGTGTCTCTCACGTTTTATATTAATTATCTGACCAGACACCCCAGTGTAAGCCCCTTGTGGTTCACCGCTATTGTTCTGAACATAATTTTATATTAAAATCAACCGAATGTAATAGGCTGCTCACAAAAAACATCAGCATGCAAAATACACGATGCGCATTTATTCGAATTGTATGGAAGTGATGCCGGTTTCGGCGCCCCATCTTTGTCATTCATAGAAAAATGATTTAAAAACTTAACGAATACATATAAGAACCCGTCAAACGGATTATGATATCATCAGACTTTTCTACAACAATGGGACTATCTTTCAGGTTTTGATGATTGTGTTTGTCTTCATTACGAAAAAACCTTAAAGATACACCGCGCCATGTTGTCACCCCCTTAGTCCTAGTTTTCTTTGCGCTTTACACGTAAACAAATATTGTCTTATATATCCGCTACTTCAAATTCACCATGCCCTTCATTTAGAGAGCGTTTTTCGTACCTTAGAAGTAAATAAAAATGCTATAGACAGGCACATATTTTTTTTACTCACAGGCTTCACCGGCATGCCCTTGTGCAGATGCCACGGCTGCTGCGAAGTAAAAAGGAAAAAAATATGAATATATAATCTCCAAGGGAACTCAGGGAACATTCTTGTTAAGTTCCTCTGTGCTCTAGGTATTTTCGGTTACTTGAAAAAGAACCCCTCTATTATGTTGTAGTCAAATTTAATTTTTGTTTTTGGTAATCATACATGTTCATTAAAAAGAAGAAAAAACAACAACTTTTATTTAAAGAAATGTTTAGGTAGATGGGACAAATGCACTCTTGTACACGTTACTTGAGAAACGTAATCGATTACAAGTAGACTCGGCTGAAAAGTATTAAATTAGATTACATGCACATGGTTACTTGTGAATGGAGGTAATTTGGCGTTACTTGAAAAATGACCGTTACTTTTTCGATTACATTAAGTTTCCAGAATGACAAACTCATTCTGCCGGTTTGAAAACTGTGGATCTTGTGTCTTGCTCACCGAATTATATACTACTTATCTTCTAAATTCAACAATTTTTGTAAACCATCCTCCTCTCTTAAACTTGGTTCAAGGATTCTTTGGTAAAAAAATTGTACAAACCAAGGGCGCCATATGAAAGGGGAAGGGGAAAAAGTTATATTTATAAACAATTTTAGTGTTTTCAAGACATGCAACTACTTCCAAATAAATGGAATCAAAGGATTCCAAAATTGGCATGAAACGTAATTACAAGTAATTTGATTACTTGTAGTGATTACCGTACAAGTCTGAAGAAAAGGCGAAAAGAATAGCTTAACTAAGCTTCATCTTCTGTATATTTCGTGCAGTTCAAGAGCAGAGACAATATCTAAGTGTTACTGCATAAAAATGTTAACATGCATACAAAAGGGGGAAAAAAGAATAACGAACCAAATAAAACACACCATCGCACGATAAGTTGTAAAACACAAAAGTTAAATAATAATTATTTTTTTATAATTAAAGCTAAAATGTGCTGTCTTGAAAAGTGTTTACACTTTCCTATGGTGTTGGAGGCCTTCATTATTGACGTCACTTCTAAATTGCTGTTTATTTAAAAAAAGGCTAAACACTTGTTGAAAAAAAAGAAAACGAGTTCCATGTGAATTTTGGCGTGTTCTTATCCCGTGAGTCTGAATATCACGTTCGTTTTCCCCGAAGATCTATACAAAACGCGATAGAACACAAAAAACCTGCGACCAGTTGTGACGTGGTACTAGGATCTTTGGGCCGCCACGCGCGTGTCGCTCGTGTGGGCAGTGCGTGCGATCGAAAGCTTGCCAGCTATATTTTTCTGCACTGACGGCAGTCGTGACGTATCTCTCTGACCTTTTCTTTTGAGAGTAGCAAGGGTGCGCGTGCATAGCTTTGACAGGCGCTGAAGATGCATGAGAGTAGGGATTCTGATACTTCCTAGTATGAGGTCACGCCTTTGGAAAGAGTGGCTTCAGCGGTTCTTTAAAAAATTATTTCTGCAGCCTCAGTCCAACAAAGTGAAAAATAATCTCGATATTTGTGATCGTGGAGGCCTAATAATAACGATTTTTGTGTTTTCCCTCAAATATAGAGCCGCTTCTGTTTCTCTTTATGTGTAAAACTTGACTATATAAGTTTTGCCTAATACAGGTCGCGCTTGCTTCGTTGCGAAACCTTTTGTAACCAGGGAGCCTCCGAACTTGTTGGCTAAGAAGTTGGATCGGCGATTGGTCGCTGTCTCAAAGGCCACAAATAAATAAGTAAATATAAATAAGAAAAAAAAAACTAAATAAATAATTCTAGAGAAGCATTTTTTACAAAATAAAAGTTATAGTAAAAATTAAAAATGTAGCGTTTCAGTTCCATGAATACATCTACTTTATTTTGAAATTTAATATTTACCTAGTTAAGAGATAACACAAAAATGAGGACCCCGAAAACTCACCAGGCATAAATCAAAGGGCATAGGAACCTTGGCACGTTCCAAGAGGGCCGAAGACCGATGAAAATGATTGAACTAATGCTGACATTATACAATAGATAGGACACAGGACACAAAGCACAGTATCCATGGGAATGCAAGTGTCGAAGATACGTAGTAACACGGATATAAAACGGGGGACAAAGAGTGGTGATGCTGATGATAAAAATGTCCAATGAATAAAATGGCAAGGCGACACATCTTACGATAATTTTTCTTCTGGTATCTTTGTTTACGCGGGTGGTCCACGTTGCACCGGTGTTTCTTTACGCATTTATTATTGCGCCGGTAGCAGCGGACCTCCTGCAAGCGGGCCGTGGGCCGGTATTCGTGGGAAAAACCACGTCCAGCTCCGGACCGGTCGGAAAACCTACGCTGGTTGGATCTGGCCCGCGGGCAAGGATTCTGAGACGACTGATCCAGACCACAGTTTTGTAAACACCGGCCCGCGAAATTCATCCACCCGGGCCGCGGCTGGACGCGGTTCCGGCGCAAAATAAAGTAGCAGTAGACCCGCTGCTACAAATGCGCTTCAAATGCGTCAACGAAGATACCAGAAATTACGAGTACGCGAGGAGCTGCGTCGTATTGCGGGTTCTCTCGCCATATTATTAACGCAACTATTGTCATCCCCAGCATCACCATTGTAGCTCCCCTGCTCGACGTATGTGTAATTACTTTGCGTTTTCATGTAAGTACATAGTGCTAAAGTGTCATCTAAGAACTATCACATAGTGTCGCGGGCTTAAATTGACTCCGCTAGTTGGTTCATTGCTTACGACGGCCCAGCTGAACTCCATTGGCCAGCAGTGTGGACGGTGCGTTCTTCTTTGTTTTTGTTTTTTGTGGTGCAATATTTTTTTACTTGGCCCATTGTATGCATATTGGCAACATTAGTTTTATAGTTCTGATTAGTATTTTGCACTGCAGAATTGCGTCAAAGGGCACAGGCGGTTTAATTTATGCCTGATGCGCTTTTTTGATCACAATTGTTGTGTAATGTTATCAGCTAAATATTACATTTTATATGCAAGTATATGCATTCATCAACCTTGTGTTTTTAATACCTACTCTAAGACCAATTTATGTGTTGAAGTGATAGCTAGGTTTATTTTTGTCTTCCTCGTTCAAAATTACTTTTTCTCGGCCCTCGAGACTACGACAGATACCTAATGCGGCCCTTTAGCCAGAAACGTTATAAGAACCTTGCTCTATACCAAAAGTAATGCCCTTTGCGGAATGTGTAGCTTACGTTGACGTAACTGATAGGAGTCGATTGAGCATCTGATCTTATTTTGTGGAACGTGTAGGGTGCCACGGTAGCGATTCTCACCCGAAATACTGCCAATGGCTGCATCTCCATCGCTTCCTTTTCCTCTGGTGAGCGCCACTATCACTTGGCTCTGCTTTGAGGGCTTCAGCTTCATCTGTATTGATTGCCAACCCTGGCCCTCTGGTAGATCGAGGGTTTGCAGTGTTCCAGGAACACCAGTGTTGTCCTTGTACTCCACCTGCGTCAGCTTCATGGACGCAATGTCTGCATAAAATGCGAAAGGTTAAACCCGAAATTAGTGGAAGCGAAGTGAAGGAAGAAATTTCCAAATTTGAAAGCCTTGGATACCGAAGTTCGGTTCGGATTGTACTTTGAGACATTTGGAACATCAACAAAGCACTTTTGACATTCTGCAGTCACATGAAAATAAAAGGCTATAGCAAAGAATTTGATAGATTACTGAATGGCGTATCCTGTCACAGCTATGAGGAGGACTCTGAAGCTCGTTGAGAGCGGAGCTTTTGTAGCTCCTGTCAACCAAGATAACTCGCGTATCTTGCCACACGGAAATCGAATATTTTTTTTATTTTTTTTAGAGTTTTCTGAACAGGCAACGCTTGCTCACGAAACTATTGAAGATTCGCGTTTATTCCTACTCGGGGCGTGACTTTTATCCTTTCGGCCTGTTTTTTTGTTCTCCAGAGTGCCTGTTCATTCTCGCCCCGAACGGTCGATGCTCAAACCTTCGGACCCGAACTTTCGTAATGCCGACGCACACAAGATAAGGAGCTGCCCGTGACTTTGTCGAGTCAGTGTCGTTCTCGCTTGCTGTTACGCTGCCAAATGGCCGTCCGCTTTTCTTCTGTATCGATGATCGTCCTTTATTCTGTTTAGCACAATTTAGCCGATTAAACCTTTATTATCAGTTTTCACTTGTCGAGTTCTTTTTCATTATTAAGAATATATAGGCTACATTTAAACAAGTCCGTGAATTAACTTTTCTAGAGCACATAGAACTCCAAACACGGCGAGGAATTAAAGGATTCTAGCTAACGACGATTCTCAGATTACGATTAAATCTTTAATCTGCGATGCACGCAAAGAAAACGAGTGAGCAAAATGTCACGTCTATTGTCCCGGCGAAGATGGCATTTATTTTTTGTAATAGTATTCTCAGTATAGTGGTTCGATAAATTTTTATTTCTATTGTTCGCTGTGATTGACTGCCTTTATGTTCTTCAAAAAGGTGAACTCATAAGCTTTATTTGGAGTGTAGTGCCGAGGCATTCGAAAAAGGCAACAGTGATATCACCGTCTCTAATATTTTCATTAATAAAAAATCGTAATTTTATGTAATGGCGTGACAACTCCTAAGCTAAACTGAAAACGACTTGATACAAATAAACACGTCCTCTATGTGGAGGCTGTACAGAAAAATAAAGCAGAGATTATTTTATTGCAATCAGCACTCCCCCCTTCTTTTTCTGGAACGGGCCTGCGATTCCGGTAGACATCAAAGGTCAAGTCAGTAAGAAAATTTCGTTTTCATCTGTTACGGGTTCCGCCTGAATTCAGTTAAAGTAACACTGCTGAAGTTGTCACATTCAAAACTACTTAGTTCTGCTTAGGCATCACGTTTTGAATATTTGTAAATGAAATGTTGCCGCTCAAACAATTTAACTGCCATGCTTGGATAAATCGGCGAAGCCGACAGTCGGATGATAACCGTACTGAAGCGGAAAACTCCGCCAAGGAGTCCAAAGAAGTGTCATAATGCTAACGTGTGTTGATACCGCTCAGTTTATAAAATCAAAGTATAAACGTGTCATGCTTCACTGTCCGAATTGAAACAGTTCATGTCAAGAAAAGAGGGCCCATTCAGATAAGTTTTTTTTGCGGAAGGGCTAGTATATGTTACCTTTGGAATTCAAAATGCTCGCAACTTTAGGACTTGCTTTGAAACATTGAAATTTGGCTTCGTTCATATCCAGCTAGCTGCCGGCCGCTCTAGTGTGCCAAATAATGCTCGCGCCTTTTAACAGTAAAGGGGTACCTTCACAGATGACTCCATCTTTCAAAAGTAAAAACAAACAAAAATTGCAGGCCATTTTTAAGGCGTTTTAAATTTTTCATAGCATTTACAGGGCCACTTCGGGTTCCTCGATTCTGCGGGCACATTAAGCAGGCCGTCAGAGTTACACGAGACACATTAGCATCACATGAAACGTAGGTGTCACGATACGTATTTGTGTCACGTGACAAAGTTATGGTTATCGGAAATTTTGTCTGAAATAGCGAGAAACGTTCATCCGTCCTCCATAAACGTAATGTCAATTCGTGACAGAACAGGACTATATCGTCTAAGCGTCCTGACACCGTAGATTAGGAACGTTACATTTTCAAACTATCACTCTCGCCAGTGGAGTCTGCTCTGAACTAAGAAACAAAATGGCGGCGCCCACAAGACCAACAGGGAATAGAGAGGCGATACTCTAAGCATAGCTTATTTAGGGCCACTATACAAGAACCGTAGTATAAAAAAGTGGATCCTCCCGAAGTGTTACTAATTTTTCCATTCGTGTGTTGACTGTTGAGTTAAGATGTGTGGAGCGTAAGTTCGTCTGCTTCTTCTTCAAGGGTTGGAAGGATGTCAGAACGCCGAACTCTGATTGGCTTTGACTGAAGGATAGTGGGTAGGCCTCAATGAAAGCTGCCTTAGGTCTACCCCTTATCCTTCAATCAGAGCCAATCAGAGCTCGGTGTTCTGACGTCACCACAACACATGCAGAAGATGCAGACGAACTTGCGCTCCGCATACGTAGGTGCACCTTAGATTAGACGTAGTTTCATCAAGATGTACATGTTACGAATGACAAAAAGCATCTTCGACAACAGAACCTTAGAAGAACTAAAATACGCAGTGCATAACCTATGCTCGAAACTTCTTTCTTTTTTCTATTCTTGATGTCACGACGGGTACAGGTGGTAGGGGGGGTCTGCTAAGTACCACTCACCTGGTCCAGCTCGGAAGTAGGTCAATTGAAGAGTGTCTCCTTTGTCCCCTACTTCGAAGATGGGACTGAGCATACGCACTGTGTCGCCACCCGTGATTTGTGTCCAGTTGACCACTTGGATGCTTAAATCGACATAGGCGAACCTTTTCCAGGATATGGGCTCGTCTGCAAGTTACAGAGATATTTTGTTTGTTTGTATAAGATACGCAATCACCCAATACGAAATTCTGCGGGGCGGCTTCACGAAACGCGTTTTTACTTCAGGTAATTCACGTCCCACCTTGTTCGTGGAAAGCACAGACCCGCCACTTTCACCATTAGTCTGCACGCCGACGATTAGTTGCTTGCGTCGTTTTTGGTGTTTCTGAATCGCAGAAGCTTAACGATCGGGTGACTCCGTCGACTACAGACCTCAGGATGTACGACCGGGGACGTATTCAGGGCCGCTAAAACCTATGCTTACTTTGATATTTTCCTTGCGAAGTTTGCCCGGCGGCCTCAGCTGCGCCCTTTTTCTCGGCCAACGGCTAGACATCACGATCACGACGCGAAAACGCTTGCGCTGTCTGTCACTTTTTTTTTTTTGAGCGTAAGAAATCGTAGGAAGAATGTTCATCAACATGGCGTCCATAGAGATTTTTGTGCCATAAGTGCGTCACGTGAAACCGCCCCATGAAAACACTTACACCATCAAAACTAGTGAATGCATAATCTATTTGGAATTCTTACCAGAGCTCAAACCAGATATGTCCGTCGTATCATCTAAAACTATCATTGAACTGAATGTGGTTCCACAATAAGGCCAATATTCCACTTTCGAATATATCGGTCCGCAGGAGCATCGCTCGTTTTAGTTTATTTATTAAATGCATTCATCAGTTTACTGCTTGAAGGATTTTTCACTCCATGTTTGCATTTCCTCGCGTGTTTATCACCGTCATAAAATGCACCCCTATACCAATTCAACTTCGTTTTATAACTATTTTATACCACCCAACTCCCTGGAATGAAATTACAGCCCCACCCTCTGTTTTCGATTACTCTGTGATATTTTCAACCAAGCGGTAGTTCAACGGGTAGCTTGAATTTTTCAGTTATATACGTTTTCCAGGTGTATTCATTTTCTAATAATTGTTAACCTTCTCCGCTGCTTTGTACGTTGAAGGTAAATAAATTAAATGAACTAAAATTGTAACCCCAAGGTTATTGAGGACATCATCATGATACTTTTATTTTGTGGGCTCATAAACAGCCAATTGCCTGGATTATGATAAGCATAAACTGTATCGCAAATTGCTTTAGATTCCGACGCCCGCCAATGATGTCGTTATACAATACTTGACGTGAGTCACTCGATTCAAGTTTTCTCTTTTAATCTTTAGGTAATTAAAAAAAATGCAACCCTACAGCAGTGCGGTTTGTGCATATCAGCTATACCGTCAGTCGGACACTATGCTAAGTAAATAATGCATAAGAAAGACGAGTAATTGACTAAATTTCACTAATTATCTTATGAATTAGTGTATTTAAGAGATATTTTTAAATTTCAAAATTGGAGGAAGTCAATGTCACAGGCTAGCCCAGTTCATAAAAAACCTGAATCAAAAACGGCGTTTGAGCTATCTAGCGCCAAACTTTACTCTATAAACTGTCTGAAACCGAAACCAAACGCTCAAAACGCGCCTGAACGACAACCCCCTATTCCTATCAGAGACCCACGTGGTTATGACGACATTTGCGGAACAATTTTTGTGACAGCGCGACAAAGCTGATGATGGCAGGGCATTTAGATTGGTTCGAGAGTAGCTCCTGTACTGTGTGATGTTTTTAGCGCTTTGTGACCAGCCTATACTTGGATGACTCGGAAATACAGGCGTTTTTACGATTTTTAGGTTTGCCTTTTATTATCTGGTTAATGTCCTCCAACCTAAGGAGCTCACTGATATCGATAAAGTTGAATTGATGGCTGTTTTTGTGGCCTGCTCCCATGGTTCGAGGTTCACGCATGAGAGGACCTCCAAAGTGTTTTTTCAGTTTATAGATTTAAAACTCAAGTTTCTACACGATCATATCTGTTAAACGTCTAAGCACCCCCCCCCCCCCCCCCAAAAAGAAAAAAAAAAGAAAGTGCTACACTACGATTCCGGGCACTCAAAACTAGTCTAATATATATATATATACATGACATTTTTTAAATAATAAATGAAGGGGCAGTAACAGTCAGTATAACGCAAAAAATGAAAATACAAAATAACTCACATATGATTCACGGCACATTCTGACCCGTGAACAGGAACTATTTTGTATAGGAAACGCATTGAGTACTTATACGATATTCAGAGGAGACCCAAACATTTCAATGTCTGAGTTGAGGTATGCTAGTTCCAGAAAAAAATGTCAAGTTCATTTCAATATTTCTTACGTGGCAAGGGGTGCAGAGTGAAGTACGATACGAGAACTGAAAAGGTAATAACAACTAATAAGTCCTGCACACGATGCTGTAATCGTCAATTTTTTGGTTCGCATATGTGGCGTTGTGAATCTGGCTCAATGGTCTTGTTATTTATGAGGTGGACTCTGCCCCTCGAGAAACCAAGCTTGCAAACAGCTTCCTCCAACCGAGACTAACGTCACTACATTAAGATGATGGCAACTCAACAATTAGAACCCACACTTGACACCAAACGTCCATCGACGCATTCATTGGACATGAGGCCCAGCCAAAAGTTGACGCAGCAAACGCGTCCCGTATTTGCCCCGCCCTGGCACCTGATGGATGCCGTATATAATTCGGGACTAGATCTTGTTACCTAGACGGTGTTTGTTGTACCCACCTCCGGATGCGTCCGCTGAAGAACTGGGAGGAGGCGACAATCTGCTAGGCCGCTTCAGACTTGAGAGTCGTCCTGTACCGACCAGCCACTGCAGTCCTACAGTTTGGAAGTCGTTGACGTAGCCGCAGAGATCTTCGTCGAAGTCGCATTCAAACAGCGGCCTGCAGGGCTCCGGGTCGAGTTGGAGGTCGTCGATGCCGAAGTTGGTCCCAGGATTTTGAAGGTCGACACCTTTCGCCTTGAACACGACCTGGTTTAAAGATTTGTGTCTCTTGTAATTCGCTTTTGTATGGCACTCAACGAAGCAAGCTGGTGCTAACTCTCTTTTACAGGGTTCTCAGTAATCATGCCTCATTGATGAAAGCCACTGAGAGCTTTAAAAAAAAACGCCGGCTGTCTGCAAGTCAAGAGCACCTCATTATCTCTTCTGATTCAATGGTGTTGCGGCTATTCTGAACAAAAACGCTGAAAAACAATTCAGAACGCAAAAAACCTAAGCATAAAAAGGCATTTCCTGAGCACCTTATGCTGTTACTGAGTATAGGTCCTATACTCACGTAAAGCTTAAGAAAATAAAAGCGTAGCCTATGAAGGGGGAATGTTTTATCAGTCAATATTCAGGAAGATCTGTAACATTTTACTTCAACGTTTAGTTGTAAAGGCCGGCTGTAAAGAAACTCCGACAACGCACAGCGTTATGCCGAAATGGAACCATACAAAAGGCCAAATAAACGCGTCTCCGGCAGCACCTCAACCTACCATGAGTAGATATCTGAGCCAAGTGCTTTACTGACTGAGACATACAGGGTCTTCTTTTTTTTAAATATTGCATGATGACAAAGACGAGGACACATCTAGTACCACGTATAACCTCGAGAGCACTGATAATATTACGTAAAGTATAAAGTGTTCGACATATACCGATACTGAAAAGTCGGGAAGTGATGGACATCGCTCAATACGAAAATGCTAATCGGGCTTCTTCTCGAGCTCGTCGAGGACATTGGTCCTTCGTGTTTCTGTGTTTCTGCCAGTCATGTGGGTCTTCTAAAGGATATGCATCCACTGGAAATCCCCACGGTCTTCCGTGGGAAGAGGTTGAATGTAGCACGCGTTGATTTAGAGGTGCTTTTTCTTTTGGTTCTTTGGAGTGTAGAGCAAAAATATAAGCATTTGCGCAAACAAAGCTGTGTTCAATAGTTTCCAGAGTATTGCACAGCAGAGGGTTCACACAAAACAAATACCTTTGTCACATAGCTATGGTTTAAATAGTGGTGTGTGGTTCTAAAGTTGAAATGAAATACACTTTGCCGTTGGCGAGACGCGCATTCTGCGCACCCGTTTTAAGACATAGTAGTCAGGACCATCAGGACACCAGCTTCGGTAATTAGGCAAGGGAAATAATCTATCGACTAACGTTTGGTAAAACTCCTTTCTGACGCCGTGATTAAATAATCAATTGAAAATTTGATTTATAAACCGAACAGCACTGACAACTTCTTTGAGAATGCCAAAATGACGAAGTATCGTTGCATCAATGGATTAAGGAACTAAGTCAGGGGGAAGATCGGGCAGGTGAGTTTGTAGATGTATCATTCTAAACTGATGGAAACACGTTCAGGCGAACATTAAGCGTGAAACAGTCTGTCTTACGAAAACGTGGGTAAGGCCGATCCTTCCTGCTTTGATGAAACGAGCCAGATTGCCGCGTCGCATTGGCTCCAAAGTGGAGCCACGTACAAAGGTTGCAGATATCCAATGAAAGCGTTGAAGGTGACATCGGGCACAATGAATTCCATAGTCGACGTACCACAGTTCGGCAACCAGACATAAGTCCCATGCTTTAGTACTCAGGCTTCAACATGTGTGCTCGGCTTTTAGGTTTTACGGCAGTATCTCTACAGTAGTGACATCTGTTTCGAACACAGTCCAAGGGCGCATCCAGCTAGGTTGACACCACGTAGGATATTAGGTACCGTAATTATAGACACTTGTCAAATTGAGTATTTCTATTTCGAATCACCGTAAAATGAAGTACGTGCCATATTGCTTTATAAAATACACTGACATAGTAAGTTTCGACAATTTCATGCAACTTTATAACTGAAACCATACCTTAAATTATACTCACCAAAATAAAATATGGTTGCTTAAATAATTTGTAAGCGAATTATTGAAACGTTTTTGATTTTCCTCCCGAGGCCTTTGTGAGGGGCTACTATGTTATCATACTTTATTCTGTGTGATGCGTAGATTTTTTCAAGAAAAGATATGGTCGCTGTTTTGTGAAATACCATGTATATACTAGATGAACATCTTGGGAAGAAACAGCGGCAAAGAAGCTTGGACAAGAGTAAAGGAACAAACACGACAGGACTGCGTGACGTGTTTGTTCCTTTACTCGTGGCCGAGTTTCTTTGCCGCTGTTTCTTCTCAAAATGTTCACCTCATACCAACTAGCCTAACACGTCATATTCTCGTAGTTGTTATATACTAGATGTTTGAAAGTAGACTCGCTTCAAATACTAGCTTGCCACCGTGAATGTAAAATGCTTTGTTTGACAACCATGGGCACACCTAAGAAGTTCATTTGCCAAGGAAGGAAGGAAGCACCTTTTTGCTTAGTTTTAAGGCTAAATAGCGCAAGCAACTGCCCGTTAAAAAGTATACAGCCGTTGATATCTATTCATTTATTTAGGTTTGACAACCAGACAATCTACGATATTTATTGGACTACTCCGCGGACTATACATGTTGGAAGTTCAAATTTTACGCAGTACAGATTCTCTGGGTGGATTTTAGAAGGAATTTATTTTTCAGAATTTTTAGTATATCGTAATGTCAGAGATTTTGCAAATGACAGAGTCTACTAGCGGTAATTTATACATGCTGCCAGTTTCTTTGTTCGCTAGTGAAGCAGGCACTTGCCAATGTGTGTTCTGTGTATAGTCTAATGGGCAATTTCCTTTCCAATTGTGACAAGGAAAGGGGCCAGTTCTCAAAACCTTATTAAATTATGTATATGACGAGGACCATCAAGCCTCGGCTAGCAAACTGTTCATGGTAATAAAACCCGAGACTCAGGAACACAGAAGGGGACGTACACAGCACAACGTCTCAATGTTTGAGACGATGTGTTGTGTTCGTCCCCTTTTGTGTCCCTGAGTCTCGGGTGTTATTACCATGAATCACCGCCAGCTAGCTTGTTTAAGTATTGTTGCAACTATTCATAGCCGGGAACGCTCTCCTGGAGCCAACAACATCAACCGAAGCTCCCTTGGTACCCCGGAGCTCAATACCAAGGGGGGGGGGGGGGGGGGGGGAAGGAACAAGCTCGTTTTGCGCTCTGGTAACAACGCCCTCCGGGGACACCACTATTTTGCCATTTTATTCGAACAGGTGGCTATAATTTATAACTGCCACCCGCAACGACATCCCCTAATTTTTTATAGGTGTTGCAGGCTCCTGCCGCAGGCCTTCGGTCTATCTGTAACCAGCACCAGCATCTCTTTGAGTGCAAATAGATGTTATCATATTATCACATATGCTGGGATACTTCTTCACTAGGGCACACTAAAATAAAACTTTTTGGCCTCATACTCTTAGTTCTCTCTAGATTTTTTTACTTCAAATAAACCAAGAACGTAATTTTTTTTATGATTGTCACGGGGTTGCGCATTTTGGACCTTCCCCAGTCTAAAATACATTCCGCACAACAAAGAACTTTTAGCGTGCTTTTTTTACCGAAACTACGGTAAAAGTTACAAATGGTAGACAAAATGTATCTCGGATTTATTTGTGTTTTTTTATATTTCTAATCCTGGCCACTGCGACTATAATTTACCCGGTTTAGATGATTATTACCTCTGTTATATTCAATTTTATGGTGCAAATCATAAAAATTAATTAAAGCTTGAATAAATATTAAAACTACAAGTAAAATATTGCTATTGTAAAGTAAGGTTATCTGTCGGAAAATGCATTTTAATACAGGCACCTATTCTAAAAGTGTGTTTGAAAATACTTTTTTAATCAATTTTTATCTTTTCTTTTTTTTGTTTGCAGAGTTTTCTGAATGGTAAAAAACACGCAAAAAATTAGATGCAATATATAGTTTTGAGAGAATAATTCGTGCATTCCAAATGTCGATTTATAGGAAACTATTTTAAGATATAAACCTAGGTCGTAGCCAATTCCTTGAGCCTGCTTGTTAATTATTTGTCCGCCTTTAGTCAAAGTGTTGTCGTGTTTTAATACAACAAATAATTAAGCATGCTATATATAATAGTACAATGCTTTCATACACATGTCCAGCTTGTTTAATTAAAAGAAGAAATATGGAATATAAAAAAGATTTCATTATTTGAGTAACAAAGAGCAACAGTTTATAAATTTACCGTCTGAAGAAATGTAATTATGTATCTGGTGTTCGGCTTTGTTCGTTGAATTCTTTCGTGATTGAAACAATGCAATATGATTACTGAAGTGATGGTTGTTTATGGTTACAACCTAATTACATTGCTTCTTTCTGTTTGTTTATTTTTGAATGCGACTGTTTATTTGAGTGTAATGGAGTGGATCCAATCCAGTCTCTTTATGCTTTTTCGATAGATTTACTTTTGTTGTTTTTGTACTCCACACCTGCAAGGTCCTATTCAAAAGCTTTGCAGTATACACTAAACAAGTAAAAATACATGAAAAATATGAAAAGTTCAGGCGAGATTGAGCATTTCTCCCCTACCCCCAAAACACAACAAGGAATTAACTACAATAAAAGAATGAGCGCGCACGCGAGCTGGGGAAAGTCGACATAACTTAGTCCGAGACAGTTAAAGAAACGTGTCTTGTCCGTTCATTTTCTGTGTCTTTATTTTTCCTTCCCTGTCGCAGGTCATGTTACGTAAAAAGATCTACGATATTTACGGACACAGTACCTGGAATTCCTTCTGGAAAGCGATTGGCACACGAGCCAGCATCCAATCAACCCTCGGATAGGGCGGTTGTTCCCAAAGAACGGTGCGCTGGCTGCCGTCCCCAGGAACCAATTCCACGACGATCCTCCCAAGGGAAACATTATCCCTTCGGTACCAGAACTTCAAACACTGCGCATCAGGACGTCCTTGAAACGACGGGCTTGTCACCACGGAGTCCTTCGTCGCCCGATCTTTCCGAAGTTCCAAGAAAGAGTCTGCAAACCAGAATGATGGAACAATAGAGGCTGCTTCATCGCAAGTGGTACAAGTAACAGCGTTACTGGTAACAAGTTAGATTTCTCAGTAACGTACTAACGTACTCTACATAATCCGAAGCGACTAACGAGTAAAGCATTTCAGTTATTATTTTACCTCCTTCTCTATTAAATATGCTACTCGCTACTCACTAATTTTCAATAGAATTTGACACAATTGTCCATTTAAAGAGCCAACGCTCCAGCGACACGTTCTATATCCTACACATTTTATAAGCAAACGATAAACGAAAAAATATTGTGAAATTTCTGCGTAAGACTTTTTTCGCTGCCAAAGTTAGTAACATCGTCTTATCGATGTCAAACACTAATGTCTAAAGTAACGCAAAAAGTAAAGTTCATTAGTTTTGGTAACTACGATAAAGGTAATTTGTGACATTTCCAGAAAAGTAACGAATCCCAGTAACCCATTAATTTCTGAGGTCTAATGAGTAATGGTATTTTACAACTTATTTTCGGTGATGAGCACAACACTGCAGCTGATCATGATTGTCTCGTCTCCAGAGAGTGCCGAGTTTCAATCGAGCCACGTGTGGATTTGGTGACACCATCAGTACCAGAAGCAGGTTTTCTGTTCACCTGACTTGAACTTGACTTGTCACAATGGCTGACCCGGATTTACCCAAACTCCTCATGTTTTAGCCGTAGCCTTAAAGGGATATACAACAAAAATTCCGCGCTTATTTTTTGGTCTATATGTTTTCAAAAAAGCTGCATCACATCGAACATGCCAATATTTTGTTAAAAAAGTCACCAAAAGGAATTTTAAAACGAATTTAACGATTAGCAAAGAGTACCTGGTGGATGTCGCTAACGCCTCGCTTGTAATGCCCGTCTAGGAACCTTGACAGCTAGTGACGGAGGTTGTCTCGCCTTCGGCCACGACGAGAGAAGAGGGGCAGGAGGAACTCCCCTCTTCCCGAGAATGCTTTTTGTGTGTCGCAGAAGTCGCTATTGTCCCCCTACAAGATTACAGAAGATTAACCCGTCACTCAGAATTCGTACAAAAGCAGCCGCTTCGGTGGCTGGAACGACTAGGCCATTCTCTCGACGTCACCCTCGCCGTAGCTTTGCTCGTCTTGAGACGACCTACGTCACGATTGCGTTGGATGGCACGTGGTCTCCGCTGGGCCTTCTCCGAGCGCTTGCCAGAGTGGGCCGTTTATAACGAAAAATACAGCCACCAGGCTCAAAATACAAACGTGCGATTGTCATTTACGAATATTGTGGATCACATTCAACCTATTTTTGAACACGACGGGAATATTTCAAATTTCGTTGAAGTATCCCTTTAAGGCTGATCTACGTATTCACGTTTTGTCTATGACAGGATGCGTGGTGATCCCTTGTGACCGCTAGTGACGAGAGACAGCATTAGCACCATTTATTGGGAGGCCCAGGATTTCTTCCAATCTGAGATTAACTCCTAACTTTTTACTCATCATTGCTTCACTATGGGCTTAAATACTTGTTAACGTTGTTATAACCGACTATTTGTCATTATTATTGCGTAGATTTGACATCGCAAATGAGGCAAAAGCTTCAATGTCATATATGACTACTCCGAAGCGTCAATAAAAAATACTGCCTGGCTCCTCCACTCCAGAGGAACGGACCCAGGCCCTCTCCGTTAATTCTAGCCATTTTCTTTACCGCTTTACAAAGAATCAATAAACATATTCTCACTCACTCACCTACAGAGCGGTCATACGTAATACCTGTTTCTAGGGCTTTCTCACAAATACCGCAAGTGCAACAGTGTATTCCACTAATATGTCGTAATTGGTCACAAGAAATTACAGGGCGCTTGGTTACAGTCAAACAGAAGTGCGTGAACGAAATTTAGAATAGCAGAGTGCATGAACACCTACGGAAACCTGAGCTCAAGGATCACCGATGGCAAGCTGACAAGGTTCAAGCCTTCCGAAGTCGGAATTAATTTTACACCGGAAGCACCTGTAATAAATTTGTTCGGTTGGCGGGAATTGTCCGTGCTCTAGTGCATAAATTGGCCGTCGAGACAACAAATATTGGCAAAGTAATCTTGTCGTATGTTCCTGAGAGGGAAAGTTTAAAAGCGCGGAAACAACACTCCACTGCTATGTTTGTAACGTTCAACGTTCTTTGGTTAGGTACGCGGCACTACTGATAGATTTGGAGTGTGTGTGTGTGTGTGTGCGTGTGCGTACGTGTGTGTGTGGGTGTTTGCGCGCGTGTGTGCCTGTGCGTGTATGAGTGTGTGTGTGTTTGTGTGTTGGGGAGGGTGAGGAGGCTATCATAGTTAAAAAGGTATGCGCCAGGCGCATACGGTTTGTCATTGACCCGTGCGTCATTCTCAGGGCCGGTTTATTGACCGAATTCTACGAAACAACTTTTACCCTTATTGCTCTTTGTGAAAAGAGCCTTGTGGGTTGCATCCTATCAGACTACACAACGCTTAACGTAAACATTGCGATTTTACTGGGGATTGCGAAATTGCAACGTCGCTCGTGCGGCGAAAAAAAGTGCGGTGGATGTTGCGGTGCTCTACGCCGCCTTTGCCAAATCGCAAGAAAATTCGCACCATGTGAACGAGGCTTGAGACTGCTTCACACATCTGCGTCTGAATCTGCCCGTGTGCGTGGAAACCCTTTGTGAGTGTTTGCGACTGACACATTGGGGCTATCCGTCACTGATCGTCGTGCATTTCAACAGAATGTTTTTGCAGCATTTGCAAAATCCAATAAAAATGTATTAAAACTGTCTATTTTCCAGTTGTCTAAATGGTGGGGAAAGAGGGAAAAAATCTTCTAATCGTGCGCTTGTAGATCTACGCCTCATCCTTAATAAATTGGCTCTTACAACGTCGTTAGAAATATTTCTAGGCCACGATGAAAGAATGATGGCTACACAACTAGGAAAGATGCGCGTATCAGAATTTTCCCCAGTCTACAAATAGATTGAGCCAGTGTCTCGTCGTAAGAAGCCACAAAACTTTGCCATGTACTCGGCCAGAATCAATCACGAGTGTGTGGAGCAGCCTTTATGATGTCCTACTGAGAAAGAAAATACTCCATTCGTGACATGTCGAATAAACTTATCAGAACGTATCAAAACTAGATAAGGCACATATAGGGTTCATTTGAGGCTTGTATAATTTGAAATATTTTCTTTACCTCCTTTTATGCGTACGGGACATATTTATATTTTATTTGACACTAAGGTAGGGAACGTTTATTAACAAGATAAAAAACAGCGAAAACACAACGTAGGCTTACGTGAATCAGGCGGTCCAGAACGGATGTGGGAATTGAAGCCCGACCAGCTGTTAGACTGGAGTTTCCAGCCGGTGCTAGCATCACCGACATTCCACTGGCAGGTGTCGTACTCGAAGTCACACCAACCTGACAAAGTAAATGACAACTAAAACCTTGAAACCGTAAGTGTAAAACTATCTTTAGTAAAAAAAAATACTCATCTTTTACAATGACGTTTGATTGGGGCGTGAATAGTCTAGAATAGATAGACTTGACTTTCGCATAATTATTAAGTCGACATTTTGTTTAATTTGAAGATTAAAAAAAAATTAACTGAAGCCGTGGTTGCGCGCTTTTATTTTAATATTTAGCATTCGTTTGGACCCATGATAAGAAAATAATGTTTTCTTCGTAATTACCTTGAATGTCGGTGGCTTGCTGACAAGGCCCAGGTGTGAACTCCATCGGACCTACCGCCATCTCGGCCGGCCAGTGTGTCCAGCTCATAAACGAAATCGTAATCTGGAAGGAGAGGCACAATTGTCGTTCTCCTACGCAAGTCGAGAGTCGCTAAGGCAAGGAAAAAAAATTAAAGAAATTTGTCGTAACTGAATGATTAAATTGAGCTCTGATGCTTATTTTTTTTCGAAATGTCTGAGCCGAGCACATTTTTTGTACACCCGGGATTTACTCTTTCGGGAACGCCATATAATATCTGTGAATTAAAAGTAAGCCATCAAGAAAGCGACTAGAATATGATGCAAACACCGACATTTTCCCACGCGCTCTCTTTCTGCCGACATCACGTGTTGGATACACCAACGCGTGGCTCTGACGTCATGCCAGTGATTTGGCGCTGCTGTCGGCACTGCGCATATGTAGAAACGGTTTGCGAGCAGGCAGTCCAAAAAATATATATATATATTTCGCGTGTATTTTTCAATTTTTTCTTTTTTAAATTTAGCTGACAGGGGTTTAGTCTGCATTCATTTCACATTGTGCTTCTGGAACAGGCTGTACTGCACCCATATTGCCCCATACTACATCTGACGCAACGGGTTCAGGGTTGGCAGCTCTAGTGTCACTGCTTTGATATCTCGCCAAAATCGGCTGTCTGCGTAAAACAGAGCACCAGTAATCAAGAGGTTTGGTAGATAATTCCGATGTCCCGAGTAACGATACTGATAGCGATACCATCCGGGCGCAAATATGTCAGCAGAGTATCCAGTACCGTCAACGGGATAATCAGAACAATCCACTAAAACTTCCTAATAGTGAGTATTAGTAGATCATTTCCATAGATCCGATCAGGATACACGATAGCCATACGATATACATGCGCAAAGGTGTCGGCGAAATAGTGAAAATCGTTATCGGAGGTGCTGGAACAAGTTTCTAAAACTCCCTATTCAGTCAAAAAATAAGGGTAAACTCGCCTGGTTGAACCGGCCATTCATGTCCAGAGTGCGCCGAACGAGGAACCAGCGGTCCACACTTGATCGGCCTCGGTGATCGACGAAAATGTGCCCCTCAATGGAGCCAGGAGAGCCATCTCCTGTGTTTTTCTCCAACGAAATTTTCAAGGAGGCTCCGAGCGCACCGAACATGTGGTATCGGAAGATGCCGCAGACAGGCTGGGTTTGCTCTGGGACCATGGGAGAAGTCAGGACCAGAGCACCTCGATTCTGGAGGATTGTTGCCTCACTTGCAAAGATATAGTCGCCTGTTGGAAGAGCATCGAAATCGATAGTGTGCTCCATTTACATGGCACGTGTTAACACTGATCATAATCACTGACAGAATGAAAAACGCATGTAAAACAAATTGCTACGGAATTCTGTTTCATACGTGAAACGTTATAGAGTCACAAACGTTTACCGTCACCCTGAGCTTCGAGAGTCCTGACGCCCATATTCACGGCTCCCTTCATTAGCTAGCTTAACGCGTAACATTTGTACTTTGATGGTTGCTTCTAGAACGAAGCGATATCACCGCTATTCGGGCTCACAAACCTGGCGATCTTCCAGAGCCATCCATACTCTTGCCGAGCTCATCTTCCTTAGTTTGCACAGGTGGTCGAGATCCTCCTCGACCGCATCACTCTTCCTCGCTTACCTTCTGATAACATGACCTCCCACATTCAGCGGCGAGCAGATCACTCCCACTCTACCACCCATCAACCAATCAGTATTGAGTCTCGCGTTCATGCTTTTATCTGGGCTTCACGAAATGCCAAACCCCTAGCGAAAGAACGTCTCACGTTCAAAGGCAGAACATCTCTTTCGGACACCCGGCTTCCAGCACGTGCTCGTGGTCTTCCTAAATACGGCGGCGGTGTGTGCAGGCTCGGGGCTTACGAGACGTCGAAGCATTATTAAAGGTGGGAAGGTCACGATGGAAGGGGGACAGCTGAAACTCCTTACTGCCGTTCGTAATCTCTCGGCGACTTTAAAGAACGGTGCGAAACAGAGTAGAACATATACGAGTGACGCAAAGGGGAGCACGTAATTTCCGAACTAAATCTAGCCGTAAAACTGAATTGGAGCGAAATTATACATCGATAAAAATTTCTCGGCAACTTTTCAAGCGCAGTGAAGTTTATTTTCAATTTTACATCTATTGAAGCCATCCTGCTAACTTGAGCGAGGTAATCGACACTGCCAACGTAAAAAGCATGAAAACATTCCAGCTCACGGTCCGTACCCCTCGGCTTTGTCATAAAGATAAAGTACCCCTTGTTTTTCCTTGCGAGGGGAGGGCGCGGCAGTGCGGGAAAAATTAAGAATGAGCCAAATCTTTGAAGTGAATCTAAGGACGCAATCGAGCTGGTTTAGACTGAATATTACATAAACTTCTGGACTACAGGAAAAACGACACGAACACCGAAAGGTATCGAGATCGTTAAGTGTTCTTGCCCATCTTGGCCTGCGGTATCGGTGTTTATGTCATGTCAAAACGTTATCATCAATCTTAGAAAAATCTGTCCTGCGAATATCAGTTGTCAGTTGAACTTTCGGGGATGAAATGGGGTGTATTCCCTAAACTGTGACATACTGATCTTATATATATATATTTGTTTATCTTGCACACTGGATATATTTTTAATCCTCTAGGTAATGGGCTGTGGAAGAGACTTGTGACAAAAAGAATTCAAGTATAATTTGTATTTTTTTATTTATCGAAATGTTGTGAGGGCAGCTTCAGACATGGAAAATGGTTTCGTCACTTACAAAACCGTAATACAGTGAAACCAGGTGCAGTCCGTTTCACACTATGATCAAACAATGATGGGCCAGACGCAGCCGAAGCTACAATATGATAGAGCCAATGAAGCAGCAAAAAAAAACCATCGCCATGTTGCTCCTTGTCTTTGTAAATCTACTATACCCCGCTCAACCAATCACCCACAGTAAATTGTGGGTGATTGGTTGAGCAATATAAAAACAAAAAGTAGCGTAGCTTTGTGGTCACGCATTCGCTTCCCACGCAGCGGACTAAGGTTTGATTCCAGCGGTAGGCGGACAACCTTTTTCGAGGATTTTGCAAAATCGGCGACGGACACCCTTCGCCCCACTTCACAAACAACAAGAACATCAACATCAACAAAGTACGTCATTCGCAGTGGTGGCAAGGGACCATAACAACTATCGCTGTAAGATTCACGCACCTTTAGTTCCGGCGGGAAGAGCTACTGGTCCGATGTTGCTTCGTGAAGGGTACTGAGAAGCTCTGTAACCGAAGCGCCACCTGACGCCGCTTATCCTCGGACGGAACGCCCAGTTACAGAATGACTGGTCAGAAAAGTCACAACTCAAAAGGCGGTCCACTGTAAGTGACAAGAGAAAATACGACTGATGTACAAAAAACAAAAAAAAATTTAAAAGAGAACGAAAAAGTTATATTTATTATGGTTATAAAATCCAAGCTGCGCAGAACTTGACGTGCTACTATAGCGAGACATGTGATCTTTCCCCGCTAAATTTAGACGCGGCTTTTACATGACTGTCACCCCGTGATCACGTCGCCTTACATAAATTAAGCCGTGGTGTTGCCTGACGCTGTGACGTCATGAGACGTCACATAGTCACGTGATATCAAGGAATGTCACGTGACTCTGTGGCGTCTGCTGCAACATTACTAGATTACCTCAGTTGTAGAACTCCCGCGGTGGGGTGTACCCCTCTCACTCATTTCCGTCGGCTCCCGTCCTTCAAAGCGCCAGGTAGATTTTCGTTTCAAAAATGTCTGTTTTATGGAAAACACAGTAAACACCATCTAGACGATGCGCTTTGGAACGTACCTATTCCATAGAACACTGTTCCCTGTCGTCTGCGTCGCTGCCCGCCGTAGACCCTGGCAAGTTTCTTGACCTTATTTTTTTACAGAAAGAAAACTACGCTTTGTAATTTTACAAGAAAAGTCCGACCTATGAAATGCGCCTTTGACGAAAAGTTTAGAAGGCTACGTGCAGGCGTCAATTTTTACGGTCTATTTTAGATCGAGCCTGGTGACTTGAACCACCCTATATATATATAAAGTCAAAGATGCGTACTGTCGGAGTTACTAATTCGAAGTTTATTACGACGTTTCGAACGGGGACCGCTCTTCACCAGGTAACGCTGTACACTCGGTTACCTGCTGAAGAGCGGTCCCCGCTCGAAACGTCGTAATAAATTCGAATTAGTAACTCCGACAGTACGCATCTTTGACTTATTAAATTTTCCCGGTCCAGTGTTTTTATATTTACTTTACTTCATTATACACACACACGCACACACACACACACATATATATATATATATATATATATATATATATATGTATATATACAGGGTGTGGCCGTAAAAACTTTCACATTTGGTACGCCTAGCAAAAATCGAATTTCAAACATACATACCTGAAATTGGGCACACGAACGTCGTTTATTCCAAAGTTTTTTGCCTATTTTTTTTAAACGTCAACTCGGGAGTAGCGAATTATTAAAAAGATAACAAAAATGACAGACGTGCATTTCCTATGGCCTATACCTGCCCGTTCGCCGTCTGCTATCTGGTTCGAGACGCCGCTCCCAGGTGGCGCACTGAACGCAAAAACGCGGGAAACCCCGCACAAAAGGCTGGTGTCGTCCGAGATAATCGTGATAAAAAGTGATTTGATTGAAATATATGGACGATTGTTGAAACTACCTGTTTCAAGTCAAGTTTTGACAGATCGTCATGCAAGCAAGAAGACACCATGATGCGACGAGATCATTTATTTACAGCCTGGAAGAGCAAGTGGTGCTGCTACCGTTGCAGACAAGTGCGTTTTGAGTTATCATTTCATTCTGATTTTTACAGGGCCGCTGCAACACATAAAGTAATTTTTTTTTTCATACAGCTTGGGTATAATTAATAATTAACACACATGTCGCAAGACATATTTAAAAAAAAACAAAAAAAAAATATCGTATTAAATGGAGCAATATTTACGGTGCTGAAGTCATTTCGGTGGGCCGGTGATAAAATGGCTGGTATTTGAGAGAGATAGTCGTCTTTTTGATAGTTTCCCATTGGTACCTCTATCAGCAGCCTCTACTTTGCTCTCCGCGTGCGGCAAGCAGCACGAGAGAAAGTAAGAGGGAAACTAATAGTTTAAATTCCGTCAGGAAGTGGAAGTTTTGCGTTCATTCAATTGTTTACTCATGAAAAATACATCTTCTGATACGCCTCTTCTGTCACGGCGATTTGAAATAACGTTGATGCTGCAGCGGCCCTTTAAACGATAAGGGTTCGGCCGATTCGATGTGCCCGCCGTTTACAGACGCGCAAAGCCGAAGTCGAGCTTCGTACGCCAGGAAACCCCTTTCGCGCATCCCATCGTCGATCTCAAGGAACGCGCCCTCAATTTTTCCTTTCAGCTCTTCGATGCTGGGGATCCTCGTCTTGTAGACAAGTCCTTTTATAAATCGCCATACGAAAAAAGTCGCACATATTTAAGTCGGGGGATCGTGGAGGCCAGTCCATATAGTCTGATCCCCGACCCATCCACCGCCCATGGAACGTGTTATTGAGCCATGCCCTCACACTCTATGCGTAATGGGGAGCCGCCCCATCCTGCATGAATATACAGTTTTCTTTTGTCATGTGGGACCTTTCAAGCTCAGGGAGCATTTCCGTTTTCAGTATGTCCAAGTAGGCATCTGCGTTAACGGTGCCATAAAAAAAAAAGGGGGACCCACTATGCCTTCACGCCAAATCCCACTCCACATGTCACCTTCGGTGAATGGAGATGCCGTTCGTCCACGGCATGAGGGTTATCGCGAGCCCATATCCTGCTGTTCTGGCGGTTCACACGTCCATCTAGGTGAAAGTTTACTTCGTCACTAAATAAAAGAAATTGCAGGTGCCCCGGGTTGCTCTTAATTCGCAACAACTCCGCCATGCAAAATTCTAAAAGTCAGACGTTGTCGCCGTCGTGTAGGGCTTGGACAACTTGCATCTTGTACGGGCGCAAATTATTTTTCCGCGGAATCCGTCTTACGCTTTTTTCCGAAATTCCTGCTCGTCTTGTTGAGAATTGTGGGTCGCTCTCGAAAACAGCAAGCACCGCTTCAATGAGCTCCTCATTTTTCAGAAGGCTCTCACGTTCACCGACTGGATTCTTCTTTTTAAAGTCTTCTCCACTCAAAAAACGATCCGCCCAAGTCAAAATAGTCGGGCGTGAAGGCGGGCGTTTATGAAATGCAGTGCGAATTTTTCGTTGTGCTGTGGCCACCGAGTTCCTCTCCACGTACCACTTGACTGCCTGAGCACACTCACATGCCGAGTATTGCGGTATCGCAGGGCGGCGCGGAAAATATGTTGATAATAACTGCAGAAGACAGTGCAACAAAAACAATCAATAGAAACAATCAATACGCCAGCAGCGGCACTCTTGATTCCAAAGTTGAGCTTTCACCGGGGACGGAACCGTCAACAGATAAGCAGACGACAAAGGAAGACACACGTTCGTCTGCTTTAGAGCATATTTTTATTAAACGAGGGCGTCCGACAGTTTTTAAATTTCAAGTAAAAGGGCGTAATCGTTCACATATTTCGGTAAAAACACTTTTTATCGCGATTATCTCGCCCCACACCAGCCTTTCGTGCGGCGTTTCCCGTGTTTTTGCGTTCAGTGCGCCACCTGGGAGCGGCGCCGCGAATTAGATAGCAGACGGCGAACGGGCCGGTATAGGCCACAGGAAATGCACGTCTGCCATTTTTGTTATCTTTCTAATAATTCGCTACTCCCGAGTTGACGTCTGAAAGAAATAGGCAAAAAACTTTGGAATAAACGACGTTCGTGTGCCCAATTTCAGGTATGTACGTTTAAAATTCGATTTTTGCTAGGCGTGCCAAATGTGAAAGTTTTTACGGCCGCACCCTGTATATATTCTTAAAAAGCTTTTGGAATTTTTACGGAACTGTAACGAAGCTTGACTTATAGAATTACCCAGAGATTTAATCCGCACCGACTCCCTTACTAACCTTTTTGCACCATTTCTCTCCTTGTAAATGATTTCTGTCTCCGACCAAATCGCAGAGTAGTTGTTACATTGGTGGACACCTTTTGCGATTTCTGAGTTATGTGTACTGTTCACGTTTCTTTTGTGTTCACTTAAAGAGTCGCTGATGCAACGTAATGTCTGGCCTACATACTTTAGCCACATTCCAGTGGTATCTCATACACAACACCACTCTCGCAATTTGCCGATTTTTCCCGATGGTTCTTTTTGCAGTTATTCGCATCCGTTTGAAATGGAGGGAATATACTGTGTTTTAAATCTGAGCTAAAGACCGTGTCTACTCCAAACGTTTTAGCACATACCTTCAAGTTGTAAGAAAATTCGTAAAAATAAGGGATCACAGAAAATTGTGTCCTTTCACCTTGTTCCGTTTTTAACCTTTCATTAATAACAATTTCTAATTACCGCTTGATAAAACTGCCACCATATACTACACTGATAAACATTTTGCACTGTTTTTAAACCGAATCCGTGATAAAATGAACACACGATCTGTCTAGCGCGTTTCTGACCAACGACTTTACAACCCCAGCCTTTACGGTTTTCGAATTAGAGCTAATCCTGGGCCATACCGGTTTAGATTTTTCCTTTCCGTATTCCCAACATAACCCTTGATTCACATGAATACGTAAGTTTGGGAACTCTAGTACTTCCCTCTCCGGTTTTTCCGTGGTAAACTTCAAATCCGGAGCCGCTGATCTTGGCTCACGTTCCAGACTTCCTGTTAGACGATCGTTTACCGTGCATATCAAGATGTTGTTCACATATCTTCTTGCTAACCTCATATCCGGAGACATCTCCTGCAGTTTATTATGCACTATGTAATCCAAGCAATCTGAGTCGATTCCGCTAAAATGGGTGCTACCGACGACCCTATACAAACACCGTATTTTGCACTTCCTTCCTTTCGTCGTATTCGACTACCGTCGACTTCAGATAAAACTCTAGATTCGCTAGGAAACTCTTTACCGATATACGTGGAGCTGCTTGGAACTTTACGGGATTCAACTCTATTGACTCCCTCTCTGCATCAACCGAGTCTATTCTAAAGAGTGATAAAGGTCGTTAATATACATGGACTATATCGAACATTGCTGCCAATGATTTCACCAAGCATGCATAATTCAACTCTCGCTGCAGTCATGTGCGAAAAAGCTTGGAATAGACACGGTCTTTAGCTCGGATTTTAAACTGAGTGGATCATCGCCATTTCAAACGGGAGCGAATAACTGCAAAAAGAACCATCGGAAAAAATCGGTAAATTGTGAGAATGGTGTTGTGTATTAGATACCACTTGAATGTGGATTTAGGTGTGTAGGCCAGACATCACGTTGTATCAACAACAGATTAAAGGGAAGGGGGGTGCAATGACTTCGATCAAAAATTTGTGGAAGTTGTCCTCTGACACTTCTGAAGCAAAGAACAGAAAACCGATTTCGCCTGTGTGTCCTAGATGTAAAAAAAAGGAAAATAAAGATTGGCCTTTCTGGCACCCCTCAACTCACTCCCAGCCTTCAGGGTCACACCTGGTCCCCCTCCTTCTAACGTAATTCAGGGTGCCGTTTAGCTTCCCGTGTGCTCCCTCGGAGGACGCTTCCTTTACCTCTCTCTGCTGTCATTAGCACGCGTTATGCTGCAGCTTAGAGCCGAGCGAGGTCACGTAATATTTTCACCCTAGTTCCCTCGGCTGCCACTCGCGGCTCCAGGTGTGGGAAAAAGCACGACTTTAGCTTTGCATTTATGCAGCGAAATAACGATATTTTTTAATGAAGGAGATGTTTTCTCTATCCTCCGGGATAGAAAAAACATCCTATTGTCCTTTGTGAGTAACGCTCTTGTTCGACATACACCATGTGAGGAATTTTTATGTCTTCGTCATTTACCCAACTTGATCTTTACCAAATACTTATTTGTGCTTATATCAGTGCAAAGAAGTCATACAGAGTTTCGATGCACCCTCTAGCAATCATCAAGTTTACTATACGTATTTGGACATGCTGACCTTCAACGTGTCCGGGTAGCCTTTTAGGCAAAGTTTCGCAGGATTCGTTGGCGTAGACCTTGATGTCATCCAGGGCAACGTAACCAAGTGACTTTCCGGATCCTGCCTCTGCCTCAAAGATGACCTTCAAAAAATGGTGAGTGACCACCAAATTAACCAGGTGCTTGTTTCTACCAACAAAATTCAGTTGAAACCTCAACATAATTCTATATAACAGCGCAAAATGACTAAAGGTTGCGACAAACTGGACAGGGCACAGCGCTGACTCGCAGCTATGTAATTTCACTCGTAAAAAAGGAGGAAGAAAACACACATTGTTCTACACCTTCACACGCACATCTGCTCGTGAAATCTAAGTATTACGGCAAGTGCTGAATCTTCAGTGTCACTTTCAGGAATTCCACCTCCTCAGTAAACAACGCCCCTAACGCTGCGCTACTACAGTTTCCTCCACCACTGTGGATGTAGAATGCCTCAAGCACCTCAAATTTCCCCTTTTCCTTGTGCCTGTAAAAATTGTGGTGGCATTAAAAGACAGTTCGCACAGGCGCTCTCTAGAATGAACTGAACGGTGTCCTCCCACTGAGGCTCCCAAAGAGAACCTTTGCTCACGGAGCGTATCATTCAGGACGCCTCTCGTTTGACCCACGTTGGTGTGGCCACACGAGAAAGTAATGCTGTACAGGACGCCAGTGGAACATTGCACAAATTGCTTGGCGTGCTTCTTATTGCACGCATTTCCCCCTCTCTTTACTCAAGAAATAAGCCGTTACGTGTTTTGTTTTGTTTCAGAAAGAGGAAAAGTGTTGCACACGCAGGTGAACCAAGTAATGGGGAAATTTCCCGAGTGTTTGGGGGCCTCACGTTTAAATTTGTGATTCCAGAAGAAGGTACCTTTACCTTTATTTAAGACATAACAGATAGAGATGTCTCAAGGGACATGGCTAAAGGCATAAATGACTGACGGGGCCGTGTATCTCTTTTGGCAGCAATAGTAGCAAAAACATGAAACAAATGAGGAGTGATACAATTTCACTCCAATCTAAAAATCTCTACAAAACAAAACAAATACATCACAAAACAACATAACGTGAAAGAAAATTTGCTCGTTTTCATCCTAAGCATCTTGCTTAAAACAAATTCGGTTTTATTCCCTGTGAGTATATGTTCTTTTACAGTATTTTTGTATTGATAGAGTGATCGTACGCAATCCAGTGAATCTAAAATGTATGGGTACTGGTTTAAATGGTGTGGTATAAAAAAAAAACTCAACCTCTTGTCTCTATAATTCGTGCGCGAACGCGATTTTATTAATAAATGTAGCCTGAAAGTATACGGGCTATCTTTCGCGTGGTATTTAGTATGGAACACCAATTTTTCGAGATGAAATTGCCGCCAAATTTCAAGTGATAGTGTGTATTTATGTAGATCTCTTACGTTGAGTATTTGATACGATCTAAAATATAGTGTGGCACTTTTAAGACGTTGAATGTTACCAATTTCTCACAATGCTCAATTTTGTATGTATGCAATACTGTCTAGATTTGTTTGGGATGTAGTTGGCCAAACAAAAATGTAGTAGCTTATGCGAGATTGCACAAGCGCGGAAGAAATTTGCGGTTTCACTTTTGTTGGAAGATAATATCTTAATCTATTTAAGACACCAATAGCTCGACAAAGACTTGTTCTGAAAGAATCAGTACGTGACGTCCATTATAGGTTTTGATTTAATAAAACCCCCAAGAATCGAGTGGTTGAAGATGGTTGAATATAACAGTCCTGGAATTTTAATTGCAAAGTGGAAGGTAGTATAATTCATTTTGGTCTAAACAGTAAGCACTTTGTTTTTTGTATGTTTAAATAAAGTATAGTAGATCTAAGCCATAAGTCTAATCCCCGCAACCATTTTTTTCGCATTTCCAAAGAGGTCGTATATGTTCGAGCAAGAAAAGAAAATATTGGTCATCTGCATATAGGACTATATTTGAACTGCCGTGTATGTTTACAATGTCGTTAATGTATAAAAAATAATATAGGACCAAGAATGGACCTCTGAGGAATCCCATACTGTATGTACTGAACGACTGACATTACTCCATTTACTACTGCATATTGCGTTCTTGTAGTGTGGTAACTTTTAAACAGCGATAAGGAAATACCGCGTATCCCGCAAAACTGAAGTTTGTCTGCTATAGTACCTCAAAATTTTATTCAATCTAGAAAACTTCCATTTCTAGTTAAAGTATAGAACAAGATCTAAGAAAGGTATTTTAGATGGCAGGTCGGCCCACTCAAAAATTGGCAAAAGGGGCATTGTGCTAGCCTGTCTAGGCTCAGCATTGATGAAATCCTGCTTCTACGCTCTCGGGGACAGCTTCGAGTTGCAAATTGATAGACTCAGAAGTGCTGGATATCCATCAACACTGCTGTTAAACGTGGCAGGCACATTGCTGAAGAGAAGAAAGGGTAGCCGGTGCAAAATATGCGGTATGAAAAAAAAGAGACCAGTGATTATCCCGTATTTAAAACAACACACACAGTCTCACATAATACAAAAAAAAAGAGAACGTGAGAAAACTTTGAGGAGCTCTAGTTTGGACTTGGGTTTGGGCTAGTTGGTTGTACATTGATTTATAGCGTTCGCTCCTTTCCAAACTCACGCATCGGGAAACTCATGCATTGAAAAGGAAAAAAAAAAAAAAAAATAAACAGTTGTTAGTCTGCGCCCATTCGTGTTCGTTGTGTTTCTCCTCATCTCAATGTAAACTCATCCTTTTCCTTTCAATTTTAGTCACGCGTTTGTTCTGTAGAACTTCGCAGCGCAGCATGTCTATCAAGGAGCTCTAGTGTTTTTTCAGCTCCACAAAAACGAGTCGGATTTGTCCCGTAGTTAATGCGAAGGCAGAGGGAATCAAAAAGAACATTTGAAATTAAAGCACGCCAAGCTGTTTGTGCAATGTGCCACGGGCGTTGTGTACAGCATTCCCTCTCCTGCGGCCGCAGCTACGTTGGGCAAACGGGACGCTGACTGAACGATAAGCTCTGTGAGCACAGGTAACCTCTCTCGCAGCCGCAGTGGGAGGACGCCTCGGAGTGCACTGTAAAGAGCGCCTGTGGGAACCGTTTTTTAATACCCCCCCCCCCCCCCCCCCCCAGTTTTGGGAAGGCACAAAGAAAAAGTGACCCGTGACACGCGTTTGTTCTGTAGAACTTCGCAGCGCAGCATGTCTATCAAGGAGCTCTAGTGTTTTTTCAGCTCCACAAAAACGAGTCGGATTTGTCCCGTAGTTAATGCGAAGGCAGAGGTAATCAAAAAGAACATTTGAAATTAAAGCACGCCAAGCTGTTTGTGCAATGTGCCACGGGCGTTGTGTACAGCATTCCCTCTCCTGCGGCCGCAGCTACGTTGGGCAAACGGGACGCTGACTGAACGATAAGCTCTGTGAGCACAGGTAACCTCTCTCGCAGCCGCAGTGGGAGGACGCCTCGGAGTGCACTGTAAAGAGCGCCTGTGGGAACCGTTTTTTAATACCCCCCCCCCCCCCCCCAGTTTTGGGAAGGCACAAAGAAAAAGTGACCCGTGACACGCGTTTGTTCTGTAGAACTTCGCAGCGCAGCATGTCTATCAAGGAGCTCTAGTGTTTTTTCAGCTCCACAAAAACGAGTCGGATTTGTCCCGTAGTTAATGCGAAGGCAGAGGTAATCAAAAAGAACATTTGAAATTAAAGCACGCCAAGCTGTTTGTGCAATGTGCCACGGGCGTTGTGTACAGCATTCCCTCTCCTGCGGCCGCAGCTACGTTGGGCAAACGGGACGCTGACTGAACGATAAGCTCTGTGAGCACAGGTAACCTCTCTCGCAGCCGCAGTGGGAGGACGCCTCGGAGTGCACTGTAAAGAGCGCCTGTGGGAACCGTTTTTTAATACCCCCCCCCCCCCCCCCCCCCCAGTTTTGGGAAGGCACAAAGAAAAAGTGACCCGTGAGGTGCTTGAGGCATTCTACATCTACAGTCGCAGAAGAAACTGCATCAACGCAGCGTCAGTGCCGCTGTCTACTGAGGAGCTGGAATTCCCCAAATTCAAAATGTAGGTCCAGCGCGTGCCGTAACACTCAAGTATAATGGGGAGAAGGTGTGCGTATAAATTTACAGAACAATGTGCGTTTGTTTTTTCTTTTTCTATCAGTAAAAATACATAGTTGAGATTCAGCGCTCTTTATTGTCTGGTTATTTCCTTTACCCTTTTTGCGGTGTTATATCTCATCATGTTAAACCATTACCAACTGGACTAGCTCTCAACATTTTTAAATGAAACCGCAAATATCGTCATTACAATTTTAAAGGCAACGTGCCTAAATGATAGCTTTTACAATGCATAGCCGAATCTGCAAAGGATAGCTTCCAGGTTTATGTTTACTGAATTAACCATACCTGTTTTTCTCATATCACTTTAATCAAAGTGAACTTGTAATAGTATTTCACTCTCGTGGCCACTGCTTCCTCAACCTGAATCTATGGACCATTTTTTGGTAACTTACGGTGCTTTAAAGGGGCACTGACAGATCAAAGTCATATATATATTTCTATATATACAGGGTGTTTCAGGAAACTCAGGCCAAATCGCTCCTGCGAAAACTACTCATCGCAACAAAAAATGGCTTGTGTCGTTTGGGTCCTGGGACAGGGGCCCATTTAGGAAAATTATTAAAGTCCGAGATAATTAAGTTGTTAATTATTTTTTTGTAAATAACTTCTTTAACATTGTGTGTAAGTGCATGATTTCAATTACAAAATTGCTGAGCATCGTCGAAAAACACTAAATCAACAAAAAGCAGAACGATAGAAGACACGTGAAGCATTTTACGGCTTTCTGAAAAATATCACAAATTTAAAGGGTTTTTAAGTTCCGGTTTACTATCGGAGCGCATCTGGGCCCCGGCGGAACCGCGCCCCGTGGAGAGATAATGCAACCAACCTCTGCTGCGCAGTCATCGCGCGGGGTGCGGTGCCGCCGGGGCCCAGATGCGCTCCGATAGCAAACCGAAACTTAAAAACCCGTCGAATTTGTGCGGTTTTTCAGAAAGCCGTAAAATGCTTTGCGTGCCTTCTATCGTTCTGAAATTTGTTGATTTAGTGTTTTTTGACGATGCTCAGCAATTTTGTAATTGAAATCAGGCACTTAAAAACAATGTTAAAGAAGTTAATTACGAAAAAATAATTAACAACTTAATTATCCCGGACTTTAATAATTTTCCTAAATGGGCCCCTGGCCCAGGACCAAAACGACACAAGCCTTTTTTCGTTGCTACGAGTAGTTTTTGCAGGAGCGACTTGGCCTGAGTTCTCTGAAACACCCTGTACATATATTTACCGGGTGTTCATTTTTAATTCGACCAGATTTATTTAAAAAAGCCGTGCAAGTTACACTCATGGTGCTTGTGGAGTTGAGTTATACAGCCAGTGGGACATATTATAGGGGGCTAATTGTAACTATCAGTTGGCTAATTAACAAAAAATTCGATAACTAACTTTTTAAATAATGAAAATAGACATATGGTTCCAATTACAAACTTGCTCAGCGTCATCAAGAATCACTAAATCAGTCATTTTCAGAAAGACTTTGAGCGCGTGAGAAGCGTAGTAGTGCACTAAAGTTACCACTCGTGGAGCAGGTACAAACCTAGCGGTCGCGGTAAGGAGCCCGCGCGATTTTTCCGTCTCCTATCTAGCCCTAGCCTTGCACCTGCTCCACGAGTCGTAACTTTAATGCACTACTACGCTTCTCACATGCTCAAAGTCTTTCTGAAAATGACTGATTTAGTGGTTTTCGGTTACGCTGTGCAAGTTTCTAATTGGAACCATATGTCTATTTTCCTTAATTGAAAAGTTAATTAACGAATTTTAATTAAGTAGCCAACTGATCGTTACGATTAGCCCCCTATAATATGTCCCCCTTGCCGTATAACTCACCTGCCCAAACCGTATCAGTGCATCTTTTACGGATTTTTTAAAATAAATCTGTTCAAATTAAAAATGAACACCCGGTATATATATATATATATATATATATATATACATTAATATTATTATTAGTAGTAGTAGTAGTAGTAGTATTACTATTAATATTATTATCAGAAACGATTGAAAACGATGCCGGGACATTACCATAAAAATTCGAAACTTGGGAATTCAGTATTTGTGAGGTAGAAAAAACACTTTTCAAATGCCGAATTTGAAGTTCCCGCGCAATCGGCGCCATTGCAGTGACGTCAAATTTTGCGGTCTCCTGAATGTCGACTTTCTTTCGGACCTCCGCTCCACGCTACAAAGTAAAGCGCCGTTGCCACCACGACCCGAAGTGCCGGTGGACCGGGAAAAAAACGGTTTCTTCCCCCGACTTACCGATCATCCTCTGCTCTAACGCTACCAAGTTTTCCGATGGGGGATACAAATCCAAGAAGCGACATCATTTTCAACATTTTACAGTATTGAAATGCACACCGAAATCTGATTTTTGGTATTTCAAAAAGAGGGGCCGTAGTGCGTCCGAAATTGCGTTAAAAAGAACTAACATGTTTTACGATTGCCGTTATTAAATGTTATAGAACTCTAGTATACAAAGCTTACAAATTTCGTGATTTTTGACGTCACCGATGAAAAGAAGCGAGGAGGCGAAGAGCGGGAAAGGAAAACGCCAAAAATAAGAAGGCGGGCGCGCGTGCAAGAAAATTTTTTTTCGCGATGCGTTTTTTTTTTGCCTGTCTATGACTACAACTTGCATCGCTTTAGACAATAAAAAAATACGACCATTGGGGTGTCAGTGCCCCTTCAAACCATGCTGCAAGGCAGCCAGCATCAATGATCCTTCGTTGCTTTAAGTTCAGGCATGGTCGATTAATATATTTGAGTAGTTCTGATTTTAGTTTATCCTCTAGTACTATACCCAGCGGCGACGCTGTGAAAAGGAAATTAAAGCGCCGGCACCTGCTCCTTAGGTGAATCAAGCCTTGGTGGTAAACGTGATGACGAGACAAAAATGAAATATCGGATAGACGATTGGGAGCTATCTTAGGCTATGGGCTTTCAAAATGCGTTTCCAGGGACCCAGGCGTTTTCCGGAGTATACTCCAGGTTTCTACGAACTCCAAAAATACTTCGGTTGTTTTGGCCATCAGGTAAAGCGATTTTCCAGTCTGAAAACCTGTTCAGGACGTCCAGGAATGCATAACCATGTGCCAGAGACTAGACCTTTTTTGAAAAGTCTGTGCCAACACCTGTCCGCAATTGCTCGAATCACATACTCTAAGCATGCATCAGAGACCAGGTTGCTTCAGCGTTTGACGAGGTGTCAGGTCCAATCGGGCGCTTCCTGTCCAAGCAATGGCGACCGTCAATGTTGCTTGCTGTACTTTTAAGAGGGGTGTTTTCCTATAGTCACTGGCCCCTTAAGAAACGCAGGGCGTGCCAAGTTCCGAGCACTTTTCTTGTGGGTCCGCAGCCAACGAGTTAGTGATATCTACCAAGAAGCACGCAGAAGAACTAAACAGGAAACAAGAAGCTTAAACATGGCAACTCACTCCCTGCATTTTTTTTCTCTGTCAGTGACTGTAGACGGTTGCAAGTACGGCCTCTGGGCGCCTGCTTCTTGCTGCGGGTGTGGAAAGGACGTCTGATACTCAACCAGTGCTGCGGTGTGCCCATGATTTCCAGACTGGCTCCCAAACAAAGCGTTTTTCATCCACGGTGGCCAGACTAGCTCTCAAAGAAGTGCGGCTGCGTGTGCATGTCTTTTGTACGGACATCTGTGTTTAATATGTCAGTAGGCTCCTGAACTGCCCTGTTACATGATTCCGTAACAGGGACAAGCACTTCAACTTTGGGTAAAGATAGACACAGATCCATAGCGTTAGAAAAATTCGAGAACATCTGTCTTGGGAAAAGAGTCTCACAATAAATGTACCCGAGCTTGACTTCACTGACTTCGCATGCCAGCCTGCCAGCTTCACGAGTGATGTTAAACATTTTAGTGACATTTATAGCTTACAAAATCTTACCCTTGTCTTGTCAGACAGAGCGATTCTCCCATGCAACCAGTTGTCGAACTTCCCGATTTCGGCTTCCCACATGACGTTGTAACTGCGCCAATCTCTTGCGTCGTTTTGCAGTGCAGTTGACAGCAACTTGGGGGGGGGGGGGGGGTAGAAAAACACATTTTAATTAGTTTAGGGAGGCAGTGCAACAACACTGTTTGAACGTTTCTGTATCTCTAAGCCGTCAGTCGGCCTCAAAATTGCCAGGGACCTTTATCTCCAGAATCCTACATAGCAATTGTAAAAAAAAAAAAAGAAAGCAAGCGAAGGCAATAAATTATTGTTCCCGGAAGTGAAGAAACTTTTATATTTCTGGATTTCCCCGCTAAATGTAGCACAGAAACTTATTAAGTGAATAGGTGACTTCGATTTACCCACTGAATTTAGCGAGAATATTGTAAGTGATATCGGTTTTCCTGCCAACCTTAGGGAGGAACTGAAGTAACGTAAGCTCAAATCACGTGACGTCATTTTTTCCGTTAAGCTTAGCGGCGAAACTATATTGGCGTATATTCTCGTGACGTCAGGTAAAGCGACATCAAACGTTCCGGATAAAATATAGCTCGTAAAGTAATTTCCACGTTAAAGGGTGACGACGGTGACGTGATGTCATGTCACGTTACGTCAACTTTACCGCTAAATGTAGCGGAAAAACGGAATTGGTGTAGAGGTCACGTGACATCAATTTCACCTTTGATCTTGGCGGGGGAGCTCAATTGGTGTATAGACTACGTGACGTTAGATCACGTGATATCCATTGACGTCACGTGACCTGAACACCAATTGAGTTTCCCCCCCAAATTTAGCGATAAATGCACAAACGAATTCACGAACGAACGGATGCACGAACGGACGGACGAAACACAACTTTTTCGCATTTTGTTAAGTAAAAAAAAAAAAAAGAATACTTTATTACGGGCCGCACCCAAATCGCTCACTTACATTAGCGAAAGTTTGGTCGTTTCTTTTTTTTTTTTTTTGGTGGAACCCGCAGGCGAATTGTTCATTAATTTACGCACGAATGAATAAACAAATCGAAAGAATCACGAAACACAACATAATAAAAATATATTTTTTTATATATATTTTTCACTTCTCTCCGCCTTCTTTTTATTCCGTTCGCGTTTTTCCCGATTCTATGTGTACAACAAGTTTACAGTTGTGTTGTGTCGTGTCGTCTTTCTAGTCTCGGTGTCGTCATTTGTAATCCTTCGCAGGGCTATTTCGTTAAAGCATAAAAAAAAGCTATTACAAACACAAGCGGTTTTTGTAGGGCGTAAATTCAATAGATACACTTTGGTGTTAACTACAAACAAATATCGCTCCACCATCATTTTATTTATATAACCATTTCAACAATTACTTGGGTTACTTGAAAGATAAGTTGTTAGGCAACTGTGATGTAAAATTTAGCGTTTCTTTCGGAGGAGGGGGCAGTTGCGCAAACAGCGCGTGGCGGTGACGCACCCTTTAGTACCATGAAGCAAAGGCCATTGCTTCTTTCCTTCACTGACCAAGCGCGAGGGGTTGGTCGACGCGGGTGCCTTGCAGTGCAATTCACGGTCACGGAAGTGCAAGAACGAGGAGAGCGTATGCAGGTAAGACGGTCCGCATCTGTCCTACGAGAGGCTCGGCTAACTGGAGAGTCACTAGTAAATAGGTTACGCTTAGAGTACGGCACCCCATTCGCCAGTTTCCTTCCGCGCCCCGTCGATTTGGTGCTTACTGCAGACGTGATACACCCTTTTCAAAACGTCCGCGCCATCGCGTGTCCGCAATTGCTCGATCATCTGCTCTCAGCACGTATTGGACACGAGGGCTACGTCAGCGTTCGGTGACGACTTGAATCCAATGACACACGCTTCGTGAGCATGGATGGACGGATGTTAATGACTATATACTTTGTAACCGGCGGTTCCTTGCGCCACCTATCCTAAGTCTAAAAAGACCAACATATGATTCCTCCCACCCTTCTGAAACCAATTTTCGTCCCCTGACTATCACCAGGCAGTGGGGAATATCACCAGGATGACCAGCAAGCGACGATGAGCTCCAATGTTGCTGGATGGAGTTTTGAAAAGGGTCTATTGGGTGATCGTTTTCATTCGAAAAGTGGACTTTCTCAGCTGTAGACACTGTGGCAGGAAGCTCACGCGATATTCTTCTTCTCCTCCGTCGTGGCCTGTTCTGTTGTAACAGTTTTGGAGGACGAAAAACGCTTTCCTCCCTTTTTTAGATAAAGCTTCGGATGACGTCGGCAACGATATTTTTAAACAGTACGGTGGCTGGAGTGTCGTTACCTCGGAGACCATCTTATTTTACTTTGGTTTACTTTAAATCCGATTGCAGCCCAAGCTACGACTCGATACAGTCAATCGGAGCACCATAACAAGTGCATCTCATGGTGCTCATTGCTCTTGTGAGCTTCCCGTCTCTGGCTGAACAATGAAGCAAAACAATCATGATCCATTCCACTCTGTGAAGTTGGATGACCAGCGAAGCTGCTTAGCACATGGCACAGACCCGTCCCGAAGAGCCATAAAAAATAGACAGCGCGACGGGACCGCCACCCCGAGAGAGCGGAAGGAAAGGAAACTAGACACGCAAGCGCTTCGAATGACGACAAAGAGAGGGTGGTGAGAGGGTAGACATGGCCGACTTGGATCAAACAGCTACAAATCTTTGAGAAACCTTTATTACCTACCCAATAGTCTACTGATCTTGAAAATAATGCCTATTGATAACTAATCTACTGAAAATGCACATCCAAGCAATGAGACATATGATCTGTAGCGTAGAATGAAGCGATTTTGTATCAAATTCGGGACCTGAATTTTTGTTGAGGCACACGAAAAATGCACGAAAAAAATTACACCATCTTCCCGAGGTTAACCATGGGGTGATGCGGAGCATCGCGGATTGTTATTAACGGTGCTATTAACGGTGTTAGTAACGTTGTTAGTAACGTTGTTAGCTTGCGTGTTATTACGTTGTTAAATTGCGTTGGTTACCACACATCGCGTGAACGTTGTTGGAAACTCCGCGATGCTCCGCATCACCCCATGGTTCCCCTCGGGAAGATGGTGTAATTTATTTAAGTGCGTAGATGAAGGTGAAACGGTTAACGAAGGTCTTTATTGAGCAGCGTCTAGTACTTGAGGTGTGCACTTGAGGTTCGGCGCTCCGTTCATGCCTAGCGACACTACCAAGATCGTTGTGCCGTTTCCTCCGCTAGCAGACGACGCCGGCGATGCACAGAAAGCGAAGCGAGACGGTCTGAAGCGCAAGTACAACGAAATGCACGAGGTGTTGGCAGCGGTGAACTGAACGCGCGCAGCGCGCTACCGCTGCTTATAGACCGTTCCATTAGGGTCATAGCAGAGAGGGTAGAAGAGAAAAAAATGCACTCCCCCTCTCACCCCACATGTCGTCCGCTCCGCCGAGTGGGCTGTAGCTAGCATCCGGCTGGAGTGCAAACTCTGTTTAAAATCGCGTCATTTTGGAACTTTCAAGCGCAGATGCGCAGATTTTGGTATGCCAGTTGTCGTGTAATATTATGCTAGATAAAAAGACTCACAGTGTCAAATCGCGCTGTTACCTGCGTGCAAATAAAAAAAAAATAGGGAAAACTGTGTCAGATTGGCAGGTCTCTTTGGCGAAAAGTAAATCCGGTTGCTGTACCTTTTTTACTATACAAAAGTTCGTACTGCTGTAGGCCTTTAGCGATCATGAGTGGAAGTCTGAAATAATAAATAAAACGTGCTCTCCTGCTGCAATACAAGCAGTAGCTGAGGGTAGTACTGCCGGCTGACTCAACTGCTATTTAAGTAACGAAAAAAAGATATGCTAGTTGATCATTTAGCAAAATAAAACAACAGAGAGCTCTAGGCTGATTTTGGAGTAGCCATAACTATTCTAAGAAAGCGAACCACTTCACAACGGCAGCCACGAGCGAGAGTTCGATGTTCGGTAGAGCCCGCCGATACAGCCCAAAGATGGAGAACGGCAACCTCCAGGTTTGTCGTCTGCTAGCGGAGTCGGGAGCGTGCCCTCTCGTTTTACCCCGCCGAACCCGCTGAACTTCCCGGATGCGTGGAGAGGTCGCTGCGTTCGAACAAAATGGTGCCGCCCAGAGATCGATAAATGGAATGGGTATATTCACACTTGAAGGAGAGGAGACTAGAGGAGGAGAGTTTCGCATGCGCGCGCGGTGTGAGTAGAAGCGAACACACGCGAAGTGCACGCAGCTGGTAGAGAGAGAAAGCGGAGAGAGTAACGAGCAGCTGTTGGAGAGAGGGAAGGAGGCGAGTTGCGCACGCGTAGTGTGAGTGCGGACTACGACGCCGCGGGACATAGACCCGAGCAAGAGATGCTCCGCATCTAAAACGCACGATTCTGATGTGTTTACTGTACGTGATCTGTTTAGTCAATGATGCCCAATGCACAAAGGTAATGAGCACCACGAAAATGCACTTTTGGCGCCACTTAATTTGCTCTAATAGATCGTAGCATTGACTGCAGTCGGACTTTGAGTTAAACGGAGCATTGTGGCATTAGATCTCCATTCTACCGTCGTACAAAGAAATGAAGCTGTTCGATCTTTGATTCATCCCCGGGCCCGTCAAAACCAGTGGGCTACAAGTAACGGAGGTGCAAGTCATTTGATAAAGGTTCAGTTTAAGTTGCTTCGTGAAATTCAATTTATCAAAGCAGCTTTCGACGGGCTTAACAATTTAAACGGTTCACTCGTAATTTTATATTTAAATTACTTTTATGCTTAATGAATGCCGAACCTTGGGTGCCTGAGGATCATACATAAAAAATATCTCTCGATTTTGGCAAAAGCACGTACAAAAAAAAGTGGTGGGACCTCTTAACTTACCCTAAGCTTTGTGTCTTCATCCCCGGCAACAATGTACCAGAAGTCCATGCAATCAGTTGCTTGGAGTCCAGATATAATTGCTTCACTAACAACGTGTGCCTTGGTTCCTTTTCTTTTCATAAAATTGCTGAAGTATAAGTAGGATCCTGAAAAGAAAAAAAGTTGTTGATTTGAATAAGGGCGAGCCCCGATTGGACGGGCGCAACTAGTCTTCCGCTTTTGACTTCGTTTAAATAACGTAATTAAAGAGAATCCCATTTCGGAGCTGTTTGATTCAGAACTGTTCAATTCAAACATCACAAAAACGTTTAAATAAACGTATCCACCGATACCTTCACATCATGTCAATTGTCATGCGCTCACTATAATTAATCGCAGTATACATTGGCAAAGAGCGAACGCTGCGATCCTATCATACAACTCAAATAAAGCTTTATTAATATTATTATAACGAAGGGTTGGAGCAAGCGACAGCTCTCCGTAGAAAGAATAAACTTCATCGATCCATTCTTACGAGCCTCGGCTTTGGACTCTGATTGGTTCGCTGGAGTCAAAGCTTGTGCCGTTGACGAGGTTATGGTGAAGTGCAAAAAAACGTAAGTTGCAAATGACAGGTCACACAAAGTGTACTTGCAATTGACTGCGGTAGCTACTATGTTTCGGAAAGGCGTATTGAAGGTGATTTGCCTTCAGTTAGTGTGCTGTAGAGTCTTTGTAATGGGTCCATCGCTTTCAGTGGAATTGATGTTGGAGATGTGTGCTCTGGTGGAACGATTGTGCGAGATGTGGCATGTGGTGGAAAAACACACAGAGACATGCTTTCTCTTTTGGTTGAAACGCTCTTTTGAGAACCGGGGTGCCCGTTACCGCGGCAGCGGTGGAAGAAGCGGAACTATGCACGCGAGCTGTTCTGTAGAGGCGCGGAGAGTACACACAGCGGAGTTTGGGCGGCAGCTGTGGGGAGGCGAGGGAGCGTATACGCACAGCGCAACCACGTGGTGTAGAATACCTCCTCCTGTTATGGTTTGACAGATGGACGTAATCTGCCGCAGTGACGTCACATGACGTTACTCGGTGTGGTGACGCGACGTGACCTGGTAGTTGCTTACGTAAAATTTAGATTTTCTCAAGTCTCACACGCGGCATTGAATTATGATGGAAATGATTACCTATTATATAGTTATTTATTAAAAAAATAGATTATTCTATTAAGGCCGCAACTCTATAAGCCAAACCGCGCTCAAGGATTTATCGTCGTCGTCAAGGTGATGTCCACAAAGTTATGACCCAAGGCTACGTAACACCCGTAATTGAAGCTCATGGTCGCCTAACCAAGGGCAGATAAGCGGCGGGTGAGTAAGCTCCGTTCGTGTAAGCGCTCGTCGCGCCAGTTCGTAATCGGTATCTTTACACCCCTAACCGCCCTCAAGGTCATGCCCTCGCCCTAAGGGTAATGTCCACAAGGTCACGTAATACCCGTGGCTACAGCTCGAGTTCGCGCTATCAAGATCAAGAAAGCACCGGTTGCGTAAGCTCCGTTCCGGTAAGTGCTGATTGCGTTGGCTCATAAGCGTCACTAGCTGAAGCTGTGTCGCCTGATGTCCTTAACGTCGTCCTTGAACTCGTCTTATATGTCGTCCTTCAGGTCGTCCTAGACGTAGTCTAGGACGACCTGTTGTTAACGTCATTAACAACAGTTGTTAACGTCGTCCTCTAGGGTCTTCCTTGAGGTCATACTTGAGGTCATTCTAGAGGTCGTCCTGGAGTTCGTCCTTGAGGTCTACCATTGCGACGTCCTTTACTCGCCCTAAAGAGTGTCCTTGAAGTCGTCCTTGAAATCGCCTTGGACATCGTTCCATTCGCCATTCCAGACGCCGTCCATGACTTCGTTTTAGACGTCGTCCTTGAGGCCGTCATAAGGTTCGTCCTATAGGTCTTCCTTGAGGTCGTCGTGAACGCTGCAATTGGCTTCGTCCTTGAGGTCGCACTAGAGGTCGTCCTAGAGGCCGTCCTAGATGTCATCCTCAACGTCGTCCTAGACACCCTCCTTGACGTCATCCTCGATGTGTGTGTGGCATATTACATCCATTTCATCAGCATACATCTTCATTTCCTAATTGTTTTCACACACGATGTTCCTGTAAAGCTGCTGCATTTAATCGCGTTTGGTCGAATGAACACGCGTGAAATTTATTTATCTATAGTAATTTTGACAAGAGTCAAGTTTTGTTGTGTATGGGTTTTAGATTTTTGGGTTATACACGTAATTGAAAAAAAAATCTGAACTGTTTTTTTTATTCCATAACAATGTACTCGTGAACGAACTCTCAGTCTGTGCATGAATGCAGGACTAGCTTTTGGGACAGGTTGCAAAAGAGGAGGCGAATTTAATTATATAAACTTAGAAGCATTTTTTTTTGTATTGTATGAGAATAATGTTGAAATAAGTAAGCGTCTGCTGTCCATAACATTTTGCAGGTTTTTTGCAAATTGCTTGTAATTTTTAATAAGATATTGCGAAACTTTCATTGGGGAGGAAACTGAGTGATTTGCTAGGCGTTGTCTATTTCTTTACACATACATACATACCGTTGTTTGCTGTTTTTAGCGTGTGGTCCATGCTGGGTTTTGGCAGTGTAGTCTTGATGGTGCCGCCACCAAGCCTCCACTCCCCCCTGCCGACGTCATCTCCCTCCACGTTGAGCCAGGAACACAGGCCTTCCTCGAAGTCGCAGTCCAGGTTGTGATTGGCTGCGGTGCACATAACAAGGGCGTTACTACATTACAGAGGTTAAAACCTCCTTCGCATGCAGGGCATGCGGATCTCAAGGTTAGAACGCAAAAACTTAGTCGCATAAGTTTTTCGACTATGTTACAAAATTTAAAGGAAAGCTAGAAAATGTAGAGCATATTTTTTCGAATCTATATTTCCAAAATAAAAAAAACTAAAACCGCGCTAAAAACTAAGCAAACACAAGGCACACAAGGAATATACGTTCTGACACCTTGTATTTTGGATATTTAGGTTTTTTTTGGCATTTTATTATTTTAAACTAACAAGCCGAACTTTGGGCCTCGCTGTAATTCCGAGATATTCGTTCGTTTCCAGGCAAAGCATACTTTTATAATGCAGGGTAGAAGACATTCAACGACCTTATTGTTTCAGCTTCTGCTGTACTAGTCTTTATTATGATTTTTAATTTAGGGATACTTCCTAAGACAACAACGTTTAATTCAAATAATCTTTCATTCAAGGCACCTCCTAAGTATATAGGTGACAATTAAAGGCAATAAGAATGTATAGAGTGAAAATAATTTTTTTTTCATTACATGTAGCAATAGCTTATGCTAGGTTCGCACGCAACACACAGGACCCATCTATTTTTTTATATTTTTGTCCGCTGCACTGATCAGATAAACCGCGGTGAAGTAGGATATTTGTCGTTCAAATCTACTTCCTTATTAATTATGTGCCTGCTCTTAAGAAAGGGTGTTACATTGCTGAAAAACATTTAGCCGTCCTGTGTTAATGCACCGTACGGCAACAGGGATAGCCGACGCACGTGACAGCAAGGTCGTGCGGGCATCGCCATCGCGCTAGGAGTAAAATAGACATTTCTCTTTTTCCGATCGCTTTTTTTTTTATTTTATACGGAACGCTGCTGTTTCTATTTTGTTCCCAAACGCGCAAAAGCAACGTTACTATACCAAAATATATACCTCGACTCGCCTTAACATGGACTATCGTTAGCTCCTGCGTGCTAAAAGAGCGAACTAGTTGCTTAAGGCTAAGCTCGGGCTGTGGCGTTGGCGGCCTCGTCGCCCTCTTGCCCGTGTGTCCTAGCGTCCATATGGGAAACACCTTCGCCGGTGGGTGTTTACGAAATATTTGATGGGCGAGTGTGCTGATTGAGCCCTAAATAAAATGCTTACAGGCCTCTTGCGAGTCTGAGAAATATTGCGCGGGGGTTGTAGGCGATGGCTGAGGCGAAGACTGCTTCTTCCCCATGTGTGACGACTGTGCTCTTCGTTGAGGCTGAGTACATTTTACTCTTCCGTCCGACATCGTGACGACAGCTACCGTATGTCCTTCTTGAGGCCCGACAGCGTCCACGTATAGCGTGCCCTGGTCGTTGTCCCACAATCTACCGAGCGATTCCGCCCTAGCTCTGCCCCTCTCGGCATTACATTACATGTCTCTATATGTATTCGACTGAAGTTAATTTTCTCTTTCATGTCCGGGGTGAGATCTTCTAGGGGCTATGGTCTCCCGCCAGGAATGGTGAGGCGTAACGGCGCCATGAGCCACTTGTCATTTGCTGTTTTGTTTAATCTCCTCATTTCGGCGAGCTTCTGAGCCTCCAAAAGCTCTTCTATCGTGTTGTGAACCCCGAGCTCCAAACGTCTGCAGGAGGATGTAGAGCTCGGAATACCCAATGCCGTCTTATATGCCTTTCTAATTAGAACATCCAGTTTCTCCACCTCACCCTTTGTGAGTTGAAGGTACGCCGTCCCGTAAATGATGCGAGAGACGACGAAGGCTTGCACTAGCCGTGAAGCTTCCTTCTCACCAAGTACGTGGCGTTTGTTTCGTATTCTTCTCATCATCTGGAGAACTTGCTAAGTTGTTCCCCCGAATGTCTTGGGTGTGACCCCGTTTCCCCTGCCCTGCAGAATATATTGTCCCAGAATTTTGACAGAGTCGGATCGTGGGATCGACTCGCAATTGATACCACTTTCAATGCGCTCGCTTGTTTTTTGTCTGGAGTTCTATAAGATTAGAAGCTCGGACTCTTCGTGGGCGCATTGGAGACCCCTGCTTCTGGCATAAGCGTCAATTGCGTCTGCGGCGAGAGAACCGCTCTCTTAAGTGTGCCTCTGGCACCTAGGGTTATTTAATTTCTTCCGCAGTAATTGGTTTATCTAGTTCTTCATTTGGCTCTCTTTCGTAATCAGGTTGGTCTTTTGGGGGATTGGTTCAGAGGTATTTGTCAGCTAATCGCTGTATTACCTTTTCGTCTAATCCTTCCGCTAGATGTATGAGTTTGTTGTTGTGGCGATACGCGGCTGTCCTTGTTCCGTTCGGATCAGTCAGGGCGCTTAGTATTTTCGAGGTTTTTGATACGCTTAATTTTTTGCAAATTTGGCCGCAAAGTGTGGTCTAGTTTTGTCTGGTTAGGCTGATGGCTTAGCTCTCCGCCTCAATGTTGCGCTCTTATTTTCTCTTTTTTACTTGCTGTTAAGCTTTTGTTTCTTCCAACGCCTCGTGAGCGACCTTCTGGCTTCCCAGAGGTGTCGAAGGTGAGCATCTAGCGCTGGAGTGTTCTCTGTAGCACTGGTGGCTTTAGTGTAGGACTTGACTTCCCCAACCAGATCTCTCGGCCACCGTTCCATGTTTTCGATCGAGATCACCTTTTCGGCTGTGCTTGCTCTCCAGCTGTCCCATTCCTTGATTTTGGCTTGTCCAATTTTTTTTTACACCTGACAGCGTCAAATTCGGTCATCAAAATGTAGTGATCACTACCTGGATGCTGATCGAGGTTTCTCCATTTTGGACGTCTAACGTTTCTGGCCATCGTAAGGTCTGGTCCGCTGAAATTCCGCGATTAAAGAAAATATCGATAATGATAACTCAGTTTGTTTTTTCTCGTTAGAAAGCAGTGGATATCTAAGTACCCTCGCGCTCCCCTGCGCTTTCAAATAGTGTCCGGAACTCAAAGTGTTATAGATTTCGTAATGTTTTCCGTGGGGTTCCGCCACACTTTCCTATGTGCGCTAGAAAACCAAGCCGAAATTCTGTTACCTTCGTCGCGATCACCACGTCCTGCTGGGCCTATGGACACGTAGAGACTTACGCCGTCTATCGTTTAAACTTAGCATGAATGACAGGGTATACTAAACTTCATGAATGGAACATTTGGTTTGTCTTAATGTTGTATTTGCATGTCCGCGAGCTGCATTCTTCACGTATTTCTGCGCAGCCTGAAACCCGGCTAAGATTAGTTTCAGTGCAACCTAATTTGAGAGTTTTCCCACTCAATCTGGAAAGGGAACTGAAACTGAAATTAAGAAAAAGCGTCTTTTGTTCGTGATTTTCACTGCAAAACTTCTAAAATAATTTTTTTTCCAATCCTTGATATTAATCAAATAGAAGGGAAGTATGTGTTCAAGGAACTTTCCGGAACCCACACCTACAAGGAAAATAGTACCTGAAGTACGAACCACTTACCCTGAGGGCGGGCGCAGTCGCTAAGCCGAACATAGTCTACCGCACAGTAGAACCCTATGTACGATCCGGGTTCGTGAGAGCACTCAAATTCCACCTGAACAAAATTAAAGGAAAAATTAGGACTGATTATCATGTCTCAACTGTAAAACTACGACCCTTAACTAAACATTAGTGAGCGATATGATGATGACCATCATCAATCATCTTTTCAATTTTGTGCCTTTATGAACAAAAAAATTTATAATGTCGCACACAATACTCCGTACCCTTGTGCTGAACATTGCTCACACCTGAAAAGTTCATCAAATGTAGAATAGGTATGGCGGTCAAGTGGTTGATTCAACTATGGGTCACTTTGTCACGTGGTCACCTAAACTGTCTTAAAGCCACTGCGTCACGTGATCCCGTGATGTCAGATATCCCGTAATGTTAGATGCCCTGACGTAAGGTGAAGGGTACATGTTAATGGTGTAGGTTGTTTCTTGTTAACTCGATCGTTCCCAACAAGAGAACGTGTTCTAAGACAAGAAGAAATCCATGCTTATTTATTTTTTCATGTGTATAAAAGGGCATTGACACCCGCAAAACAGACACAAATATCAGAAACCCTGATACAATGATATATACAGTGGCTCAAGCGGATTTGACGCTGTAAAACGAGCGAAAAAAATCTACACCTGCGCATACAAAAAGCGAGAACTTTTACAAAATGTGCAATGAGCAAGCCCTTTTCACCGTGGGAAATTTCAAGCCGCAGTTTTCTTCCTGTGACCAATGAAAGTAACAAGCTTGTCAAATTCGACGTCGAACGCGTTCACAGAGGACGAAATTCGCCACACTATTAACCTGTGGCGCCATCTCCCGATAGGCCCAGCGACAAGAAAAAAAGAGTGCGTCATCTGCTCGCAGCGCCTATGGGGAGATGGCGTCATAAGTTAATAGCGTCGCTAATTCGGTCGTCTGTGACCGCGCATCATCTTGCCTTTGGCAAGTTTGTCGCTCTCATTTGTTACGGGGAGTGAACTACGCCTTGAATTTTCTCACGGTAAAACTGAACCGCTCAATGCCCAATTTGGGAACGTTTGAGCAGTCCATAAGCAGGCACCGATCCTTCCGGCTCGTTTTACAGTGTCAGACCGCCTGTCCCACCATACATTAGTGCGTCTCACAAATATATAGTAACATATTTAATATACCAAATACATACGACATATATATAATTACGCATGCTCTTCTACAACTATTAGAAAAGAATAATTTAAATATTTATATTTCCAATTGAAAAACCGAGGCTTGTGTAACTTAAATAAGTTCCAAAGAAAGAACCTTTGAAGTATTTGAGTGAAACCTGCATTGTGCCAGAGAAAGCAGCTAAGCGTTTTTTGACAATCTAGAGTTGCCCGAAAGGTTTTGTTAATTTATTTTTCAATTCCTTTTTTTACAGTTTTCACTCCCTTCATGCGTTGTCAAAAATAACAAACAAAACACCTAAACAGCCCTTTTGTCCATAATTAGTGTTTAATCCTAAGGTATTTGCTCACAAGTTTAAATTGTGTTTGTGCAAATTTAAGTGTTCAGGCATTGTTCTGCCAGTCTCCCGCAGTCTCCAGGCCCTCTGGTGAGACACCCGCTTACTGAAGTGTTTGGAATGAAAGATTTATATTATATTGCTTTTCGCAAATATGATGCGTCACGAAACATAGTGTCCTTTCTCTTCAACAACCAAAAAAGTTAAAATAAGACAGTTATTTCAAGAAAAATCAGTGGGATTTTTGGTACCATGAATATTGAAGGACGTCAGATAATGACCAACTAACCTGAAATTGGCCTGCTGCAGAAAACGAAATTTGAGCTGGACTCCACGTGTTGTGGATCAGGGCATCACTTGAGAGCTTCCAAATAGACTGCCGTGTTTTATCGGCCCCTGCAATAATAAAGATATGGTAAAAATGTGGTGAGAAACAGAATTGTAGTTCCCAGTTAAGATAAATTCATTATAACGCATTGCGCCAGCTCATTTACTTTGCAAATATACTGTTGCACAATTCACTGGCCGTGAAATATTCTTAGCCAACATGAGCCATCACCAGCAAGGCTCGCGGTTCTAAATATTAAAGATCTAATTTTCAAAGTTTCGTAAAGTGGATCTGTAGATTCGTTTTAATGCAGTTAACCTAAGACAAACGTGAGTTTTTGTTATCAAGTATTCAAACTTAGCCAAATTCGACTAGTTCATTTCAACGACTCTTGGGTTCAGAGTCTATCCTTCTGAAAGAGCTTCACGCGGCTCAATGCATAGGCCGTATCTCCATTGTATTCCATGTTTGTTCCCTGATGTAATCTGATAAGTTAGGCAGGTCTCTCCACTTATATAAATTAGATACTCTTTTGGGCACGTGTAATTTTATTTCCAAACTTGAAGCATGCGGCTATATTGCGTAAATTATCATGCCACTTGTGACACTTTGACGAAAAATGTGTTTTATTGGCAGTGTTTTGTCAGTTGCCGGGATGAGCAGTTTCGAAGAATCGCCACGGAAGATTGCGATATCACGTGATATTATGACGCCTCGTGACACCATGACGCTGAGACAACACGTGAGACCGTGACGCCACGGGTGACGTGACGTCATTCGGTGACGTGAGTCTGGCGTCCCGACACTTTATACTGTAACATCGTGACGACAATTGGCATCGCAATGCCTTGTGACCTCTTGACGTTACGTGAACTCACACATAGTGCGTGCAAGGATCATTCGCAACACTAGGCACTATGGGCAACAATATGAAGCGGAACAGATAATTTTCCTTATTTCCCGTTTCACGACGCCCACAAAGTTGGTTAAACCTCCAGCTGTCAAACAGTATGTAGCTTCGGGTCTAAAATTTCCGTTCTAGCCGTCGTTTGGACCATAATATGTTCAAACAATTATAGGTCTACGTCAAAAAGCGTGGAAGTCTTTCTCCTCTAATACTGTTGCCTATAGTTCTGAACGGTGTTTCTCAGCACGATCAACCTACCGTCTATTTTCTATTACTAATTAAACAGAAATTTTGAATAAGACACGAGTTGAAATTATGTGTCGTATGTCGAACAGGGCACATAGTTTAAGTAGCTAATGCAACTTTCAATACTATTTTCCTCTGCGCCGCTTATTAGGCCAGGAACGGAAATGCTACATCGCAGTTTCATTTTGTACTTAAACCTGCACCAATGCTCTTCTTTCACTTGGCTCATTACATGTTCACCACTGTACAAGGGAGATTTTTTTTCGAAGTGTTGAAGAGAAAAACGTGATGAGTACATCAATAAAAAAAAAGCATAGAGGCTGTTCTTTTTTTTATTTTACAAATTTGTCTTAAGCACTGCGTAAAATTTCTACTAATGCGGTCTGTACATGTGAGTTATGGGCCATGAGGTCACAATATCGGTTGCTAATCGTCATGATAATTCAGATAATTAACTAAGATTTGTGGATTAGCTTTTTAATTAGTTGAAACAAACACATGGGTCGAATTTAACATGCTGAGTCTAGTGAAATACCACTAAAAGTTGTTTTTTATAAATATTTAGAGCGCGTTAAATTTGAAGGCATTCCATGCTTCAGTTTTTATGCTCCCCGTCACTTTAACCTAGCCTTGGGCTATGGACATTACAGACAATGACTTTTTACCTTTCGTGAAAACTTCCAGGACATGTGGTACTTTCTCCTTGGCTAGTGTAGGGATGTAGTAGAAGAAGCTCAGACACTTGTTCCGGGCGCTTCCTTCCAGCTTTGGTGAACTGAGCACTCCCAAAAGCTTGCCTTTTGGGCGAGGGAGGTAAACCGCGTAACCACCTGCAGAAGAAAAAGTTGGAGTTGTATTTCGACATGTCGATTAAACGGTCGTATGCAGAATCGCGTTTTATGAAAAACAATACGGAAGTTACTCCCAGCATCTCTCTTCCCAGCTACGAGACACCGTGTCTACATCGTCGCTGCATACGCCTTCTGTAACGCCTATCTTTTTATTGTTGTTCTTTTGAAACTTTCACATCTAGCGAAGTACTCTCTGAGCGTCTCTGAGTCCTCTCTTCCGCCTCTTCTGCTTTCTTTTCATTTATTTTTTTTCTCAGCTGCGTTGCGTGGCCCGGAGCTCGTGGCGCTCATGCTCGAGAGCCTGGCAACTAGGCCTAACTGTCTTCGACCGCAGCACCTTTACCTTTCGAGGCTAAATCAAAGTTAGCTTCGGTGAAAATGCAATTCAGTGTTAAGCTGTGCATTGATGTCACGTGACTTGCAGTCACAATACCTATACACCAATTCAGATTCCCCATTCAATTTAGAGAGCAGATTGATATCGCTTGGTTTGACCTTGCGTGACGTATACACCAAAGAAAGCGTGAACAATCTGTACTCCGATCGCCTACAGCTTCCCTCCCTCCTCACTCCCTCCTTCCCTCTTCCTCCTCACCTGCCTCTCTTTTCCCTCACCCCTCCCTGATCACGTGGCACATCAACAGCTCCCCTAAATTGATCAAAGTATACGTCCTTCACTGCCGGAACGACTGTTTGATGTCTTTAAACAATTGATTTGATCGCCTGTAAATACTGCAACTAATGCATCATAGGACTTCAAAAATACATGCCGTTACAAATTAAAGCCGTAAGGAAGAAAAAAATGGCAGCGTTTTTTGTCCGCAAACTTTTTTAATGCGTTAATTTAGTATATAGGAGCGATCAATTGGAGAACCTATATTTTTACCAATTTTAACTGAATTCGTGCGTCACTTTATCAGGGTGGGGGAGGGGGAAGAGAAGTAAGGGGTAGGCAGGGAGAGGAGATAGGGATGGGCAGGGGCGATGCGGAGGAAGAGACTAGGAAGGTGGAACGATGCAAATTGGGACGAATGCGGCAGATAGAGAGAAACTGAATTGGCATGTCACGTGACCAGACAGGAAGAAGAAGGAAGAAAGGAGGAAGGAGGTCACGTTAGGAAAAGGGAGGATGGATGAAAGGTACGGATCGGAAGGTCGGTCCGGATGAAGGGGTGAGGCAGTTGTAGTGAGGGATGGGGAAGATGGGAAAACACCTTATGGCAAATTCCACTGGTCGTTTTGGAGCGCGCCGGGACCGACATTTCTGGAGCAAGCCTATTTCACTGGGCGATCGGAATCGAGAGGGACGTGTTTCACTGGTCGTTTTGGATTAGCTCCCGCTCCAGATCTCGATCTGGATTTGAGAAAAGTCGCTCCGACGATTTCGGCGGATTCAACCAAAAGCCAGCCGGGCCAGCTGGGCCAGCTGGGCCAACCCTCGGCGCAGACACGTGACTTCCTTGCTCGCGGGGCATCTCGGCTGATATCGCCCATCTCGCCTCAGAATTCGTAGTGGCCGCTTGCTAACCCTTTGGATCGCCAGCCGGTTCGTTTTCCAGGAAGAAGAAAAGGTTTTGCAGGCGCTGCGGGCACTCCGGCAATCTTTGCTAGAAGCTCCTGAGCCATTCCTGCCGCTCGTGCGTCGAACACGTGTTAGCGCCGCGATTGCGAAAACGTCTTCGAAACGACCGCGGCGGCCGCGGAAAGAGGCAGTTGAATGACGGGGAGGCATCCGCCGATCCCGGAGCAGTGGTCATGTTCCATAGGGGATCCGTAGGCGGTGCGAACACGTTCAGATCGTGTTCTCCATTCCGGATCTAGTCAAGTGATCCCGGCGCGCTCCAAAACGCCAAGTGGAATTCGTCAATAGATGGGGGAGGGCGATAGGGAGCGTGGAAAAAGGAAGGAAGGCGAGGGGCAGAAAGAGGTAATTGTTGTGTCCCATGACGTAAAATTTTCAGCTAAATTTAACCGAGAAACTGAATTATTATGTAGACAATGCGACATCCATTTGCCCCAATAAAATAAGTGCTGAAAGCCAATTACTCTTTGGGGTCACGTGACGTCGTCACGACTTCAATTTATCCACTAAATTTAGTGAGAATACTGAGCGGGTATTTAGGTTACAGAAAGTAAACTTTCCCGCTTAATTTAGCGGATAAACTGAATGGACACGTAGGCCACGTGACGTCAATATCCACACATTGTGTATAGGTCATGTTACCTAAGCTCACGTGACGTCGCGACGACGTCGACTTTCCCACTGAATTTAGCGGGGAAACTGAGTTGGTTTTTCGGTCACAAAAAGTATTTTTTCCGTTAATTTTAGCGGAAATACTGAATTGGCCTATAGGCCACGTGCCGTAAATTTCCCACTTTGTGTATAGTGCAAGTGAGATTAGGTCGCATGACGTAAATTTCCTTGTTAAATTTATGGGAGAAAGTGAATTCCTGTATAGATCAAGTGACATCAATTTCTTCCGCTATTCTTAGTGGGCATGCTGAATTGTAGTTAGATCACGTCACGTCGACCCATCAATCACCCGGCTAAATAGAGGGGGCATATTAAAGGGGTGTTTAAATAACAAAAAAAAAATATTTTACAGCTAATTTCAGCGGGGAAATTGAATTCCGTCAATTTCCCTGCTAAATATAGTAAGAAATGCAGGTATGGTAACATTTTGGGGATAGGCGTGGGGGGTTCCGTTAGAAAGCATTTCATGCCTTAATATGCAGGATGTTTCTGTCTAAGCTTAAAATATTTGTTAAAAATAAATTCGCGAAATCTACACTACAGCGTTTTGTGCAGGCAAATTGTGCGAGCAGGAGTACGAAGTAGGAAGATAATGCGATTAATGTAAAGATGCAAGCTATAGCAGGAAAAGAACAATGATTTTTGCCGTTACTTTTGTCCAGCTCGCTTGCACCGTTGCAATACTAGCATCATCATCATAACCTAAAAATGCAAGCCGTTCTCCCTTGTTTCTGTTAGACTGGTGGCGGTTGCTGAAGCCCGTTTGCTCTACTGACGTCTAACTCGTGGTTAGCTCAGTTGGTAGAGCGCTCCAGAGGAAATGGGGAGGTCCCTCGTTCAATACGAGGATAAAACCGGTTTTTTTCCTGTCGAGCACTAGTCACCCGTAGTTGTGTATAGAGATTTGTGTTTGCGTATTTGAACCGCTTGTTCTCGCACTCCAGGGATTGCGGTTGTATACTAGGGATGTGTCTTTAAATAATGAAATGCATCCTTACTATCTGGCATTAGTTCTGGAGACGTGCAGTGTGCAGCGAGAGCACGCCAATATGACCCTCCCTGTGCATATTAAAGTCTTATTAGTGTCGAATGATAATTAATTATCCTAACCTAACAAATGCAGCTATATTTATCAGTACGTAGGTCGACTAAGTGTAAAAGAGCCGTGATTTTTTTAGGTAACCGTTGTTTGTCACGTTACTCTTATTTGACGGCGGGATTACGTCCCGCTTGAGAGCTCCCCTAGGCGGGATAATAGTTTATCAGACTTATCAACTATAATGAATTAATAACGATAATTCGTTATAAAGGGAGGAGCACACGCGCTCCTCTCTTGAGCAGATTTCTATGGTGCTCACTACAAGTGATCAAATTACTTGTAATCCATTAGTGGTGTGAGTAATATTGTAATAATTTTATCATAGTCATTAAAGGGACCATGAAATGATTTTAAAATCGAATTTCATCCACCGCACGTCGTAAAAAGTGTTAAAAGAAACACAAAAATAGGAAGCCCAAAAAAATTATTTGCTATAGAACTTTTAAAACAAAACTTGATTCTTTTGTGCCTTCTTCCCTTCGAAAGCTCTCTGCCTTTTCACTACGATGCATCCGCGGAAACGGAGCACGTCAGCCGAATCCACGTCGCCTATTGGGTAGGAGCCTACCTCACCAGCACCGCGCTCGAAAACAATAAATAGCCGGCGAATATTTCCTAAATGTTTTGTTAAATAATATTCAGATTCACATTTTGTAGCATAATTAGAGATGTGTGGCGAAAATTGCCAAATTTGATAATGCTGAGAGCCAAGCGCCATCTATCGTGTGGTAAACGAAGCAACTATTGCGCGTCCGCAGTAGGGCAGGGCTGACTTCAGTTACTTGGGTCGCGACGACAACGAACGTTTATTTCCTTTGACTTCCTTCCTTTCAAAACTTTGACTGACTGAACGTTTATTTTTCTACGTGTTTTTCTCGCGCGTGCCGACTTCAAGCTGCAAGAAAAAAAGTACTTAAAATAGACCACGACGAACAAGAACGCTGGATCCACAAACACCCGAGAAAAGCGACAATGGCCACGAATCCACCGACTCCGACGAAGCGAGCTGCTCAGAATATACGCCTAGCAGGCACTCCGACTCGGCGCAGCGCTGCTTCGTCGCAAGACCGTCTGCCTACGACCGGCTGGCGTGCTGAATGGAATATGCCCGCGCTACCATTGTGGACCCTTCTCGTATTATAGTTTGATCGCTGACCTCAATTTTAGATTAAGAGGTGAGGTCAATCTCTTCCCCTTGTTTTCCGAGGCAGTGTTGACAAACACTCGTCGAAAAGGGACTCTCGTCGATTCTATCTTCTTGTTTTGTGTGATAAAGAGCTGAAATAAGCGCCGTATGGATGACCTTCGTAACACGGTATGTAAATTTTGTTATTGGTATGCCATTTTTATTCTGACAGACTGCACGTCACTGTCCAGCTATAACAGTTCGTGGGAGGTATACGTGCAATGCCGGTCCAACCTTTCTTTGCCGAGTGTCGCGTCAGTATCGAGTTGCAATCGTAAAAGATCGGTCCCGAAGCGCTTACCAACAGCGCGAATACAGCACTTCCATCAAACGCGCGCGTCTGCTCCGAGTATGAACAGGTATTTACGTGGCTCTTGCTGACACTCGTAGTTCAAACGTATCTTTTTTAACGCCGGCTCGCTCCTGCATCTCCGAGGCCGCGAAAAACGCCGCGGCAATTTTGTCTCTATCTACGTCGCTTTGCAAACGACTGACACGGGCCGCCTTTTACCAACAATGACAGTTGGGTTGACTTCTGGAGTCTTCACCGGAAGACTCGCTGCACTTCCCAAGAGACATACCGGCGTATGGGACTGGTCCCATGATGTCGCTGTAGCGCAACATATCTCATTGAATTTCGCTCAGCTGCGATGCGGCGATGAGAGGCGCCGATTCAAAAAATACGTCGGTGACATCAGCGCAGTAAAACATACCGGCGCACCCCAACTCGTCGCCGCTAACGCTCCCATACTCCTACCGCCGAAAGAACATCTGGATCCGGAAACAGCGTACGTCACGACTTGTTTTGCGGTCAATTGGAGAGAAAGAAAAAGTCGATATTTTATTAATTTTTCGTGTAGAAGTTAATAAACCGAGACGAAAACGGTTGCTTGTTCGGCATTCAGTGAAGATTGACGGTTTAATGTAAAAGTTATCTGGAAAAAGTAAAAAGGCCATTTTATGGTCCCTTTAACAAGTAATCAAACAATGACCTGATTACATATGAAAGTACTGAAACTATCTGCAGCCGTTACTTTTTTTTTTACCCCTTCCCGTTTCTTTTGTCGCCCTTTGTTCAGCTCAAGTTTCCTACCACGGAACCGTCGAACGAGATCTCAGACTGCAGTATTGGTTACTAAAATGGGTTGGTTAAGAAGATAGAGTGGATAATTCGGTGATTCTAATTCAGTAATAAAGGGTATAAAATACCCGTTTTCAAAATGTGCGGTAATTGAAGAAATAACGGTTTCTTCTTTTAGCAAAGGCCAATTACTTGCTGTCTCGAGTGACCAAGTAATCTAGTCAAAGACATTTGAAGCAAGAGTAAGTGTAATTGAAATCTCGATTACTTTTTCTTAGCAACATCTTCAAGACGGATTTTCAGTGTATCCTCAAGGCAAATATTTAAGCTTGACATAAGCTGTGTTTAAAACTATAGTTTAATAAAAAGAAAAATGTCTAAACGTATAACGCGAGACTGTACCACACACAATAGAGTGGACACGAACCTGAATTGGTATATAATTACACACCAATGCAAGTTCTTCGCTAAATTCATTGAGACAATGCTTGCCGCCTAGTTTTCTGGGACAGATATCCTCTAAATTAAACGTAGTTTATTCAGAAGTCAGAAAACCTCATAAATTGACAGCCTATGCAGCTTAAAACGCGCTGCACCTTCCGCCAAGTCAATCTTCAGACTGAGTTCTGAACTTTGACTAGGTTCACAAACTAGTTCGTTTGTTCAGAACTCAACTCAGACTAAGTTCAGGTTGTATAAATATACCCACAACCCATTTTTTTTTCTAATCGAGGCTCTTTAAACGAATGCTGAACCGAAATCTGGATTCCGCAACACACGGCAGAAAAAGCGTGCAACGGTATGCTACAAACACCAAAACATCTCTCATTCGGCGATATCTCAAACGGATGAACGTATATTTAAAAAAAAGAAAGACTTTTACAACACTGTGTAACGCCGAATTAGAGCGCAGCTATTGAGGGGAGGAGGGAAGGGTACTGATGAGAGGGTAATCTCCGCCTCCCTCCTTTTCCTCCTCCTCCGCTCCTCCTCCTCCCCTCCTCCTCCTCCCCTCATCCTTGAAGCTCCTCACGTCCTCTCCTCCTCCTCATCCCTCCGCCACCCATTTTCCCTTATCCTCCTCTCTCCCCCTCCCCTTCCCTCTCCTCCTCCTCCATCCCCTCCTTCCCTCCCCCTCCTCCTCCACTCCTCCTCCTCCCCGCGCGTTTCATCGTGGGAAATCTTCCATGATGCACCGCGCGGGACCCTCGTGACGTCACACGTGACATCACGAGTGACGTCACGAGGGTCCCGCGTGGTGCATTATGGGGCATTTCCCGTAATGCACCGCGCAGTTACGCCGACGGCGACGGCGACGCCGCTCAAGCCGGAAACGGGCGCCTAAGAGTGGCGCGCTAAAAAAGAAGGCGCATTTGTCAGATATGCTGCCGTCTTGTTTCTCCGAGAAGAGTCGAGAAGGAGAGGGAATGGTCTCGCGTCTTCTTCGCCTCGCCGCCTTGAGGGGGCGAAGCGGAGAGAGGAAGGAAGGAGATATGTTGACATCACGCGCCTCGTCGGCCTCGTTCAATCTCGACCTCTTTTTCCAAAAATACGGCCGTCCATTCAAGACATCGCCTTACGAGTGGTGTTGTGGTGATTGTAGCGTCCCGCCTACGGCTCCTGCATTGTTCCAATTTCTTTAGAGAAAAAGATCTGAGCCTTGAAATTTCTCGCGATAAAACTGACCTGCTATTTTCACGTTCGATGAAACTTTGAGCTTTCTACGTGCAGGAGCCTACGGCTCCTGCACGTAGAAAGCTCAAAGTTTCATTGTCTGACTATTGTCTGACTCGTTTTACAACGGAAGTTCCGCTGCAGACGAGGCTTCACTATGAGGCTTCATCATGCTCAGATCACTAACGTAGACTGTATTTTAGGCCTAAACACACCCTATATCGCGTGTCTTCATTCGCTAAGCTACATCCGCCCATTTCAGCTATTGACCTTTTAAGATGATTTGTGGGAAGGTAAACGGTTCACCTTTGTTAGTGTTAAAAGTAAAATGTATTTTAAAGCACACAAATAATGTGTTTTGGGAGTACATATATGCGATATGAAATAGTACATACCCCCAAATCCTGTCGTCACATCCATGGCGGTTATGCGCGATCTGGCGGTCCCAATCCTGATCCAGCGATTCAGATTCCACTGGCCGGTTTCGTTTCCCACGCTGTACCCGCAAGCGTCACCCCAGTCGAAGTTGCAGGAACCATCCTTTGGAGCTGCGAGGAAAAAATTTATAAACGAGCCATCCACGCAGGAACATTTTTAACTCAAATAATGCTGATCATGACTTTCTCTTCTCTAGTGGTCTTTTAACAATACAAAAATAATTTCTCATTAATTTCAGCGCTGCGCGTAGATGTACTTTTATAAACGGCATAAAGGCAGCGGGGTTTGATATATTTATTAATCAACAGTCATGTTTAACGTACAATTTTAAAATTGACCCCTTTTGTTAGCAATGTTAGACTCAATGCAAAAGGCAACAAGGCCATATAAACAATATAGACTTCACACAACACTCCAGTGGAGCCAGTATTGGCTTCTATATGTTTTTTTTTCCAACTCTAGTCACCAACACATTCGTCGATAAAATGTGTTAATTGGTTCAGCCTCACTATCTGGCTGCAATCAACAATGCAAGTGTGCAATGTGACACATCGAACTGAAAATCAAGGAAGTTAATTAACACATTTGAGTTAATTAGCCTACTGAGTGGGATATTTATCTATAGGTCTAATGTTCACCGACCCTACTACACATGATGTGAAGACAGTGTCTAGATTTCTACCAGTAACACATTTTTTCACATTTGTACAAACTAAAAATAACCTACATTGAATACGGGTGCAATCTTCAAAGATAGCTAGTTGTCTCATTAATTACAAAGCATTACAAAACAGCAACAAGTAAAATAAATGTATGAAGCTCCGAAAGTTTTTTTTTTTATTTTTATTTAACTCATTCCTAGAATATTTTGACTCTCGCCACTGTACTTCAAGTTTTTTTTTGTCATTTTAAATTGAATATTTTATTCGGTATCATATATTTCTATATGAGAATCATTCGAGGCCAAAGGACGCATGCCTACTTTCGTCCCTCAGGAATTCGGTCTAAACTTTTATCTGTTATTGATGATGCTCAATTCCCTTTTTAATATGTTTAAAAAAAATTGGCGGCACTGAAATATGATAAAAACGAACCCCAAGAGATAAAGGAAAATCTGAAAGCTTGAAAAAAGACAATGAAGTAGGCACCGTTTTTAGCATGTGAGTTCATGCATCTACTTTATCTAACATGTTTTGTAATGAATTTCCGAATGTTTTAAGGGTGTAGATGCATTAAAGGTATCACAAATCGATGATGTTCACCTCTTATTAAAAATTATACGTTACCTTATCAAGGCTATCACGTGTAAGTTATTAGTGAGGGAAACAAAAGGTATATAAAAATTATTTGACCAAAAATTGTTACCGTGTTTTTAACATATATGAACAATATTAATCTTAAATACTCAATTTAGAAAACATGGAACTTTTAAACGCGGTCGCTCTCAAAATATATACTCGAAGGGTACAGGTTGCCTCTATTAGTTAGAAAAAAAAAATCATTATTTATTAAAAGCTAGAAAATATTTTTTTTAATTGGTCCATTGCCAGTATTGAACATATATAAAAACATCGAGTTTTAAAGGCAAGAAATAAAAGGTGTTAGGTGTAAAAATGAATACTTCATGTAATAAGTGGGAAAAAAAGTCAGAAAAAGTATTAATTCTCGAAAGAAAAGAAATGTATATTAGTTTATTGACAGTATGAAATAAATAGCAAATTGCTGTGTTAGAAATAACAAAATAAAATCATAAGATGTTTGGACTAAAAATGGATAGTTAACATTTGTCATAGTTTATGAATCTAACAAAAACGAGCATAGTAAAAAATAGTAATAGTGTCTATAAAATTTAGAAACAATTTTTTATTTGCTTCGGTCCATCATCTTGAGTCCTAGCTTTGTGGCAGAGACGCGCATTATCGCATACTTTAGCAAACGCCGCAACTGAGCTACAATGCGGACGGCGCCAGTTATAGTAACTAAAGAATGAGATAAGCAGGGCCTGTCTCTCGAACACCCGACCTCCCACACTCCTTCCACCGTGCTTTGACTGGGCGGAGTTACGTGCTCGAGGTGCACGTGACTCCAAAGCTTATCGAAGGTAAGGAGCCGGCTACCGACATTTCCCAAAAGTCTGAAGTTTGTTTCAGTCAAATATTGTTATACCTGTATCTGGTGACTTAGCCGATCCCAGGGAAGACTAGAAAAGGAGCACGAGCCAGGAATAAACTCGAGACAAGAACACCAGGTACCAACTCTGAGGACCGCAGACGTCTTTATATTGCATCACCGCTTATTCATAGCTTATCTACCGTAAATAAATTAAAGAAAACCTTCGGCACCTTTAATTTGTGACCCGGACCTGTGCAGGTGTGACCTGTACACACCTGTGCATCATGGTTAATTGTGGAGATGCTCCACCGGCCGACAACCTCGCAGCTGTTAATCAGCTCCGCCATCCGAAATTATGATCCCCATTTCCGCAGGTATGGTTCGCACAAATGGAAAGTCAGTTTACAACCGGGAGGATAACTCCACAAGCACAAAGATTTCACTACGCTGTAACGGCCTATGCCCGATACCAATTCGGGACGTCATTCTTGACCCGCCACCTGACTCTCAACGACGTGATAAAAGCGGAGTTGGTGAAACGGACTTTCGAGTATGAACAACGACGACTCCAGTGGCTCATATCCTCGGAAGAGTTTGGAGGCCGAAAGCCTCCTCAGTTACTCAGGCGTCTCCAATAACTGCTGGTGGAAAAGGCTTGCACCTTCGATGCCGCTCGTTTACGTCAGCTATTTCTTCAGCGGCTTCCTGTGAATGTTCGGATGGTCCTCACATTGGCGTCGGGACTCGCCGTATCTCAACCTGCCCTACTGGCGGACACTGTCATGGACGTAACCACTCCGACGTCCTCCCAGATCCCCGCTCTTAAAAACCATGGGACATCCATCCTCGAAAAATTTGTTGCCCCAACCACCTATATTCTCGATGACGTACGAAAATAATTGCTACATGAAATTGGAGACCTTTCGTAAGTTAATCCAGCGCAGGGATGGGCAAAATACATGCAAATATGTATCGAAATACAAATACAAAATGCTTTGCCAAAAATGTATTTAATTAAAAATCTAATTACATTTACAAACAAGCATTTAAGTACAAGATACAAATACAACCACATGTATTTGGTCTCCTCCAAATACTTTTCCAAATACATTCCTCAAAATTTGCGTCAGCGACTTCAGGTTACCTGCAACGGGTTTCTGGGTATCTCATTTTAATTTTGCATGGCACGCTCGGAAGTTAGTGTGTGAGGCTCTAGTAACGTAATAGAAATATAATCACAAAAAAAAGAAGTAATCAGCTTGGACGTAGTAGGTGGAAAAGTACAGAGCTTCAAGCACCTTTTCTTGTCGATTAAACTTTGGTGTGGACCAACAAAGAACCGAGACGACCAAGAGGCGCAGCACTAGCTAGAGAATTTTTTATTGTTGCAACTTGCACCATTTACATAAATCTGGACGACCCGGTCATTTAGAATGTTCCAGGCAAAAATATGGATGGAAATCAGGCTGGAAAGCATCACAAGTTGTCACAGGCACTTATTTAGCCAGTCTGCTTGTGAACGTCGATTTCGTCACTATTCTTGCCCTGATCTAGCACCGTAATCACAAAGTCACTAAACGCTTGTGCTTGATTGAGACACACTGCATTCGGTACAGAATGTAGTTTTCTTCCTGCTCTGGACAGTGACAATAAATTTGAGGGATGTTTTTTCGCCCTCAAATTGTATTTAATTACAATTGTATTTGAAGTACCCACGTTTTAGTATTTAAATACAGACGTCGAATACATTACCCAATTTGTAATTAAATACAAATGCCAAATACACAAAGTATTTGAAATACGTATTTCAAGTACTTGTATTTGAAATACTGCCAATCCCTGATCCAGCGTAAGTTACTACCATTTCGTCCCGCTCAGGTTTAAGAGAGAACCAACATTTTTCGCGACTTTTTTGCCACATGGCCCCAGCACCACCTCGAGCGAGATCACCGCAAATCTGACTGTGCTTTAATCGTATCACCTGATCTTCGCCGTCCTCACCCACTACTTCGGTTCACCTGCTCAGCCACGCGAAATGCGTCTACCGAAAAATAGAGGCGCCAAGTTGTGTCGGTAGCCACGCCAGCCGCCTGTTCTTGTGACTGGTCGCGCCTCTGTTTTATGCTTGCTCGTCGACACCGGCACGGAGATGAGCGTTCTACCCCCCTCTACAGTTGCACAAAGATCGAAGCAAACACACACGAACCAACAAGCATAGAATAATACAGTCATCGCCACTTACGTTGACGAGAACATGACCGGTAACATCGGACTACGAAGGGGTTTTCCTTGGATATTTCTTCTATCAGATACATCATTCATAACCTAGCCTTGAGGCAGATCTACACAGACGCTTTGATGTGATTGTCCATGGTCGATATGCACAGAAAACGCCTAGGAGGTGCTACAACATATCTGGTAGTGCAAATAATTATGTGTACCACGCCCGTCATTGAATGCTTGAGATGCTTTACTCCGTATCAGAGACTGCTTCAAGAGTTATCAACCTTATCTCGTCCAAGAAAATTTCAGCTCCCTGTTAACCACAACATCACTCACGTTATTCTGACAACCGTACCACCCACTCATGCACGCACCCGACGGCTGGGTCCAGATTGCCTAGAAATAGCTCAACGAGAGTTCGAGCCCATGCTGAACATGGGAGTCATCGGATCATCTTCAAGACCTTGGGCGTCACCCCTCCGGGTGGTGTGTAAAACGTACCCGGAGATCGGAGATCGTGTGTCGACAACCTGGCCCTAAACAACGCACCGTTCCTGACCGATATCCTTTGCTATACACACAGGACTTCAGAAACTCTTTACGAGGCGATTCGATTTTATCGGAAATCGACTTAGTGAAAGCCTATTACCAAACACCAATTGAACCAACTGACATACAAAGAAGGGCATCATCATGCCCTTAGACTTGAACGAATATCTTCGGATGCCCTTTGGTCTTCGCAACACGGCCTAGTCATTCCAACGTTTTGTCAACC